CACGTGAACATATTAAGCGAATCATTCCATCTGCTCTCTGCTTGTTCGCGTAAGACAAATTAATACGCGCGAGAGTGACTTGATAAATGCAGCCACGATTTCAGAATGATTTGCACCATATAGAACTGCATCGATTGCAAAATCCATTGGCATTATTTTTGCTCACCCACACGCGCAATTTTCCATTACAAATCTACTCACAGCTTCAAGCTGTCGCCGAAAAGAGTTCGACAAAATGTCCTGCACGTTCTCTGGCATATCATCTATACCTGGAAATGTTTGGATATGTGACAAAAAGTTTGTGTGCCAGACTTCTTGGGTGTCTCATTAAGTTCGCATCATGTTGAAAATAGCACCATTGAAATCGATAAACTTCCCAAGCAACTTTTAATTATAACACATCTCTAATTAAATTTCGCACAAAGTTCAACTGGCGTGATTCAATAGCACATAATAGGAAAACATCTTTGGGAATGTATAGCTCATCCTCTTAGGTTGAATGACTTTGGACAAGTCAACAGAGAATTTCCCTTCCATTGAGCGGAAGAAACTTTTTCCTAAAATTTTCATATTCAATAGCTTTTCCTCCCACCGAATGGAGGTTATTTGTCGGGGGCAAATTTATGTCAAAACTCCATGCAAATTGAATGTGATTAAAATCGTCTCACTGGGGAGAAAAGTTTGTCAATATCAATTTGATAAAGTGAAATTTGGACATTTCCAATTCAACAGAGTCTGCAAGTACGTTTAAATACTTAATGGGCGGAGCAATTGAGGAGGCGGAGCTTATAAACACACATTCACACGAATTTTGCTTCATGATTAAATAACTTGTTCCTTTTGCTCCAAGTGAAAGACCTTCTGAGAAATGGAGAGGTAAAATTGATTATAACGCTGTGAACACATGTTATATGTCGGTAATCTCATTTGTTTATAAGCAACACACTCACAGACTTTTCTATGAAAACACGAGGGTGACGCTTTTAGTACGACAATGTTGTGTGGTTTCCCAACAAAATTGCTATAAATCCTCGTGTCTGTTTGCTTCTTATTATATTTTCACTCTCACGGAGCATTTCATCCCTACATTTGACCATACCTATATGACACACTTGAGTGTGTAGTCTCATGTCTTCCGGGGAATGCTGGGCTTTGTGTGGAAAATGTGAAGGCTCTGTTTGTCGAATGGGAACTCGATAGTGTATTAGTGACATAAATCTTTTGGCCAGGCAGACACTTCAATACAGATGGTCGCTTCCTTGGGTGACGTGCCGAAGCCATTTTTCTTGCTCACATTGTGTCAAAGAGTGTAGCGAACCGCAACCAATATTTCACCGTGTCCGCGCACTCCTTTCATTATCCATAATGAGCCCTTGGCTTTTCTACATGCTCACAAGCAATAATTGGCCCTCGTCTGCTACTGACAGCGAGAAATTATGTGAAATCAATTAACCATTTTCTTAAATGTTCCCTCTTCCTTCCATCGCTGATTCCCTCTCACAGTCACTGTCTTCCCGTCGGTCTTCTGGAGCAGATCCCCAGGAAGTGCCTCTGATGACAGTTCAGCTGTCTAGTCTGTCTGATGATATAAAACAATTACTGGAGGAAGGAAAACCTCCTTTGACTTCCCCTGTCTCTTGCTCCCAAGATACCCAATGATGCTTAATGTGGAACAAAGAGGTGGAAAATCTGTCAGCACTCCCATGAACTTCGCCATTCTATATAAGATTTCGTGAAAATACACACAAATTGAATCCAATGTGAATATTCAGAGTGCACTGGTTGCACGTAAATTGTCGCATAGATTGTCACATTGAATGCCAAAGCACGACATCATATATTACGGTCGTGCTGATGTCGTCTGATATGGAAGATTGCTCCGAGCGAAGTCTCACGCAAATTGCAATTATGCGCAGACTTGTGCATTCACGCTTCAGATAACTCTTATCCACATAGCGTGCATTGCGATGCATCGTATCTTTCTGATAAGCTCCCATGGCAGCGTAAGGAATGCTAAGTGGATGATTTGGCTCACTTGAGCCACTGAAGAGAGCCTCGAGGATGTTGTGATAAATTCTCACCTTAAGCAAAGTGCTTATAATCCAGGTTCATCCTGATATTGACAAAATGCAAAGTAAAATGCAATTATCACTGCACTCACAACATACGAGACTGTGCAAAGCTGGGAATCTGAGAAGGAAGTCGAAATATGAGGAATTTGATCCATAATTTAATACACATCACTCAACTGCAGAACTGAGTTTTGATTTAAATGGACAAAAGAGCAATTATTCACTTGAGATATTGAAGAGATTCCTTTCATATCCTTTGAAAGAGCTTTAAAGCTCGACTCGCTACTATTTTGTGAGAATATCAAAGGTGGAATCAAAGGAGAAATTATATTCCTTACACCACTTCAAATTAAAAAAAAAAAATTTCTATGATTTTCTTCCTTCTGAGAATCTTTTCTCAGTTGTACATCACTTTTGCCCATATCTGTCCCTTGGACAGAACTTGCTGTTTAGCCGTAAATCCAATTGCTTACAGTGCCAACACGGAAGTCGCACAACTGCTATGAGATTTCCCATTTTTCGCTTCATCTCAGGTGATATTCTGGGAAAAATATTATTTGTGCATGGCATTTAGAGAATGTGGAGTATTTCCCTTTTCCCAGGAAAAGCAATATGATGTTCTCAATCAAGAGAGAATCTTTTGACATTTCCGCGATGAAAGAAATGCAATTTCCCTGCCACTTCAGTCAGACAATCTCACAGATTCCATCATTCTCATGGGGATTAAATTTCTCCAGAAAATTCATTTTAACTCTGGGATGATTGCAATATTGGATATGTCAGAGAATTCAGCATGCAAATGTCAGAATTTTCCAATTTATGTTTGCATTCAAAGAGCTGATGAACAACCTTGAGATCGTAATTCCCTAACCACGCATTTGATGAACCCTCGTTGGGCGGAAAATGTGCAAAAGACAGCTCAATGAGCTTGATTTGATTTGTCAGTGAATGACTGATTGCTGCAGGCATGAATTCATTGAAATGTGCGGTTCGGAAAAATTCATATTCAATATATATTAATTCATTCGACAGGCATCCTCTTCTATCCTGTCATATCCAATTTCTGCGCCTCGATTTTATCACCGCACACACGGTGCCACTGTGTAATCAAATACATTTACTGCCAGTGATATTAATTTACTAATTGCTCTCCTTTTGCTCTATTGCAATTAATTATGCAAAGTGGCGAAGGAAAGTAAACACACACACACAATAAGTCTGTAGGCACTTTTCTAATGCCATTTCCTCTCCAACGCCCAGAAACATCCTTCCGAAAAAAGAGGGACAATGATGAGGTCATAATCCACAGTTAATCAATACAACACTCGCCATTCTTTCACGATCATCATCACCGCCGGAAATTACGTCGCATTACTAAAGAGAAAATTCTATTAACTATCCCATTCCGAAAGCATTGAAGTGGCTTTCTGGGGCAGCGCGCATTTTCTGGTCGACTCCACCACAGATGTTCACACGGAGTGACGCGTTGCCGGAGAGCTTTTCTCCATTTCGAGAAATTGCCAAGTGCAAACTATAAAACCCACGTGCCACCAGAGAACTGCAGAGCTCAGCATAATTGTTTGCAAGTAATCCTCTGTCATCATCCATAAATCAAATTCACTACTCCTGTTATTAAAACACCAGCCATAAATTTAATTAGTGCGGGCATGACTTTAACCTCACACGCATTATCCCTTCGCAAAGCAAACGCAAATGCTCCATTTTCACGTTGTATAGTGTTGCCGAGACGACGTGCGTCTGGGAAAAAGTCCATTCACTGGAATTAATGCAAAAAGCTCCCCTCGAGAGTGTGTGTGTGTGTCCAAAAAGTTGGCATGGAAGTTGAAAAGTTTTTTCCATGCCACTCGACTAACACCTTTTCACCGGGTTAAGTGTCGTGTAATTGATTCAATTATCCCCTTGATTCCCACCCACACTGCCAATCTTCACTGTCACAGACACACAGAATTAATCTTAATTCTTAGCATTCCATAAAATTTTTATACTCCGCACACCGCCAATGTGATGCATATTTCATAAAAGAGACACATTTGCACGCGATTTTATGGCGGTCTTATGCAGTGAGTTTCGGCCCATTAACTGAAACAGTTGACGAAGTTAATCACGGTATTGGATGATAAATATGAGCAATTAATCAGCAAATTATGGGTATAATTTATGTGAGCAGACACTTGTTATTATATCGCTTTAATATCTCGGTCGTTCGACTATTGTGAGGGTCTCTAATGTAAGCCTTAATGAGCGTGCAATGTGTGTTAAATTGGGAGTGGCTGAATGCCCAGGTAAAAGTGCTTTCATTCGGTCATTTTCATCCCCAGCAAATTAATTCTTTATGCGCTCAGTAACGTGATCAAAATACACAATACATCCCTCATTAGCGCTGCCAAGACGAGAAGTGGATGTATTTATCCAGGGATAAAGTATACAGGTGCTCTGTAGACGTGGAAATCTCCATGATGAACTTTATTATTCAATTTTGCTAATCAATATAGTGTTAGTGTATCTCTTATAGTGTGAAGAACAATACAAATTTAAGGCATATTATCCCCTCCCCCCCTTGGTATGGTCTTCTGTTATATCACATTAACTTATACTAGTAGGTTTGGAAAAGTCAGAAGCACAGAAAAAGTGCGTTGATCAAGACTGTGGAGTCATTTGTTATTGTTGTTTGTCTTGTCATGAAAACCCGTGCTGGGAAATTGCAAAAGCGATCCCGAGGACTCTCAATTCAATTTATTTCGTATGTGAAATTCATGTCCCAGACCTTTGCACTGTTTGTATACATATTGATAATAAATATCGACCAAGAGTTGAATATTCATGCACGCAACCTAAAGAGGGGCGGAAAAGGTATATTCGTCCTCGAGCGTGAGCTTATCTCTCGTGTTCTTTCTTCCTCTTTTTCAGGGGCTTTGGCAAGCAGGGATTTCAGTGCCAAGGTGAGTCGGATGTCGCCTCGAGGACTGCGATGGACGAGTGGATGAGGGATTGAAAGTTGGCCAGGCATAAACATGGCAATTCTTTCAATTTTCAGTTTGCTCATTTGTCGTCCACAAGAGATGCCATGAATATGTCACATTCAAATGCCCGGGCGCTGACAAAGGAGCAGATTCCGACGTGAGTATCAGGACTTTTTTCCCACCCACACATCTCTTATCTCTCAAAATAGCAATTCTGCATATACAGTAAAATGACAGAAATATTAATATAAGGGCTTTTTGATAAGACAGCGTTCATTTGACAATTTTTTCAGTTTTTTTCTTGTCTCATTTTTTTCCGTTCAGAATACATTTAATATCTTTGAGTTTCTGGAGAAGAAAGGATCAAGTGCTTTCAAAAGAGTTTTGCGATAACAAAACGGTACACACTTCAACATTAGATGTATATTTAAGGATACATTTAAGATGCGCAGGATTTTTGGAGCAAATCGAGAAACACACCTTTCATGTTCATGTAAAGAATCATTGCGGATATTTTGTGATGAACTTTTATCAGCATGGCTTCTTGTATTATTACATTTCTCAGTGATATTTCTGGAATATGATGATAATGCCAAAGAAACTTGATATCTTTATCTTGAACTTAGTGCGACTTTTTGTCTTTTAGATGCAAAATCGTAACAGAGATCAAAACTATTTCATTTTATTTTCTGTGTCACATTTTTTTTTATTTTTGCAAGGGAATATCCACACACATAACCAAACACACACTCAAGTGAGAACACATATTTAATAAATTTCCATTTAGGGGAAACTTGTGAAAATGTCAAGGCACATCATGGGCGAGGAGTCTTAAAGAGATGCGCTTCTTGCCTGGTGGGGAAAATTTAAAGAGAACAATTGAGAATTGCAAACTTTAAAGCATAACAACTCACTGTGTAACTGCCTTCCCTTACAATTGCTGCAAAAAGCTTCGTGGAGAAGCTCCAGGCAAAAATATTACAAACCATAAAATAATAAACGAAAGAAGAGAGTTAGAAAATCTTCAGGGGCAGATAATTTGTGAAAAATGCAGCTTTCCTTCTCATGGCAAAGAATTCAATTCGATGAAGATTCGATATGTTTTATTTATGAGAGAATAACAACTGAATTTTCAATAAACGGTGGAAAAATCCTTTCACTAATGCTGAAATTTTGGCAACTTGGTCACCCTTTTGAGGCGAGATTGCTTGTTTGCCACCACAACAACCACCGAGAAGCGAACACTCAACAATTCCGTCGAGGATCTAAATGTTATTTTATACAAATGATTACATGAGACGAAGAAAGTTTTTTTTTCCACCTCCTGTTCAGGCGCAAAAGGAGAGACGGTTTCAACGTTTTGTGTATTTGAATTAAGAGTGTTTTGCGGGCGGAGAAATCCTTCACAGTGTAGCTGTGATGTAGCCATTGTTGCCACTCGTGTTGATATACATAAGAACATTGGCGTCCCGTTCTGCTCACGATGGTCTCACAGGCAAATACCAAGTGAATATGTTCTACATGGGATATGTTTCAGCATTTCTCTCTCTATTTTCACCCCCTCTAATCTTACGGATCTGCCGAGCTCTCATGCAGATTTTCGCTTCGGCGTCAACTTACCCATGATACAAATGTGCTAAATTCTTAATGTCAAGCCCGATTCTCATACTGTGGGCCAGTTTTGTGTGTCACCACATGAAGGCTCTTCTCAGCAAATGTCTCATTGGTCACGAATTAGCGCCATTGTGTTAATTAGCCCCGATAGTGGCGCGTGAGGATGACAAGGATCACGGGCAATTTTCACCTGGAAGCCAAACACTCAGACTGCCAGCAATTTGCAGCTCAAAGTTCGCCTCTCACTGTTTAAATTCAGAAATTTCACAAGCATATATTTGGCACAATTCCTCCACAATTGTTCACCATCATTCCCAACTGACTAATCTCCAGGTTGTTCTTGACCTTTCCTCCCAAGGCGGCAGAGAACATACAATTGAAGTTTGTCGGAAAGTTTCTTATCAAACTCCTTCTAATGGATATTTTACGTAAGAGAGCGAGGAGAGTGAATCAACAGCAAATTTGGAGGTGATTCTCATCGCATTAGCTCAACTTGAAAAAGCTTTCAGGTTCAGCAATTAAAGAGCATCCCAAGGAGTCTAAACATAGAGGAAAGTTGGGCAGTTTTAGCCACAATAACAGGCTGCCATTTGCCAAAGGACGGACAATATTGAATGAAGGAACAATATAAGTCTCATGTGACATGAAAAATTATACCTAATTAGCACACGTTTTATACGATATCTAATTATAAGCTGACAAGACGCATTTCAAAGGACATTCTATACATACATGTTTTTTTTGGCATTTATGTAATTCTATCCAGTAAAAATCTGTATGGAATATTGTGTCTCTGTGTTATGGATAGAGGGAAGAAAGGAATGAAATGTCGAGAGAAAATCCTCAAGTTTCAAGTGAGGAATTTCAGGAAGACAATGTGCGCCTCCGAATGACATTTTCACAAGAAGGACAATTGAGAAAACACCCAATTCTGACGCTCCTTCCACAATAATCCAGATCATATATACAATTATTGTGCTTGTGTACACGAAAACAAAGAGAATTTACCGATGAGATGGAAAGTGAAGAAAATTGTTTGTATCAGGATACACGAACCAGGCATGAATTTAAACCAGCCACCTACTCCAGTCCAACTTTCTGCGATCATTGTGGCTCACTCTTGTATGGACTGTACCATCAAGGATTGAAATGTTCAGGTAATGTCTCACAAAGCAACTAAACCCAATCATGTCGATGAAACTTTAATCCCAGAATTGTTAAAAGCGAGCAAGCCTAAATTGATAAATTCTTCACAACTAACAAAAACCACCACCAAGATCTCAGACAGAACCGCAACTCTTTCAATCCAATCAACTATTGTACCTCGCTTTTAATCTTAGATGTGGCTAATCTGTGTCTATCTTCTATACGTCCAGAAGTTTCCTCTTCAGTATCTTAAGCTCTCTCTTTCTCTCTGCCTTTCTATTATATATTGGAACATTTCTCGCTATTAGATGTGAATCAGAATCTTATCGAACAATTTTCTTCTCATTATGTCTTGAAATTATGATGATTTTCTTTTGCCCAAAATTACCATAACACCCACACATAGATTATAATATGACTTAATTCTCTACCATGTAAAAGCAAACTAATGATTAACAATGCTGAGTGTTTAATTTCTTTACAAGTATGCAAAGTGTCAGCCCTAATCGAATGAATGGTTAATTAATTCAGCACACCCACTCACTCTCGCTGAGGCTCTTCATCAATATCACGAGTGACATGTGGAAGGAGAAGAATGAAACGGCACTTTCCGCTTCCACGGCATTACATACATTGTACATATGTAGTGACTTTATTTAATTTATTAAGAAAGGCATCCACAATAGAGGGACTCTATTGGCAACGTAACTTGCCTGAATAAGTCCTTGCGGTTCAATCAGAGCTGTGAGCCGATGCGGTTGTAATATTTGCATAACGAACCATAAAAGCAAACCGTCTCGAGACGATAACGAATTGGGTGGGAGAAATAAAGTCAATTATATGACAATCGTATGCAATTTATTGTCTGAGCAACCAAAGTTTCTGTATTCATCGATAATTTCAGCAATTTTCAGTAAAACTGAGGAATGTGAAACTATATTTTAGGCATTTCCACATTGTGTAAGAGAAGCGAAATTGTGAAATTTACCAGAATTATTAAGATACGGAGTTAATAATTAGTAAATCCGTGATAAAAAGGATGAATTGCAAATATTTTTCATGTTCGCGCTCGAAAATCAGAGCCTCAATTGCAGATTTACCCGTTTTTGCAACTTTCTGCAACTGTGTTAAACTTTTTTAGTGGGAAATGATTCAAATATTAATCAATTTTCAGTCTTCGCGGAGTTTAAAAGTTCCGAACTATTTCAAGTGTGAAGATTTTTGATGTCTTCAGAAACACCTTTTTGCCACAAACCATCGCTCGGCTCACACTCTGGCAACTTTGAATTTATTTCTCACCAGCACACGAAAACAGTGTTTCATGTCGCTAATATGTGTGTCTCATAAAATTGCATTCATTAGCCATAGACTGGAAGCGCTTGATAAACGAAAGTCTCATTTATGCACAAGCAAACACACACAGAATCACTCATCCGATTAACGTTGACACTGTTGATGATGTTTTCTTCTGCACTAAAAAAAACTCTCCAGCCAAAACACTGACCATTCAGTTGGAGTGAGAAGACCTCTCTTGGCTGTGTTTCTGTGTTCTCTCGATGTACACACTTCTTATCCCATTGGAAGTTTCGATGTGAAGGCTGTCTGACTGGGTGTTTCGGAAAGGATGTTGAGAAGCTTATTTTAAACAACTTTCATTAATTTTAATTTGCGCTCCCTATGAAAATGTGTGTCAGCTTTCACTGTGTTTTCAGCATACATGTTGTTTTTCATTTCTTCAGGACTTGCAAATGTTTACTTTAAAGATATTCTCGTGCTTTTAAGTGCGCTTTCAGTCCATGGGCGCAATTTGCAAAGCCTGCGAGAGAAGTGAGGAATGATGTGTGTGTGTGTGTGTGTTTTTCGTGTTTAGTTTATCTTTTCTTTATACTGTAGAAAATCATCATCATGGTGAATTTAAAGATATAAACAACCCTTTGCTAAAGACAGTCTAGAGATAGTTATGTATAAGATGAAAATTTTGTGAAAAGGTATTCTTAATGAAATGCATTCAGAATATACACAATGCAATGTGGAGATGTTTCAGAAAAGTTTAGGAAGAGTGTCTCAAAGAATCTCCAGGCAAAAGTTCTTCTCCTCTCAGTTTGTAAAGGAATTAATTATAAAGTAGGAAACTTTTAGACGTGTCCTTTTGAAAAGAATCAAGTATATTTTCCACTCCATTTTCTATATATTTGATATTGCGCTTGAAAATATTGCTGCTCCTCTTGTAGTTGGTCGAAAAATCACATCACAAAATCACACACTTTCCTTTGGAAAAATGCCATCCAAGGGGAGGAAACAATTTGCTGTTGAGAAGCTTTTCACACTTGAGCGTAATAATAGGCGGAAATAAGCTTTCAGACAACTCAATATATAAGATTGAAAGGATTTTCTTTATTGTGCAATATATTTTTCAAAGCTTATTTCTCAGGACAACACTGCGCGGCTTTTATTTATTTCACATTCACCGTCGTGATAGCACAGAACAGATGAATGCCTGAGTCGCTGCCGATGCTTTCACACTGAAAGTTTAACTCCGCAGTTGTGTTTAGAAAAAAGGAGGAAAAGATAGTTTTACGTACTTACTTTTCAGTTTGACGATGTTTTTTCTTCTTACACTTTTTGTGTTGATTTATCAATTAAAACGGAACATCTGTTTATATAATCCACACAAAATTTACCTACTTTTTGCTGTTCTCTATCTCTCTTTCTTTTTCTTTCAATATTTATATCCTGTAGGCCGTTCGAAAACCACATAAATGGCAGGGACATACATTTCTCACACCAACTTTTTGCGATCAGTGTGGATCGATGCTGCACGGAATTGCCCATCAGGGTATAAAATGTCAAGGTATCAGGAATAAGTAATCAAGAAAATAACACGCATAAGCGGCTGAAATTCCGCCCTGCGTGAGCATTTTCCTCTTCAAAGTGCCCGCAAAGAGGCCACAATGTTGATGCATTTGTCGGAAAAAAAACAAAACTCTTCAAATTTAAACAAAATATTTAGATAAATTTAGTGAATAAACCAACTTAGATGGTTCTTGCGTCTCTTGCATGACTTTCAATATGTGAACTTTCCATTCGTTCTCTCTTTGTGGACGTGAAATAGTGATGACGTTGCAGCTTAAAAGTTGTGGGGTGTCCCAATGTCTTGTCGAATGGCTGCAATTCTTCAAAAGCACACAAGTACACTCTCTACGGCTTTTGGTTTTAGATTTCCACCTCTTTGTCTCGTGCTGCATGACTCCTGTTGCAACTGCTTGTATTTGCGTGCTTAGAAAATCCCCTTCATTCCCACTGAAATGTCTCAATTCCACACGATGTCTTGCTGTCTCTTCACCACTTAATGATCCCTCTATTTGTCTTGTACATAGTTTGACTCTGGCGAGCTTTATTATTGGCTCGTTCTTTGCTGATTTTACAGGCAACGTGCGAATGCTGAGCAGAATGTATTAGGCATAGAAATATCTATTCAATTAAATGTGCTATTCAAGAAATCAAATTCAGTGTGAATCGGTAAAAAAACAGAATAATTTTCTACATTATATATATATAAAAGAAACAATTTCAAGTGTATACTTAACTGGGTCTCTCTGAATGAAAGTTTTGCGACAAGAAGATTTATCACTAAATGTACATTTTGCATCTTGCAGTGAAGCACCCTAAAGAGCCTGACTTTCCTCATCTCACAAGCAGAAGTGTAAAGTTTTCCTTCCAATCAATAAAATGCAATTAAGCATCTTGAGTGACCTCAGCAAAACACCCAACAATATTTTGCCACAGTGAACAAACGGAAATGGCAGTAACTCAATTTTCCTCTCGTTGACAGAGAAAAACGATGTAAAATCGCGTGTCAAGATTGGAAAATTTTAGTTGATTTTCCTTCTTTCACCACCCATTTATACCCATGTTCATTTCCCATGACTCTTATCAATATTTCCGCCTCGCGACCTCAGGTAAAGTGCTTTTTGTGCCTCTCAATTTCCACCTTTTTTTCGTTATTCTCCCACTCGAACGCCCACCCTTTGGCCGGGGATAATTTTCAACTTACTCACGAGGCGCAGTCGATTGGAAAGACACCTGAAGACACAAATGGAAACTTGTTGATTTTCACATTGAGTGAGTGAAAATTCTAAGGGGGGTGTAAAAAGTCACTCGTTGACATTTTATTGCATGACAACACGACAGGTTGTGTCAGAAAGTTAATTAATTCGACAAGCATTTAGCGAGAATAGACATTTAGCATTTTCGTCAAATGCCTGAGCTTTATTTCGTGCCCACGAGTGCTGGAAGTTTCTATATTTTCTACCTTCGAGGGTGTAAATTTAATGCTACAGAAATCCCGAACAATATATCCTGTGTGTGGTATTTCAAAAAATAACTCCCACACATGTTTTCATTATTACTGAATTCTGAAATTCATTCTGAAGCATTATTTCATGCCAATTTTGCTCGAAAACCTCATATGTTTTGCAGGTGTCTTTTTTCAAAAAAATATTCTATATTTTAAAATCAATATAGTTTTGAATGTAATGTGAAATTCATGGCACTCCTCCGCAGTGGTAAGATTGGAGTCAATTCTTCTTTCCACCACTGTCTCCACAGGGTGTTTTGCAGGTGATTTTGAGGAGCTGCAAAGTGAGAGGAATTCCAGGTGCTCTTTAGGCAGATACACGATTTCGCATGAATGATACATGAGACCTTTTTCCTTCTTCGCATTTTTCGCGAAAGAAAAAAGGCCCTAAATTATTAAGAGGACAGTGAGAAAGTCATGAAAATACAGAAGAGATGATGGGAAAATTTGTCGGCGAAAACGATGGGGAGAATATGAAGGGTCTTGATTGTGTATAATCTGAAAATTATGTTGCACCATTTTGCGTTGGTTAATTGTTTATAATATTCTTTAGTGTGTTTCTTGCTGGTTGTGTTCCCTCTATATGTGGCTCCACCACTTCTGGCTGTGTTTTCTAACCCTCTATGTTTGTACATGTTAACTTTCTACCCCCTGGAAACAACCCAACTGCATACGACGAGACTCTGACAGTGCCACCAGAAGCGCGCATTGCTCGTTCACTGCTAAAGGACATATTCTTCCCTATAATTGCAGCATGTGACATGAATGTTCACAAACGATGCGAGGAGAGCGTACCAAATCTCTGCGGATGTGATCATACTGAGCGTCGGGGGCGAATTCAGCTCGCCATTTCGTGTACAGTTAATAAGCTCACTGCTGAAGGTAAGTGTAATTATTACATGCCGCGCCATGCAGTTTTTTCTGGTCATTATGCAGATTAATTATACACACTGTGACAGATATATATTTAATCCCGCCTAATGAGCCAAAATGTGCTCTTACAAAATTTGTCAAACGCAATTTCCCAGTCATTTCAACTGCCCAATTAACTATTAATGGTGAAAAATTATTTTTTTTTCGCTCTCATTCAATACATTCAGTGAAAAGCACTAATATAGTAGCAAATGAAAGCATAAATGTTGAAAGGGGGAATTAAAATGCTGTCCAGAGTGAAAAGCATAGATTTGGCAGCTTTTTGATACGTTGAGGGAATATTCATTAGCGGCGATTTGAAATGTGACTGATTTGCTGAATATTTTAGGACGATTCAAAAATCAAGGACAATTTAGCGTTTTTCTATGGCGTGTACAAAATATGACTGTTCGAAAGTGGAAAACATAAAAGAATCACTGCACTTTACTTATGAGCTTGCGAAAGCTTCCAATAAAGTCGCAACGTGGAGTTCATCATCATAAATTTATGACTGTAGTTAAAGTGCATTTTTCTGCAGCGAAATCAAAGTTAATTACACGTAAAGTCTCATTTCGTGGATATTTTCTGATGCTGCAAATGGAGTTTTCAACATAATAAGCGCGATATTTACTACTGGCAAAAGTCTCCTTAATTGGCAAATATGGGATTAGTTTATAAGCAAATCAGGCACTCACATCGCAATCACAAATGAATCTCCACAATGTTGAGCAACTAAGAGACCAGTTGAGAAGTTTACTCATCCGAAGGCAACTCTCGGAGACTTTGCTATCTTCTCAAGATGATCGAGTTTTGATTAAAAAGTGTGTATAATTGGAAAACTTTATAGTTCCCACGCGCAGAAAATGGGCATTTTTGCGCCTTCAGCTCGCCTTTCTTCCACCATCGTCGTCTCAAGGTGGAGGGGCAAAATGCCGAGGGGGGGCGGAATATGCATTTGAAGCAAATCATGTATATAAAATTGCCATAAAATTCATCCAATGAGGCGCGTTTCTATCGCACGTCGCACATAGTTGAACGCCGGGGGGAGGAAAAGGGACGAGTCGTCAGATAAATCCACATAAAATGGGGATGAAGGTGAAGTGGATAAGAATAAAAGTATCCGGACGTAGAAGATGAAACTAGAGGTAATTTACGAACGCCACCCAGCTAAACAATTTAATCTCGCTCAAGTGTGAAGCAATTCAGTTTAATAGAAAGAGTAAATTCACCATTACCACCCCGTTTCCATTTAACACTCATCGCCCAGGCGCACCTCGGATTTTCGCCCGCCGAATCCCCAATGACACAATCATAATCATCACCGTCAATTATGTGGAATGGAGACGCCGGGTAGATAGGTATCTCTGGGCGCCTTTCTTCGTCGAATTTCCGCGCGCGAGCGATGAAATTTCCGTAAATCGCTAACAAGACGCTGTTCACATCAAATTCAGCTCAAAATTCAATGTGCAATTTCAGCATATTTATTTGCACTGCATGTCAAATTGGTAAAACAAACCTTCTGGATGAATAACGTTCAATTAACCAAACATGTTACTCGTGCAATTTCATCAAACACAAAATGCCCAGAGACTCGAGTATTCCATTAAATCAATTATCACTTGAATAGATTATACTTTTAAATTTATGAATATGTTCATTCTAATGTAATCAATAAAATCATTTTAAATATCAATTATTGATGCAAAATGCGTTATATGAACACCACAAGCAAGTGAGAGATTTTGTGGCCAAAATCTGTACATCACGTTCATGTTATTTTCACAAAACTCCATGCAAAGTTACTCGAGAGACTTGAACCCATGAGATTTTTTACTATATGAATAATTTGAAATATTCTTGTGAATTCGTCACACAGCGATCTGTATAAAGCTATTCATACCAGACCGGATTTTTCATTTCTTTTATCAAGGAAAACATCTTCTACTGATAAATTCATGACGTGTTCCTATATTTTCCAGCCCTTCGATAGACTCTCAAAGTGGTACTTGAGAAATTTTCAATCAATTGCAACCGTCGTCAAAACTACGACATCGCAACAAATTACATGTATTGCTATGAAAATTCTTCAAATTCCAATTGGCCACATCCTCTTTCTCAGAACGTGTTCAGCATTGTGAAATGTGGCTTGAAGAAAATTGGGGGGATTTTCTCAACAGGTTCCACTTGGGAATGCGTTGAAAATGTTTCTTTTTTCCCATTTTTCTTTCATATTCAGCCAAAAATATACAAAATAAAACTTACCCAAACATGGCGCTTTTAGACCAAAAAAATTCTCTAATTATAAACTATCACAAAATGGCATTAAAATCAAAAATTCAGTGAATGTGAAAATGATGTTTTGCAATAAATTGTCTCTCTCTTGCAGTGAAACAGGGCAGAAACTTAATTCCAATGGACCCAAATGGCCTGAGTGATCCTTATGTGAAGCTAAAGCTCATCCCTGACACGGACAACGTGAAGAAGAAAACCAAAACCATCCGATCCACGCTGAATCCTGTGTGGAATGAGACACTCGCCTTGTAATGACCTCACGTGTATTTTCGCCCATGCTTTGCGACATTCTTTGATGTGGAAATCGCTCTTTTTTCCACCCTCGTGCAAGTGACATTCATTAAAATTCTCACCTTGCCGAGGCGAAGCTTTTCATTGATAAATTCTATACCGACGCTATATTGTGTGGGTTTTCCCTTTTGAACTGAATGCGATGGGTGAGAAAATTGCGGTTGCCACACGAGTACCTGTGCAAGACAGTGAAATTTGTCGTGTATGGCGTGGTGCGTTTGATTAATTGATTAATTAAAACGAATCTTCCCTCCTTCATGTTGACAGTGATTTAAAGGCGGAAGACAAGGATCGACGTCTGCTAATTGAAATATGGGATTGGGACCGAACATCCAGGAACGACTTCATGGGTTCTCTCTCCTTTGGAATATCCGAAATTATCAAGGTAAATTGTCTCCCATTCATTACATCCACTCAAAATGGCGGGTCACGATATATTCAAAGGTATTTTACAATAGAAAAAAAGAGAAATTGGGGGGGGGGGGGCAAATCTATTTGGTTATTCATTGGAAAGTTCAAGTTTTAACGGTCGTGGGCTTAATCTGTAGGGTTTTGACAATCATGCCGACAATATGTGTCTCCAAAAACCATTCTTAATTAGGGTTAAAGAACATTAATTTATGAATTTAAGGAAGAATCTGATGAAAATTGCATTGAAAAAGCATTATCCCAAATTTATCTACATGCGTAGCATAGAAACAACTCTGTTTTGGCCTCTCTTTTTGAAAGCTCAGTGCTTTATGCTGAAATTTATCATGGATTGCCATTTCTTGGAATCTTTGCAATGACCTTTGCACCACGAAATTCCCCAAATTGATTGGCATTAAATATAAATGGCAGATGCAATCTGAATGTCCATTGTGTGCCACTGAATGCGATTCTCTGAAAATACTCTACTAAATGATGTTGCATTAAACCCTCGAGCAAAGTGCAGTGCTTTGGGGACTTTTGGAGACGACGAAGCGGTATTTTCCAGAAAATAGATGGGTTTACTCAACTGTTCTCCTCCTTCAAGGATGAACAATGCAGCGTGTTGAGCAAATTCCTAGAATAGCTGGAGCGATTGCTCTAGACATGAGATACAATAGCGCGATTGTATATAGAATAGCATTAAATGAAATGCAAGTTGAGCTTGCGAGAAGAATGGGAGAATCCTTGTTTGGAGATTCGACTGTTTGCTCTAGAGAGACAGCATCATTTTCTTGGAATGAGGAGAAGAGTGTTTAATGTGGAGATGCTGGCTTTTGACATGAATTGACTCCAAGTGTTCACTTGTTCGCATGTTGGGTGAAATTGAGTGGACAAAACTTTGCCATGCCCCAAAATAATTCATTCTCAATTTGCCAGCGAAAGCTCAAGAGCTTTCGTGGGTGGCTGTGGACTTGGAAATTTAATCAGGACGAAAGGTGGGCCTGTGAGGATTAAGTTAATTGTGTTTTTGAGACAAAAATTCTCACCCCGAGTCTCTGGCACTCTTGCAGAATCCAGCTGACGGATGGTACAAGTTGCTCACACAAGAGGAAGGGGAGTTCTACAATGTTCCTGTACCTGACGAGGCTGCCGACTTGGCCCAACTCAAGAGTCAAATGAGGGTGAGATGATGAATAAATTAGCATCTCGCGAAATTATCCCACTAATGAGGGGTCCTGCAATCACGCAGAAGACATCCATAACCAAGAAGCTTCCAGTCTCCACCGACAAGGACATCCCACACAACATGAGCAAGAAGGACATGATTCGCGCCACCGACTTCAACTTCCTTATGGTCCTGGGCAAGGGCTCGTTCGGCAAGGTGATGCTGGCCGAGCGCAAGGGCACCGACGAGCTGTATGCCATCAAGATACTGAAGAAGGACATCATCATCCAAGACGACGACGTGGAGTGCACGATGGTGGAGAAGAGGGTGCTGGCGTTGTCCAGCAAGCCGCCCTTCCTCGTGCAGCTCCACTCGTGCTTCCAGACAATGGTGAGCGCCCCACCCGCCGCCCAACCACCCTCCGTCACTCACCCACACTCTTTCCCCCTCCCCACAGGACCGTCTCTACTTTGTGATGGAGTTCGTGAACGGCGGCGATCTCATGTTTCAAATTCAGCAATGTGGAAAATTCAAGGAACCCGTAGCAGTGTAAGGCAGCCAATTCCTCTCTATTTATGCACCCAGAAATCCGCGGCACTCATTAATAAAATGTGATTTGCGCGAGAGATTCACCCTGCGGAACAATAGCAATTAAATTAGTGCACGGAAGAATAATTTCCGACAACCCCAAATAGCAAAAGGTCAAATTAATTTAATGACCAATTTTCCGCTCCTGCTTTAATCAAAAATTCAATACTTCTGACGCAAAGGGGCTTCTAAGGCAAGGACGAGCTTTTGTATTTGGAATTCATCAAATTTGTCGGCTATTTGAGCAAGAAGCCGAAATTTATTCATTTGAAAACAATCCCATCTGCTTAGTGTAAAGAAAGCGGTAATTTGGGCTGAGTAATGACATTAAGATAAAGCAGTTAACCAAAATCAAGTCAATTTTTCGGAATTGAAAGGTAAGACAATAGGCTTACAAGAGAAAATGAACGTTTTCTTCAAGAAAACTCGTGTAAATGGGCGGGGCATTCAAGGGGGAGGAGCTTATGTATGCATTTAAGAAGATTACTATGTATTATGATGTTCTTCCGCACAGATTCTATGCATCTGAGATAGCAATTGGACTCTTCTTTCTGCACTCTCGTGGGATCATCTATCGTGACTTGAAACTGGACAACGTGCTGCTGGACGCCGACGGACATATCAAGATCGCCGACTTCGGCATGTGCAAGGAGGGCATTTCGTACGACAAGACCACCAAGACATTCTGCGGCACTCCGGACTACATCGCGCCGGAGATCATCCTGTACCAGCCGTATGGCAAGTCCGTGGACTGGTGGGCGTACGGCGTGCTGCTGTACGAGATGCTGGTGGGCCAGCCGCCGTTTGATGGCGAGGACGAGGAGGAGCTTTTTGCCGCCATTACGGACCACAACGTGTCGTACCCCAAGAGCCTGAGCAAGGAGGCCAAGGACGTGTGCAAGGGCTTCCTCACGAAGAATCCACAAAAGAGGCTCGGCTGTGGGGCGCGTGGCGAGGAGGACGTGCGCGGTCACTCATTCTTCCGGCGCATTGATTGGGACAAGATTGAGAATCGAGAGGTTCAGCCGCCCTTCAAGCCGAAAATTGTACGTAAATGCCCTGTGCAAATATTGATTGAATTGCCTTCTTTTTTACTATCTCCCTTCTCTACTTTCCCTTTATTGCAGAAACACCGCAAGGATGTATCCAATTTCGATAGGCAATTCACATCGGAGAAAACTGATCTCACGCCAACTGATAAGTTATTCATGATGAATTTGGATCAAACCGAATTTATGGGATTCTCCTATCTCAACCCGGAGTTTGTGCAGCACATCTAAAGTGCTCGCTTTGCCATCCTCACACGACAATTCTACCCACTCACTCTCTCTCTCTCTCTCTATTTCTTGTGATTTTTCGGAACCAATCAATGTTATCCACACCCCTTGAGATAAATGCCTGGAGAGAACAAGAATTATATAATGTTAATGATAGTGAGTCTGAACAATCTGTTGAACTTTTTCTACTCAGAGCTCTTTCTACACAGACAAATTTACTTTAGACCGCCAAAGAAGGCGATTTTCGTGATGAAATATGATCGTATTGACTGCTCGGCGCATCTTTCAGTCTTGTCAAATCTTTTGAAATATCCATGGAAGCGCCATGACGAAAGGATTTTGAGAAAGCTTAGCCAGCTTTCATTTGTCTTATTGGATAATCCTTTCATGTAGAAGAATTTTGTTGACAGAGGGAAAAACTGTCATCCTTTCCTAGTGCTTGCAGTCAAAGAGTGTGAATAGGTGAATCTATGGGCAGAGAAAAGTGTGTCAAACAGGGGGAAAACACTTGTGGCATGAGATGTACAGCCAATACTTGTGGTGTATTTAGGAACTTTTCACTTTACTAACTGCCATTACATGATTATATAGTGTAAAAAATATATCTTTGCCATTGAAGAAAGCATATATTGATTACCTCTTAGATATTCCACACTGTGTTAATTTCTTTTCCACACACACACATTTTCATTTCCGATTAATGATGATGTCCCACCGCAAAAGAATTTTAAATTTCGATATACAAGTCTTTACGAATTATCTTCATGAAGTTGAAGACTTTTTTGAAATAAATAGAAGACATAATGTGGAGAAGGATGAAATATGTAATATCTTATCAACTTCCAATTCAAGTGTAATAAAATACAAATATCATATATACAACATTAAAGAAATATAGTAATAAAAAGTATGCAAATTTAGAGAGTGACGCTTCAAGCCCTCCAATCAATGGTTGAGTCCCAATTGATCTCGAGTGGTTTGAGAGAACCATTTTCTCAAGTTCTGTGCTACTTCTGGAAACACTGAGGAATTTTTCAAAGAAATCTTGCGTTCGTATGCGATTTACTTTGAGAAAGTCAACTGAAAAACTCTGATTATACTTTCTACTAAAAAATAAACAAATTGTCAAGAGAAAGTTAATCATAACTTTATTAATAAATGTGTCAAAAGATTAAATGATAAAGAACCATTGCAGTTGTAACACTTTATTTAGATACACGTTAAGAGATAAAAAGAAAAAAAGAATATTGATGTATATTTCATTCAGAAACACAAAGCAAAAATACTTTACTTTATAAGAGATTTGAAGAATTGCCACTTGGAGAAGTTAAACTGTGTGTTCACATGAAATAATGAAACATTTGAGCATGACTAAAGTTCATTTCTACATTTGCTTTGGTTTTTAACCAACTTACAAAAGTGGCGCTGTTTTGTCAGAGAAATATTTACAGCCTACAAATATTCTAAAAGTACCAGAAATTTCAGACAACCAAAGGTATCAATCGCAATTACATTCAATTGATCATTGCAGTGAGAAAAAAACACTGCCAAGTGGCAAAGAGTAAAAAAGCATTTCTCTCGCTTACGTAGTCCAAAATGCAGTAAAACTTTTCCAGTATCACGCTTAAGAGACATATTAACAAAGAAAGTATTAATGTAATAGAATGAGTAATAATGGCATTAGTAATGGAATATGTAGCAAAAAATATAATAGTTCTATTCTTTTCAATTTTAGGGCCTATAGCAATAATTTCTCTTAGTCTTTCAAACAGCAATTTTATCATTTACAAACCGTATGTTTTCATCACTCTTCCATTAATTTCATGACAGTTCATTTGAATAGCAGCAGACAAAGAAAGAAAGCAAAAATGAGACAAGTTTGGAAGAATAATCTTGTAAATACTTTTGAATCCACTCTTATACAAATTGTAGTTACATAACGTATAACTTTTCTCGAGTGCTTTTGAAAATAAATAAAAAACAAACAAATTGATAAATGAATTATATTGTCAAAATAATGTAGTAAAATCCAAACTATTTAAATTTATGAAGAACAAAAAAAAGGATATTCAAAAATAACAACATTTAAATTAAATTATACATTTAAGCACTTTTTGACAATCTAATTGTAGGTAAAGAAGAAGAATAAAAAAACTATAACAAGAGAAACAGAATTATAGTCAAAAATGTTTATTGATTCAAAGAAATTCTACAATATATTGTTATTAATTTTCTTGATGTTATTGACAGACAAATTTGAAGTCTATCTTTATCATTCCATTAAAGTAATTTTTTCGTAAAAATTATATTCATGAATTCCACGCTAAAAAGTAATACTCTTTACTTTATTTTGTATAACCTTCGCTATATTGAAAAGTATTTACGTTCTATGTATTACATCTTTCCTACGCGTCATTGTGACTGCTGTAGGAAAAGATAAAGTTGTTTCTTATGACTAACTTTAGAAAAGACGTTTTGAGATTTGACGATAGTATATCAGAAAAAAGAGGATATAATAAAAGAGAAAATATAACTATAGTAAATGTATTTCGAAAGGGGATTCTTTTGTGTCCACTTATTGACTAACCACCTTTGAAACAATTTAAGAAACTTATAGAAACTATGAATGCAATAATGATGGAAAGAACTTTCAATTGATACTTTGTACATTTTGTATTTTGTTGACAGTGGAAATATTGAGGAAATTCTATTGAACTTGTTTACGCTGTGAGTTTCAAGGAAATTGTCTTAATTTCGGATTTAGACGCCAAAGTCATATAATATTTAAATATATTATTACATTCAAAATTCTCAAATGAAAATTATATCAAATATTATATTTACATCATTATGATAATTCAATTAAATAAACCACTATATACTCTTTCAACTTACTTCACTGCTGTTTCTTATCTCTCCTCCAAATCAGAGCTTTTTGAACACTAAATGAATAGGATCTTCAGACTGCACAATCAAAGCCTTCTTATCAATTCTTATGGTTGACGGAGTTCTGTCACAGCGTTCGATTCTGTAATTCTTTAACACCGCAATGATTGCCAACTTCACCTGAAGCATTCCGAATCTGGCGCCAATGCAGCCTCGAGGACCCTGACCGAAGGACAGGAAGAAGAAATCCTTAACGTTATTTCTGAATCTCTCTGGATTGAAGGTGTTTGGATCTGGATAGAACTTCGGATCGCGATGAATTCCAAGGACTGGAATGTAAATTGGCATTCCGCGAGGGATGCTGAATTTGTGGAAAGGCTCGAGAGAGTAAGTCTCGCCTTCCGTTGGCTGACAAACTCTGTCCAAGAATGGTAAAGTTGGATACAATCGAAGCACCTCTGCAAATAGCCCAAAAATTATTTTTCTTACACGTTTTTGTGTTTCTCTGCGAGCAAGAAAGATACCTTGAACAACCATTTGAAGGTACTGAAGTTGATGAATTGCTTCATAAGTAATTTCTCCGCGAGTTTTCAAAGCCAGAAGGATTTCTTTTCTTAGATTCTCCTGGATATCCTGATGCTTCGCCAGTTCATACATGGTAAAAGACGTGACCGAAGCTGTAGTTTCATATCCAGCGGCGAGGAAAACTGCGGCTTGAGCCACTAAAACATCCCCAAAGAAGATATCACTGCGACTATTCTTCATGGTTATCAGAACATCGATCAAGTCATTGCGTTTGGATCCGCTCTTCTCCCTTTCCTGCATCACATGATTGATGGACTGACGGATGAATCTGCATGAGGATTTTGGGAAGATTGTGAACTTAAAGAGAGTCGCCAGTTCGGGAAATAGGAAGCACGTGAAAAATTGAATAGCGCGTCGCCAGGTAAAGTTCGTTATTTTCCGAACATGAACACAAAATTCGGATTTGTGGTTGTTTATTGAATTGGCTCTGACACCAAAAGCGCAAATTGATATCATATCGATTGTCAGCAATCCAAAGAGATTCTTCACATCCACTTCAATTTCACCATCGCAAGTGTCTTGAGACAATTTGTGGTCGAAAACCTCACAAACATCCTTCATCAGTGCAAAGAAGTGCTTCATCTTCACTCCCGTGAAGATTGGTGACACATTTGTCCTGATATTCCTCCAAGTCTCACCGTGAGCCAATGCCATCATGTTTCCGCCAATTGGATCGAACTTGGGATCAGCGGACACTCGCCTGTCCTGAAAGTTATTGAAGTCTCTCACCAAGATGCGCTTTATCAGCTCTGGCTCGCGAATCACTAGACTGGGAGAGTGAAGGAAAAAGAAGCCGGAAATCGCTTCACTCCTTGCCCCATTGTACAGATCCACAAACACTTCACTGATGCTCTTCTTGAACAACACACTCAAAATGCCAACGAAAGGAGCACCAGGAAAGTAAGACACTCCGCGATCTTCCCAGTATTTCTTCGAAGATCTCTGCCACCACACTGCGAGCAGACATAGACTCAGAGCGATCGCCAGAAGCACCAGCAATGCCATCGCTTTCTGTGCCGAACCAAGAGAGACTGAGAACAGAATCCATTTGGTGTGGAGATAAAAGATGCATCGTCAATTAAATTCAGAAGACGAAAAGAGATAATAAAAAGACATCACACGTGAAAGTTGCTGAGAACTTTCTCCACTTCACTTCCAAACCAATATTGCATAATTAAACTTCGAAATATTGAAATTCGTCCAAGTGACGAAGAAGAGACACAAGACTGCTTAATAATTTTCTTGATTCTATGGGAGTAACTGGAATTTAAATCAAGGGAGATGCAATGACTAAATGGAGAATCTCCGAAGAGATTTAAGTTCTCAAACTCTTAAAAATGTTATGCTTGTACCAAACAATTGGAATCAAATTACATGTTAGAATTGAAACATTTAATTTTCCCACCTTCTTAGAGCTTTCGAAACACTACATTAAGAGGATCTGCACACTTCACAATTAATGCTTTCTTATCAATTCTTATGGTTGACGGAGTTCTTTCACAACTTTCAACTCTGTAGTTCTTCAAAACCGAAATTATTCCCAGTTTGACTTGAATCATTCCAAATCTGGCGCCAATGCAGCTTCGAGGACCCTGACCGAAGGACAAAAAGATGCTTTGCTTAGCCAAGTCTTTGCCCTCGCCACGGAATCTCTCGGGGTTGAAGGTGTTTGGATCTGGATAAAACTTCGGATCGCGATGAATGGCGACGGCTGGAATGTAGACTGGCATTCCGCGAGGGATGCTGAACTTGTGGAAAGGCTCGAGAGAGTAAGTCTCGCCTTCCGTTGGCTGACAGACTCTGTCCAAGAATGGTAAAACTGGATAAAATCGAAGCACCTCTGCAAATGAGAACGTTTTTATATGAATTCAGGATGTTGTCTTGTGTATTTGACGGTTCAGAAATTACCTAGAGCAAACATGTCAAGATATTCCAGCTGATTAATCCTCTCATAAGTAATATCACCGTAAGTCTCGAGCTCTTCATGAATTTCACTCCTCAATTTCTCCTGGATTTCTGGGTGCTTTGCCAATTCATACATAGAAAAAGCCAAAGTAGATGAAGCTGTATCGAATCCAGCAGCCAGAAAAACGACCGCTTGACCAACTATTGCATCGTCGTTAAATATATCTCCTTGAGTGTTCTTCATTGTTATTAAAATATCCACCAAATCGTTGCATTTCGCGCCACTTTTCTCCCTTTCTTCCATCACATGATTTAAGGATCGTTGCATGAATTTATAAGACGTTTCATGAAAAACGGTGAATTTGAGTTTTTCCGACAATTCAGGGAAGAAAAATCCCGTGGACAAAACAAACGCTTGTCTGAATGAGAAATCTGTCATTTGCCTAACATAAAAAAGAAATTCTGATTCACTATTATTCAGTGAATTTGCGTTCACTCCAAAAGCACATCGCGAAATCATATCAACTGTTAATAAGCCAAAAAGATCCTTGGCTTTGTATTCGAAAAATCCTCTGCTCGTATCTTTGGATAATTTCACTTCGAAAATCTCACAAACTTCCTTCAAAGAGACGAAGAAGTTCTTCAGTTTTATTCCAGTAAAAATCGGAGAAACATTCTTCCGTATGTTTCTCCACAAATCACCTTTTGCCATAACAATTGTTTGCGTGCCAATAGGATCAGCAACAGGATCGAATGACGCTCGCCTAGAGAAGATATTTACCAATTAACTACAAATAATAACAAATAATGTTGTATAATGAATTATACAACAAACCTGTCGGTAAAACAATTGAAGTCTTTCACTAAAATCCTCTTTATAAGTTCAGGTTCGCGAATAATAAGTCCGGGCGTGTGAAAAGAGTAAAATCCCGAAATCGGTTCGTTCTTCGTCTTCTCGTCATTGTAGAGATCATTGAAGAGTTCAGAAGTGCTTTTCCTGAACAAAACACTCTCTTTCAAGGCGCCAACGAACGGCGCGCCGGGAATATAAGAAACTCCGCGATCTTCCCAGTATTTCTTCGAAGATCTCTGCCACCAAATCGTCAGAGTGGCCAAGATCACACAGAGACTCAAAAACACTTCCACAAACATGTCTTTTTTGCTTCAGCGCTTGACTAAAACTGCGCGAATTTTGGTAAAGCAGAACTACTGAAGAGTTGTGAAAGTATTTTTATGAATTAATTTGCATTCATCTGTATGAGATGTTTAAAAATGATCAATGAACTTTGTGCCAAATATTTTATTTGCTTAACTTTTTTACCACACAAAATTATGTCACATTAAGTGTCCCATTTTTTCCTATCAAAGTTTTTCGCTCTAGATAACACCATCATTATAATAAGATAATTAACAATTCATGAATACCTCAAGGAAAATCAACACGACAAATGACATTAAAAGTAGGCACAATCTCTCTTTACTCCCAGTCTGTCTCCCAGTGCATTTATGAATTAAAAGTTAAGATAAAGTGGAATTATTGTTATCTGTTCCTTTTGCCTTGACCTCAGCAACGGAAATGATGTCGAGAAAAGCCTTATACGCTTATCATAAGAATGGCCAATATACCTAATAGTTTCCTCTTCAACATTTATCACAATTTAAATACCATTAGCTTCGATTCTGTGTGATCTGAAGAAACTTTCTCAGACACTGGAATTCCGTTGGCTTTGAGCTCGTTGAAGGGAAAAATCTTCACAGCAACAAAGCCTAATTTATCCACAATCGTCGATGAATACTTGGAGCTGGAACTTGTGAAGACTATTTTGGGAATTCTGTCTTTGATCCTTTCATCCATGGTCTCAGGACACTTTCCCGCTGCAATTTCCCTCGCCATGATAAGTGAGGACTCGACTAGACTTTGCGCAACACCAAGTTTGCGATATTCGGGAATAGTTGTAACCCAGACGAACTCAATGTAATGATCAACGTTGTACATTTCAAAGAGATCGATTTGCTTATCTTTGGCAATCCTGAAATCCAGTAGGCTTTTCAACAATTCACTGTCGCTGCTGTCTCTAAACTTCTCATAGAATGTCTTCTCGTCACACTGAAGGCGAGATTGAATGTGATTTAAGCAGTATCCTATGATCCTCTTCGATCGCACGTCACGAGCAACAACTGAAATTCCGGCAAAGAGCACAGCTTTCACAATCTTTTCATACTCGAGACGCGCTTTCGCTGCTTCTGGCTTGTTCATCGCGAAAGCAGCAAAAGTGTTGGCGCTTTTCATGTAACCTTCGCGCAGAACGTGCAAAATTCCATCGAGATCGTCTTTCGGATTGCACAATTGGATTACAATATCACCTGAAAACACACATTTTAAGACAAAGTGACAGGAATTGTGAGATAAAATTCACACCGTTGTTAATGACACTGAAGACTCTCATTTTGTGAGCACAAACATCCAACTGTGATAAGTAGCATGAATTAATTTCTGGCTTTGAGTTGAGAGCTTATAAAAGCACATAATCTCATACCATACTAAAAAGTGTAATAAATTTTTCATGTAAAACAATCGCTGAAAAGAAACTGTATTGTCATAAATGAAGACATAAACTTATGAACGTCATTAACAGAGGCAAAAAACAACTTCTTCCTCTCAGGTCAAAGATTTAATTAATTCATTTGTACAGACAAATTTTTATGGTTTTTGGTCCAACATGTTTAAAGCTTTCTGAATACTAAATTGACTGGATCTTCAGACTGGAGAATCAATGCTTTCTTATCAATTCTTATGGTCGGTGGTGTTCTTTCGCAACATTCAACTCTGTAGTTTTTCAGAACCGAAATTATTCCCAGTTTTATCATAAACATCCCTAATCTGGAGCCAATGCAATTTCGAGGACCCAGACCGAAAGCCAAGAAGAGGGCACTTGTATCATTTGTATTATTAGTATTGTCGCGAAATCTCTCGGGGTTGAAGGTGTTTGGGTCTGGATAAAACTTCGGATCGCGATGAATGGCGACGGCTGGAATGTAGACTGGCATTCCGCGAGGGATGCTGAAATTGTGGAACGGCTCGAGAGAGTAACTCTCGCCTTCCGTTGGCTGACAAACTCTGTCCAAGAATGGTAAAACTGGATACAATCGAAGAGTTTCTACAGGAAAAAAGAATGAAACTTCCTTAAGCAACTTCCTAACCTAGAAATTTTTGTGTTTCTCTTACCAAGAACAATCATTTGAAGGTAGTAAAACTGATTAATCGACTCATAAGAAAATTCACCGTGATTTTTGAGCTCTTCCTGAATTTCTCCTCTCAATTTCTCCTGGATTTCTGGGTGTTTTGCCAACTTATACATAGTGAGAGCGAGAGTTACGGAAACTGTGTGATGACCGGCGCCTAGGAAAACAGCCGCCTGAGATATTAAAGCATCTCCATAAAATATGTCTCCTTGAGTGTTCTTCATTGTTATTAAAATATCCACCAAATCGTTGCATTTCGCGCCACTTTTCTCCCTTTCTTCTATTACATGATTTATGGATCGTCGCATGAATTTATTAACCGATTCAGGAAAAGCGGTGAATTTGAGTTTTTCCGACAATTCAGGGAAGAAAAATCCTATGGAAAAGACAAACGCTTGTCTGAATGTGAAATCTGTCATTTTTCTCACATTAACGAGAAATTCTGATTCACTATTGTTCAGTGAATTTGCGTTCACTCCAAAAGCACATCGCGAAATCATATCAACTATTAATGAGCTGAAAAGATCTCTGACGTCATATTCGAAGAATCCTTTGCTCGTATCTTTAGCCAATTTCACTTCGAAAATCTCACAAACTTCCTTCAAAGACACCAAGAAGTTCTTCAGTTTTACTGCAGTAAAAATCGGAGAAACAAGATTTCGTATTTTTCTCCACATTTCACCTCTGGCAAATGGCAATGATCGAGTTGCAATGATATCAATATTTGGGTCAAATGACACTCGCCTATTAGGGAAAGAAGACAACGTCTTAGGCCATTTCATTCAAAGTTACACTATTCGCACTGAGTACAAACCTGTCGGTAAAACAATTGAAGTCTGTCACTAAAATCCTCTTTATAAGTTCAGGTTCGCGAATAATAAGTCCGGGCGTGTGAAAAGAGTAAAATCCCGAAATCGGTTCGTTCTTCGTCTTCTCGTCATTGTAGAGATCATTGAAGAGCTCAGAAGTGCTTTTCCTGAACAAAACACTCTCTTTCAAGGCGCCAACGAACGGCGCGCCGGGAATATAAGAAACTCCGCGATCTTCCCAGTATTTCTTCGAAGATCTCTGCCACCAAATCGTCAGAGTGGCCAAGATCGCACAGAGACTCAAAAACACTTCCACAAACATGTCTTTTCTGCTTTCGCAATGAACTGCGAATAATGAAATTGAAGTCTTGCAATTTCTACACTGATCACAGATGCTTCCCACGAACTCAAGTTAGTTGCTAGTGTGACTATTTAACACAGTGATCCAGAGTGTCTTGCATATTCATCAGCTATTTACTCAATCAGTAATACAATCATTCATTTTGCTATTCATACATTCACTAGGCTTTAGCGTGTCTCGCAGTTCGAGTCAATAAAGTCATGCGAAATTTTTGAAGCCGAAAGTTTTGCATCCAGCCTCAATCTGTAATCTGTCGAAATGTCTGTGTCACAAGAAGAAGATAGCGAATCATAACACGAAAATTTGCACATTTAACACATCTCTAAATATAGCTAAACAACTTGTGTTGTTCTCCAAAGGTCAAATATAAACTGTGACGCAAATTGTTATGCAATTTAATCGCTCTTGGTTTACAAATGTATTTCTAATGCATGTATTGCGATTTTTAAATGACTATTACAATGTGTCATGTCGATTTGCATGATTACACTAGAAGTACACTCAAGTTTTCTATCCAATCTTCTCTCGGCAGAAATGTGTCTCGAATAGTTCTCAAGCATGTAAGAAAAACATAGAATATAATGTGAGGAGAATATCCTGGAAGGTTTGCAAGAATTTCCCCAATTTCCCCTTAAAACATATCTTGTCTCGGCTGTTCCTGCTATAATTTCTGTGGCAAAACACTCATCAAGAGCAGTTACACATTTTAAATGCAGTTCAATGATTATTCAATTGCAGTCTAATGTTTTGCAACTGAATTTCACTAAATTTAATTCATTTATGCAAAATTAATAGCACATCTTTGTATAAATTTACCAAGAGAGAGAAAGAAGCCACTAATTTGTCAATTTACTATAATATTTTAATTACAATGTGTATCAATATTGAGCATAATTTTCTCGCAAAAACATTCACTCAGTCAGAAATTCTCTGCCTCTCATTGTTTTGGTTTTTCAGCTCGCACAATCGATTCAGTTGTGGTCCAGCACAATTGAAGGGTGTGGGAGAACCCCACTAGAATTCAACCCGCTTTTCATTGCTCATGCCAACATAGAAACTTTCCTTTGTCTGACTGTATCAAAATAATAAGAGAGACGCTCTCATGGCAAGAAAACAGCACACAATTGAAGACTTTCGTGATTGTGTTTTATTGAGGCAATCTTCGAGAGGATTCGAGAGTGCTTCCGAGATTGGAAAATGTCCGCTGCCCATTGGCAGCTTTTCATGAGCAACATATAATTTCCCGAGGAGAAAATAATAAACCGCACCACGGGCATTTGTGGAGATATCATAGCGAAAAGCTGTGACACATTTTCCGCAATTTCTCCACGGATAATGATGTCGAGGCGCGAGTAAGAAGCTCTCCATTATTCATACCAGACGCCTTGGGAAAATGATAAATTTGATCTAGTTGAAAATTGTGCACACACGTCTGCGAAATCGTCCTCGAGTCTCATTTGTAGCGAGTCGCGTGGCTCAAATACATATTTGTCAGCAGCTCAGGATATGAAATAAAATAATCTCAGACTTGTGAATATTTTATCACACTTTGTCAGCAAAAGCTTTGAACAGACAGCATTTCACTCTTCATTAACCAGAGAAACCTTGTGAATTTTCTCACTGACCATTTTCTCAAAAGTCACTCTCTTTTATGTCGTGCTCACGAATCAGCTTCAGAAAGCAATTATTTAATAGATAATTTTTATCACAATCTGTGCAACAATTAATCAAATTATCGCTAGTTCTTGAAGACTGAAATGAGCTGAAAATACTAGATAATTTAAATCAATATTTTATCATATTGTTTTCGAAATTTCCCGGCTATTTTCTGATTCAAAGGCAATTTCAGCGAGTATTATTATTTGTCTTAGTTAAACTCTCTTGGAACATTTCATAATAGTGAAACCCGGATAATTCGTTTTCAAGCGTTATATTAAGTTTGCTGAACTCTCGAAAACATAATGAAAATCTTTTCCAGGATAATGAATTTCAAATTGCATTTATGCACTTGACTAAATAAGTAGATTTAACAAGCTCACAGGAAAGGATATATTGAATTGTATTTTGATTGTATCAACAACTTCCCATTCTGCAGCTGCCATTGAGAAATTGATATTTCATTTTCCAAATTAATTTATAAGTATTCTCTTGTTTTCTTCGTTTCTTCCCCTACGAGAGAAAACTTCTGAAGATTTCTCTTAAGTGGGGTATTTTTTCCCTACTAAATGCACGTTTGCGCAGTGAATTGGGGAATCTTCGTCAAGTTTTCCACCACTTTTCCACTCCATCCCTTCCCTACATGAGATACGGGAGAATGTTTTTGCCTGAAGACTTCCTTGAGGTTTAGCGGCGTTCTCATGCAGATACTTGGTAGAAAATTTCATTTCCACGATAATGAGAGATGTGGAGGGAAAGTCATTTATTGGAGTACCTCAGAGAAACTCAATTTACCTCCCTTTTGTACGTAAACTCTGGGCGTCTCATGGTAATTGTACTCAATTTCCAATAAAAGCTAATCTAGCGCGATCAGCGAGTTGAGGAGCAACAGAAACAGGATAATCAATTTCACGATAGTTTCAGATTGTGTCCTCAAGTTCCCTCAATGAGCCCGTTAAAATGTTATTGGCACTCTTGACACTTGTTTGCCAAGATAACGCGAAGCCATTGGCATAATCTTGAGGAGAAATGATAGGACGACATTAAATTGATGGCATTATATAGAGCGACTTCTTGGATATAAATTCTATGGTGTAAGTGAGAATCGTGAATTCTTGCTTTTTCTATGATTTTCCTTCCTATTTCATTTTAAAAACTCAATATCGTGCAACTGCTGCAGGGATTTTTACAGCACGTAGTTCAAAAGAATCGTGACAAAGAATGGTGTGACTCTTATCACGCGCTAAATTACGTTTCGATTGCATATCCAGTAAATTTCGACATTGCGCAGCATTGAAATTTCAGCGAGAATTGGCGTTAATAGATATGAATATTTCAGTGAAAATTGTGAATAAAACATATTAAATATGCTATTATTCGCAGTAATGAAACTTTCTGAGTTCACAAACAGGAATTGATCTTGCTTCATTTCTCACGTTGAGAAGCTTTCCTGTCAAAGCTTAAAGCTGCTTTCAGTAATAAGTTTTGCTCGGCCTTTTTGTGTTTTCCCTTTTCTCTGATTATTATTATTTGTCATTATTTGTTCACGTGACATTTGAGTTTATCAATATATTTTTCCATGTTCTATGACTTCTTTTTCAATCACTCTCGGCAGTAATCCCTAATGATGATGCTTAGCCGACATTATTTTTATTTTTATTGTACACATTTGCATGAGCAGCTCTGCATTCATGGACTATCAACGTTCACACTTTCTTCTCATTTTCGCATTGGGTAACAAGTCAATAACTCAATATTTATGCAAATTGCCGGTCGCCGCCCATAAAAAGGCAGTGAAATGAGATTTAGCAAAAGGCGAAGGAGGTGTAATTCTCTATTTCACTTTCCTCGACATCCGCATAGACAAGAAAGTGTCCTCGTCAGGACCCAAACGTGAGGATGCGAGTGTGGCGTAAAATTTTTATTTGGACTTTATGTTAATTCTGCACATGTTCAATATCAAGCATATGAGACAATCTCCATAGCGTGTGCATAAGCGAAACTTCTCCTCTAGGGCCATATCGATTTTCCCTGGGATCTCGCTTATTCCATGGTGAAATGTCACGTCGGACAGTGCCAAAAGGAAGAACAGGAAATGCGATTGAGTGCATAAATCCGCATTGTAATGGATTTATTGGCAAGAGTTTTATGTATGGCGAAGAATTGGTATAAAATATGGAAGTGGTTTCAGGGTTGCGAACATTCGACGAAAATGCTTTTATTGGGCTTCCATTCCTTTTAATATCAAACTCTTCTTCGGCGCCATAAAATGTTAGGACACCCAATTGGTCAAACTTCTTCCATATCCTTTTGCGTTTTTTTTTCCCCTATCCCAAGGCTAGAGAAAACCTTCCGCGTTATTAAGTTTCTGGGTGGAAAAAGCGAATCGATGTGTGAAGGGAAAATTGAGGTTTTACAGCCATATAATTTTGTGTCGATAATGACTCAAAGGGAAGGTGGAGAATTCGAAAATGTGAATAGAAAGGACTTTTTAATACCTGTAAATATGATTTCATCTTGGATTTCATGGAAAGTTTTAACTTTATAACAAGCCACATTCCCTTTGATGTGTTACTTCAGAAAAGTTTCCCCTGTGAATATTAAATTAGTGTTCAAGCTTTACAGAACATACTTAGTTTGCTGGTCTTCCTGTAAATTGAGCAATTTGCAAGCATGTTCAATTCATTATACGTGCAGAGGTTTAATGAAAGTTTGGTTTATAAATAAGCCAATGTAATTTGATAGATGTGAAACGTACATAATATAATCAAAGGGATGATAAAATGTTGCTTGTTTGAGCTACAGATCATATAATTAAGCTATTCATCAGGTCAGTGCTTCTGAACAAACACTAGGGATATAATGATTTGATGTACGTAATATTCTCTAGAGTTGTCCTAATGGATTAATAACACATCTTTGAGCAGTACTAACATTATTATCTCTGTACAATCAATGAAGTGCATCATTGTATGCTCAGGTTACTTCATTGAAGAGCTCCTATGAGAATATCCCCAGATAAACACACGCAAGAGTAAAATTTACCCTCTATAAAGGGGGATATTTTATGGGTTGAGAGCATTGGAAAGCTTCAAAATTGTTGCCGATATCAAATATTTGATTTTCACTCCTGCCTAAAAGATATCAAAATTCAACTACCCAGAAAAGGGATGCTTTTGCGCCTCTGTATCCCCTTTCATGTCTTCACTCACTACACCATGAAATTCAAAGCGCCTGATAACACGTCCGATAAAAGTATGTGTTTATGACTCCCTCTCGGACCGTCCTATGCATTTTAATGATCAACAGTTTGTACACACATCATGGGAAATCCTCTTACGCCACAATATGTTGGATGTGGTGCAAAATTGACAGAGTGTATCCCTTTTGGTATCGAAAGTATAATACGGAAAATTGATTTACGACTGGCAGGGCTTTCAATTACAAAAGATGAGGGGGTAAATGTGATTTATTAGGGCCTGTAATCACTTTACAACCTGTATTGTATAGTTATAGTTTGCTCAAAGGGATCCCGTGGAGAATATTTAGTGAGAATAAATCATTCAGTACCGCTAAAAATAAGCTCTTTTGCATCGCATCATAAATATTATTTATTATCTGTGTATCTACTAATTATATATACAACTTAATTGAGTGCTTTTCATGCAGTTTTATGAGTAATGAAAAATCTGAACAAGGATAAAAATCATGTTTCAAATCTTAAAGATTCATATTTATTAAATGCGCCAGCAAAACCTTTCAAGTATTAATTGAAAATAATGCTTTAATTAGCAAATTCAGTCTAACACCTTTTTCCCTTCTCTGCTTTCCACAAAGTTTCGCCACAGATTTCACACTAGAATAAAAGTCGTTGAATATGAATTTCTGGCGCAATCTCCAGTAGCGACATCTGGGAAACATCCTAAACATTTTAGCATAACATTACGACTTTGTATAATAGTTTCTCATTTCGAATTATCGATACTTCAACGGAATGGTGTGAAAAGAATTAAAAAAAAAAACGTAGTATTTATTTGAAATCTTTATTCACTGTATAAGAATATCAATTGTCAATAAAATATTATATTGGTAAATTTGTATTGGTTCTTGTGTTACATTTTTTTGCTAAACTTTTGAGACATTTGGTCCAGTTATTTGGTTACAAGTGAATTCACTATACATGTATTTTCAATTATGGAAATTGTCACTCAATGGAAGCTTATTTACAACAAAAAAAATATTCTCAAAATCACAGATAACACGAAAACATAAAATATTGGGGGAATTAGAGGAATTACGTGGAAAGGTTTTGTGCTTTTTGGCACACTTCGGCGCTTTTCTAAGCTTCTCAGATCGATACTCTATTATTATTTTCGCGTGGCATTCTCCGGCGGACGTTTGGGTTGGCGACGTCCCAAGAGCATCACGACGTCCCCAGTCTTGATGGACTTGAACACGTCGATGGCCTCCTGATGAGACAGACCTTGAAGACTCTTTCCATTCACCGACAGGATCTCGTCTCCTGGTAGAAAAGGGGACATTTTGTAGTGATTTTAGGAGCTTGTCTGGCTGTTCTTACCCTCCTTGAGAGTGCCTTTCTCAGCCGCCTGGCCATGGCTGTAGATAGTCTTCACATAGATGCCAATGGCGCCCTTCGGAGAGTCCTTTCCGCCCACAATGGAGAATCCCAGTCCTTTGGCGCCGTTGCCTTTGCAGAACTTCGCCTGACGAATGGTAAAGCCGTTTCCACCTCGTGGAAGTGTGCAGAACTTACTCTCCTCGGTTTCGGACACTTCGCCGGCCAGATCCCGATCAGCCAGAGAAGTGACAGACTATAAGTGTAAGCAAAAGTAACAAAGGAATTAGTGTTGAAAGGCAACCACAAAAATTTAACACCTCTCACAGCTGATTTATGGCCCTCAGTCGGTGATCCAATTGAATTTGAATTTCAAATCACCCAAAAACTCTGCTGTGATCCAATCTTATCGATTTCGAGAGACTCTGGGTGAAAGGAATGTGATATTGAATGTAATCACGCAACAGATGGACGACTTCTTCTGCCGCGCGGAGTTCTTGAGGTGTCAATTGCTTACTCATCGCGCGCGCGAGATTTGCTAAAAGGACGGATTTGTCACGTATTGGAAACACTTGCAGGCAAAAACACCCACGATTTGTGTCCAGAAAGAGAAACACACCATCGTCAATTCTGGGTTCAATGAAACCTTTATTGAAGAGTCATTTCGGATGGGATTTGCATTTTGCTGCTTTGCACTGCGTGAATAAATTTTGAAGAAGCTTCCGCGCACAAGTTGCAAGACATTGAGCAAATACACATATAGAACCGATTTGTGCTTAACAGTAAAATAGTGTTTGCTGCTGAATATCTAATTACCGCCAGGCTTTCAGCATTGAAGTGTTATAGAGAAAAAGCGAAAAAAAATCACAGCTATTGTCATTAGTCACTAAACTCTTATCAAGAGCAACTTTGATGGAAACGAAGACGAAAACAACAAGGCAACTCTTTGTGGGTGGCGAACAGAAGTTTCCAGTGATCGCGAAGAAGCTCAAATTCCCTTCTAAAGAATAATCAAATTCAGCAATTCGTCGGACAGCGAAACGTAGGCGTCTTTACACTTAATCGTGCGCAATTAATCATAAGCAATTTCTGCCGAATCGCTCTCTTTACTCTCGCTTTCTCTCTCTCTCTCTGCTTGGCCTAATCAACTCGCCTCGCGGACACCCCATAAATCTCCTGGTGTGCCATTGAAATTTTCGCATTTCCAATTCCATGCAACTATCAAGCGGTGTGGAAAAATTAGAATTCCATCTAATCAACCGCGATCGCAGTGTTGAATTGTGGCTCTAACAAGATTCCGAAGAGGCGTTCTCCGCCCGTTTTTTGTGTGTGTGGGCATCAAAAATGTTACTTAATTACGTAAATCACCCAAGAAAATCACACACAGGCCAAAGCTTGCTCAGCCAAAGCATTGGATATTGTCACAAGTGAAAACGTGAATGCGAGAGGCTCGTGAATTGTCCAAAAGCGTCAAATTGAACAATTGAGATTTTCAATTAAGATTTTGAAAATGTTAGATGGCCCAAAAAGGTTCTGAAACCTTCACAAAATTTGTCCAATTCATCAAATTTTCACTTTTATTCGTTGAAAAGAAAAATAACAAATTGCGTGTCTTCTGCACTCGAGACATATTTGCATAAATCATGACATATGATTATCTTATGAGAAACTGACAAACTCTCGATTAGTGGATTTGTCTTGTTGATGGCAGTGTTTATAAACAAATTAAGCCAACAGTAACAATGCTGAAAAGCTGTTTTATTGGAAAACTCCGCCCATTCTAAAGCCCCGCCCACATAATTACATTATCCCTGGCAAACAGTGTGCAACACATGTTCAGATCAATAGTAAAACCCGTTGGAAAACTTCTCAATCAACTGTAATAACCGCATTTTCCTCCTCCACATTAAATTTCCTTTTATCTCGGCATTAATTATTCCCATTAAAACATTATGCTTCGATGAAATGCAAAGTTGCTGCTTCATGCCGAGCAACCACTCGACTAATTGCAGCCACAGACGAATTCCAGAGACTCGAGTGACCTCGAGCAGTGAGTCATGGAATGATGAGCCCCCAATCAATCGACATTCCGGGCTATTTTGGACCGAAAGCGACCACAGAGCTGAGATGATTTAATCGGGAATTGTTCTGAGAAAAGCGCCTCAAGAAAGTGTGTCCAAAGCGAAAGTCATTTGCATACCTGTTTGGATTTCCGGTCACGGGCGGGTGGTTTCGGTGTTTCCTGGCTCTTCTGGACTCTCCTCACGGGTGGCGTGGGTGTTCTGGTCAGCACGGCGTCGCTCTTGACACTGGGGCGCTTCTTGGGTGTCGCCGGAACGGGTTTCGGCGGCAATTGCTGCTGGCCCATCAGCTTGTTGATGCGCTCGAAGAATCCCACGGACTCTCGACTGCGCGTTGTGCCCGTCTTGAGCGGAGAGTGACTCCGCGGCCGGATACGTACCTTCAGACCCCCTTCGGGCGGAGGACTCTTCTGCGGTCCGGGAGCTTGGCTCACGCGTCCGCCGATGACGAACAGAGGCTTCTTGCTTGGCGCCGACTGGGGCAATTTCGAAGCAGGTGGCTTGACAGCACCTGGAGTAGCCACTCGAGGCACACCACCATTCCGGGAAGGCAATTTAGTCGCCCGAGAGCGACTGTTGATTGTGGCGTGTGGCATGGAAGAGGGTCCGTCTGTCTCTGCAACGTCCTCGTGATCGTACGGCGGCGAAGGGACGTAGAATTGCGATGGTTGTGGCGTCTCGAAGACTTCCTGCACCGACAGTGCTCTCCTCTTTCTCAAGCCAGCGTGGAGTCTGTTGAATTTGTTTCTCAGCAGCTGCTGAACCTCCTGAATGGAGGACTTCTGTCCGGGCAGTCTCATGGAGGCGGACTTGAAGGTCTTCAGCAGTGGGAACTTGGAGTCCTTCTCCTTCTGAATCCCACTGTCGCTGTCCGTGCTGAAGCTGAGCTTCTTCCTGGGCTGCTGTGGGGTTGTCGAGCTCCTCTCCTCGTTGGCGCTGTAGTATTGCAGTCTCTCCCGGCGACCCATCATCCTCGGCGGCTCGGGCAGGTCTTCATAGCGCCTCACCGCGTGCTCCCAGTCGTGATCTCGCCACAATTCCCGCCCGATGGGCGGCTTGGCACTCAGCTTGGCGCCAATATCCCGGTACTCGTGGCTCCTGTACTTGTCCGCCGAGTCGCTGCGGCGCCACAAGTGGCTCTCGCCGTACTTCCAGGTCGTCAGCTGGTCGTCACGCGGCCCCAGGAGTGTGTACGAGGCCGGAGCATCTGGCAGGATGTAGTTGGTGTCCGAGTCCAGGGACGACGGTCCGGAGGCTGTGGCCTTGAAGCTGGCGCACCTTCTGCGCAATTTCTGCCACTTCTGCGAGATGCTCGAGGTGTCTGCAAGAGAGAGATCGAGTGACTTTCTCAGCTGCTGCTGCATTAATTGAAGCCCACAAAAGCCTCACCATATTTGCATTTTACATCGCGCATCGCAATTAATGTAAAAAACACCATCACGATGCGCGGCACTTCTGGATGGCATAATGGGAAGTGGAGGGAAAAAATTGAAATGATGAGAGAATTTCGAATGAGGAAAACACCTGTGATACCGGCGAGGGGCATAAACAGTGAATACAAGAAGGCGATGAAAGTGAAATATTGCTTTATGATAAAAGATGAAGAAGGAAAGTGGAAAAAGTTGAGATAATTAAAATGTTTAGGAGAAGACAAAGTGAATAAATTGTATCTATATAGCAACTGAAGGTCAGTTTGGATATGAAATAAATGGTAAAATAATTTCTTTGAATCCTTTTCACAAAGAGAGAAAAATTCAGTGTGCTTAATTAGCATAGAATGTGAAATAAAGCTCTTAAATATCATGAAATATTACATGAAACCCTCAAACTAGAAGTGATTATTTAAAGTTCATATGAATTAATCTGTATTTCCATATCCGCCGACCTTATTTCAGCCGACTCTCACCTCCAACGCTGATAATTTGAACAACATAAATGGTGAAGAATGTAAAATGCATGGAATGCATTCCCACAGCGCGTCCTGTGAACCACGCACACCCATATTGAGGAGTTATTGTAATATCGCCTTCCACGGGCCATTTTCCCCCCATCATACCTTGTTCCTGTCACTCACGGTCTTGAGAAGAACCACGCGAGAATGTTGTGTGCGGTGACACTTCTCGCGAGACAATTGGAATTATGATTCCCATCAGTCGTCCCACCCCCTCTTTTAGTGTGTGCAGTCAGCAAACAGACAGCATGAAATGGGAGAAGAAGACATGCCGCGATCAAGAGACACAATCTCAAAGTCAACTCGCATGATCATCGCATTAACTCAACTCCCATGCAGGCGATTCTCGTCCTCCGGGTCAGTCAATCAACTCGCTCGCTCTGATCGCACATCAGAGGGTGTCAAACTGATCGCATCTGATCACTTAAGATCACGGCCGCGGTCGCGAAATAGCCAATAAAAACAACGATATAAAATGACTTGTGGGATCGCTTTAAACATTTATTACAAATTCAATTCCGACGATGTTCAATTCACAATGATTCCGGAATATCTTTGTAGGTTATCGAAGGGACGTAACCCGATTTTGACGTTACGAAGTACGTAACGATCATAAGTTTATGATTGGGCAACAAAACACTAAAGGATCCCTCAACCTCCCCATCAGCATTCGCTTCTTCGGTCCTGTTGAAGAACAACCTTTTCTTCATATCCTTCACATCGTAGTTGAATTTGTACTAAAACGACAATTACGTGCTCTTAGCTATTGAACTGAGGAGTTCTTTAACCGAAAATACTACCGATTTTGACTGTTGATCTTCGTCATGAGGTCGAGAAATCACAAGAATAGCAAATATGCTGATGAGAAACAAGACTTTCCACATTTTAAGACACTTTTGGCTTTGCTTAGCAAATGACAACTAATTGATAAGAATTCAGAATGCCTGACTTTATATATAAGCCATTTGAAATGTATTTTATAACTTCCTTATGGCTATAGCATTTTGTAATAAGGAAGATACACCGAAATGAGCATCAAATTTGAGAATTAGGCGAAATGTCGACAGTTTCACAACTGTTTGTCATTTGCTGCACGAAAGGAAGTTCTTAATTGCTGGTCAATAGCGGTTCTCAGCTTCTTCGTCTCTGAGTAAAAACGGAACACGTCTATGAAAGTGAATGCTTTTATGTCCCTCTGCATCAATTGGACCAGCACGAGAGAAATATTACACCAAGAAAATCCATGTTAATATGTCAATTAGGCCCATTTTTCCATAATAGCGCGCAACGCGTTGAGCAAGATCGTCACGAGAATCGAAGGATCGGGCATTTTCACTTATCATGTTAATAATTCTTCAAGAGATTAATGTTAGATGTGAGATACAGTGTTGTGGTCATTTATCCTATCTCGTTTTGCTCTTTTTGGTCTCTCACGCGTCTAACAATAAACATAAAACATGGGTGAGTCACTCGAGGAGCGCACAAAACAGTGCTGCTGACATTTCCAGCAAAAATCCATTCGCAATTCGCTTTGCCTATCCGAAAATACTCGCACATTTTTTCCAACTCCCTCTTTTCTTCAGAGTAATGATGGCGAATTTTAGATTATTTCCTCTCTTAGCTCCAGAACATTGTTATAGAACTCTTTTCCTCCTCATCAGCACGCAAGACAATGAGAACAAAAAGATTCTCTCATTGCTTCTTGGCTTTGCTATTTTTTCCTGGTTTAATGACACTTTTTGCCCAATGGCTGAATTGCGTTGTTGCTTCTTGTGGCAGACTGTATAGGAAAAAAAACAGCACACCAATTGGAATAAATATAAATAAATTAAGTGGATGTATTTGCATAAATGGCTGCGGAATGACAAAGTGTGGAGGCACTTTTGCTCTTCATTCCGTTACTCCTCACGCGGAAATTCATGGCTTTTATCAATTTTTCCACCTTGATGCGCGATAGTTAATCAAATTGGGTAAAGAAACATTATGAGTTACAAGTAAAGTCAACTGAAAGCTGTGTTGACACTTTATTTCCCCGCATGCTTGAAACTGTTTGATTAACGCTCCTCTAATTTCCACTTTTTTCTACCCATTTCTTTGCCCAGTTTATGTGATTAATGAAGAGCGATACAGTGAGCATCGGAAGAATGGGGACATGTCAATAATTAGGCCTTTTATCTCTGTATAATATTTATCCAAGGGTGTTTATCTTTGGCTAATTTGGGACATTCGTTAATTTATGTTTATTCTATGAAATAATTTATTTTTAAAATCTCTGAGAATTCCTAAGATTGTCATAAGAGCTTTCTATGGAATATCCTACAATTCTCCGATGACACATTCATCTAACGTCAAACGTGTCCAATTTGTTGTTTTGTTGAAATATTTCAGATATTATAATGATCTTCAATACTAATCTGCATTGATTTTAATTCAAAGGTACAGTCAACGGAGTTTTACACTAATTGTGCCTAAGTTTACTCTCTCGACTGTAGATTAAGACTCTATGCGCTCATGCTGGTGATATTTACTCAATTTTATCGCATGGATATCGTGGTTTTGTGTACTCTTGAGGGTTTCCAGTGACGAAAAGAATCTCGAAGAGAGGGCAGAGCGACCCATATGGTTCAATAGTCATAAATGAGTCAACCTATGTATCTATGCCAACAACCCCTCAACTTCCAATCGAACAATGCACGGAAATCGAGCAGCTGCCAGTGTGGCGGAAATATAAATTCATAGGGCGAGCACATCTCACTTTCCACACCGCGTGTCTGCCCTTAAAATTGCAACAGCGGCGCACGAAAAAAAAAAACACAGAGAGAGACGAGATAATAGCGAATTCATTTGATCTACATTGGAAATTTCACCAGTTACATGACGATGATCGGTGTTTCTCGCGAATATGCGATCTGTTCTACTCCAAATGGCACTCACGGCAAGAGATCTCTTCATCAGGTGTAACATCGGGGATTAATTTGCATTTAACATTCCCGCCATGTTCCTCCATCGATCTCTTTCGCCCAACAATGGCTCCGCCGTGCAGACAAATCAAATTGTGATACCGCGCCGAGTGGAGTTATGCAAGCTCCTATGCGCGCTGCATCTCCGCGAGAGACAATGCACAATTGCCTGAGGCCCAGAACTCGATGACATCACTCCTGCCTTCCACGTGTGCAAAGATTGGATTCCCCTCTGTTTTTCTCCATACCTTAATTGTCTCTAAAGTGCGCTGCCGCCTCGCGGCCCATCAATCACATCACCATTGAAAGTGTTGCAGGCGATCCGAATCTGGGCAGAGAATAGTCTTATTTGTTTACCATCGCAACGCGCCTGACTCTTGGCCTTCCCGGAGGGCACATATTTCTCATCCAATTTGTTCACAATTCCGTCCAGCCTTGGCGGAAATTTGGACGCTCATTGATGAGTCCAATTGTTACGGACTTGAATAGACAGAATTTGGCTGCTTGAAAAATTGCACATTATCGCTAATAATAGCTCACCTTTCCGCCACAATAGTCAAACATTAGGCATTTCATGTGTCATCATTGATGTCTTTCGCCAACTTAATAGGCATTCGCAGTGCGTCGACTGCGAGTTATTTAGAGTAATTTTATGTGTATTCCAGCGAAAGAGATCTTTGTAGAGTCAGAAAAGGCATTGGCTTCGTCGTTCTGTGGCGAAGTTGAAAGTCAGAGCATATATTCTTTTTATGGAAATTTATGAAGAATGTCGGCGAGAATGCTGAGCATATGCAATGAGAAATCTATTCTGGGGAAAATAACACTCATGTTGACAGCATGAACTATGCGCTCTTGACCCTCATGATTGACTTTGGAAAATATGATTTTGTGGAAATGCTTTTGCTCTCAGTTTGGATTTGACAGAATTGAGTGAAAAGACTTCAGAGGCCACACCTACTGTTAAGCCCCGCCCATCTTGTAGTTGCTGCTATTGTTTGAAAAAATATGCATAGTTTCTCTATAATTTCACCACTTTCTGTGTTGCTCAAAAATTGCTAATTGATTAGTCAGATAAGTGGCCCAAACCTCAAGCCCAAATATTCTAGGATTAGTTTCTTTTGTCATGCCAAATGTAAAGTATTTGTGTATTCTTATGCCATCCAGACAGTGTGTTCGACTCACAATTCTACCGCACGCAGTGCTTCACAGCCAATCTCACGCATCTGTACACACAATGATCGACAGAATGCGGGACAAAAGGTGATCATCGGATTAGGAAATCTTACAACACTCACCCAAATCATTGTCGCACAGCACCATCACGTATTTGATGTGTTGCTTCCTCTGTCTTGCCGCAGACGCGCGTCTCAGCAGCGGAATCTCAAGATGATGATCAACTCTGTAGAAATGTAATCATTATAATCGAATGGCTGTTCAGATGATTTGTGTCATATGGGGAAGAAAAGGAGGTGTATTTACACAGAGAGAGTCATACAAATTCATCAAATGGGATTCACATTGTAAGACTCAGAGTGAATGCGTGCCATTGTGCAGTGCTGAGAATGAAGGGGAAACGAAGCGCATGAGGGTAAAGATCACTCTCTATTTATTTATTTATTCATGAATTCAATTAATTCACCCCAAGAACAAACACAAGCCGAGACGTCTCACCACAAAAGCCAATGGCTGAGACTCCCCTTTTGCCTGATGAAAAACCAAGCGCAAATTGCAATTGCGCGACCCAAAAATAAACTCCGATCACTCAACCCATAAGAGACCAACTACTGAGGCATTTTTGCAATATGGATAATGAGAGGCACTAATTTGCCACACAAACTTTTCACTTTGGCCCGCATTTTCACGAGCCTCTCAAGCTCGACGATTTTTATGTCAGTGGAGCCAAAGAATGAGCCACACTTGAGGCATTCCATTATATCTCTTTTTCCCCCTCAAAAATTTATTTACACCCAGAAAGTTTGGTGTTGTTGGAATGTTAAAAGCAAAAACGCGCCTTTTTATCTTAAACAACTCGCTAATTATTCAATTGATTTAACTACCGTGTTTGTTTTCTATGATGATTTTCACCACATTTGGGAGTCAGAAATGCAGTATAATTATTAGAAATATATTTTTTGGTAATCACAGTGCATCAATTGGAACGTGTATGAATTGTTTTATATAGATTTACACCGTGAAAAGTTATTTGGTGAGAATGAATAAATTTCTTGGCAAATTTGGTTTTCATGTAGTTTTTTCTCTCCTCCAAATGTAAAATTGAGATGAAATTTTTTCACTAAACAATTTCTTGCATTGAGCAGCGAATTAACAAGTGTCTTCATGAATCTTTCTGAACATCAAAAACAAGGTGCAATTAAAGTGACTTTAGAGAGTTTCCAAAAATGCCAAATATTAGCAATTCTTTAGAATGTTTTCATTTGTAAATCCCCAATAAATCATTTAACCATTGACACACCCTAAGGGACTCTGCATTCCTCGTAATTCCTCATATTTCTAACCCCTGATTCTATTGCCTCTCTCTCTCTCTCTCTCTGTTTTTTAGGCCTGTTCCTATTTCCACATTGCGCTTCATTGATTAAAAACATTTATGTTAACGACACACTCAAATGTGCTTCGAGTCCATAAATCTCACTCAAATACCATCAATTCATCCTGGGCTTCTATTTCAAGAGGATCTTTCTGCTGCACTCTAAAAGTGCCCTTCATTCACTGTCGCTTAGCTGTGGAGTTCATTTTCATAGGCAGAGAAAAACAGATCCATTGAAATAGTTGAATGGGAAGGTTTTTTTTCCTCTGTAAACACACATTTTGAGGGCCTCCACAATGGCTTCTCGTCACGATAATCGCTCAGATGCGCGCCAATCCGATATTTTAATTGCAATACAATTAGATGCCCCCGTAAAAACGCCCATTTCAGGCTGAATTTGCATCTCTCGGGCTCGGGTAAATCACAATGAAATTCTACTCAGAACTCTTCACGCTCCTCCGCGAGCCCCGCGGCGTTTTATGCTCAATTCTATTACACTCACTCTTCGTGCGGTTCTGTATTTATAGCCCACTCTGGGGTGATATTCGCAAAGGGAATTTTGTCATGTTGAATTGAATTGAGAGTTTCATCTTTTGTCAGTTAATTGTTCCACTTCTCAAGCATTGCGTGGAAGAAAACCACCAAAAATTCTACGTACATTTCTCTGGACAAGTGATTTGCGGTGTTGATCGTCAAAGAACTGCCTTCACAACTTGTTATTATTAACACTGGCACAGAGCCGACACGCACTGAACGCCGCGATGACTCAAGAGCAACTGACTGTGGAGTGGCTTGAGCGCGAGCAGCAGAGCTCAAGATCGCCGGAACAGAGTTGAGAGCGTTGTACGAAAATGTAGATGTAATTGGAAATTAAACTGGAGAGCGCTTTCAATAATATTCAATACCGCAAATGTGACTTTTGCCAGCAAGACGTCTTCTGTGCCACGATAGGCAAAATCTAGAACCTCTGCAACTCTGGCTTCGTGGCCACGAAAGCGCGTTTAGGCGTCTGTTTTGCTTATGGCAAGGACCAGCAGAGCGACCACAGCAAAGAATCGGTGCTCATCGACCAGGAACGCGATCCGGAGATTCCATCAAAAATCGTGTGTGAGAGCCTTAAACAAAAAGGGCGCAAAAGAGACACAGCGAGAAAAACACATGAAAAACAACACGAGAGAGGAAGAGAGTTCAACAATGAAAAAAGAGGCAACAACAAGAATTGGTGACGATTGAGTGAATTGAATAACAATGCTCAAAAGTGCCGTGAACGTGTGTGGGTGCAACAAATTACGACACGCATTCGTGATTCTGCGATCATTGTCTCAAACTTTTATGCCACCTTTTCATCCCTATTTGGCGCTCAGTTGCAGGATAGCAAATTTTGCTAATTTGACGAAAAAACACTGACGAGCGTGATGGAACAATTAGTGAATATTGGTTAAGTTTATGTTTGTTCACATGAAGCGCTTTGGCTTCATTATTATTATTATTATCAATTGATTGATTGATTGATTTCACCTATAAAATGCAGCAGAACTTCTGGTGTTTGTTTTTGCTAAGAAGGTGAATTCAAAGACTCAAACCTACACTCAGAAAAATCTGCAGAAATCACTCCGAAAAAGGGGAAAAAGAGAAAAATCTTGTCATTGCATTTGTCCTACAGCAAATGCAATAAAACACAACATCTATGAAATCATACCGCATTATGTGTTGATAGTTTAATTCGTTAATTTATCAATGCGCGCGCTTTTCACAATTGTCGACGATTAATCATCGACACAATCATTTCTCGCTTTAGGGCTTAAATTTTACGCGAAATACACACAAAATAATCACAGTCTAAGAATTGTTTATAAAAGAATAAAAAAAAGATTGGCTCATTGGGCAAAGATGAAGATTTATCGCTAATCATTGCAGCATTGATGATATTTCACCACCACAGATAACTATGTAGGAGCGAAATTACATAATGAAAGAATCAGTTGAATTTCAATAGCTCAGCCAGCCAAACTAGACAATCGTCCCTGAACTTGCCATGCCAATGTCCCATGAATCGCGGGCCAAGGATGCGAGGTGATGGACCTCTTCGCGCATGTCTTTGCGCCATTAATGCTCCCCAAAAGGGTGTGTGGAACTGCTGTTGTTTTCCCCCCGCGCTCTCTCTCACTCACACAAATGTTCACCATCTAGAGGCTGCGCCCCCAAGACATTGTACACCCCCGAAGAGCACCGCAGAGATCGGACCTCATCAGCTGTACAGCCGGGCAAGTAGGATGTGTGAAATGCGTGATTTGCGGACGGAGGATAATCAATGAAAATTTTCACACAAAGGCCAAAGACACCCGCGGAGGAATGGACCTGAAGGACAAGGTGGCTCTGGTTACTGGCGCCGCGACGGGCCTCGGCAGGTCGTTCTGCGAGGAGATCCTGCGCCACGGCGGCAAGGTGTCCATCTGCGATCTGGACTCGGACGCTGGCGAGCTGGCCGCCGATGAGCTGGGCCAGACTTTCGGCCGCGAGCGGGTGCTCTTCTGCCACTGCGACGTCACGGACTACTCGCAGTACGAGGAGGCCTTCCAGACCACCATGACGGAGTTCGACGCCATCGACATCGTGATGAACAACGCCGAGATCTGGAATGACAAGTTCTGGGAGCTCGAGGTGGACGTGAATCTCAATGGCACTATTCGCGGCACGCTGCTGGCGCAGAGATTCATGGGGCGCAACAACGGCGGCAGCGGCGGCATTGTTATCAACATCGGCTCCGCCACGAGTGTGCGGCCGCACATCTCCACGCCCATATACTCAGCCACCAAGCACGCCATCCTGGCGCTGTCCAGGTCCTGTGGGGTAAGCAAATTCCCCGCCAAAGCTGCACAATAATCACCCACTTCCTCCCCGCCCAAAGGATTCTTACCACTTCAATCTCACGGGCGTGCGCGTGGTCGCCGTGTGTCCGGCTCTCCTGGAGAACGCCATGGCGTCCAACAGCAAGCGCTTCAAGTCGCCCAGCCACGAGAAAGCCTGGCAGCTGGACGTAAAGGGACTCATGCCCCAGAAGTGAGTACAAATCCCTCTTTGTCCCCAAGAAGACTCAACACAATTGCGTGTTTTCTCACCTGCAAAGGCTCGAGCACGTGGCGCGGTGCGTGATTCCCATCATCAAGGATGCCACAAGTGGCAGCATTTGGTTGATAGCCAATGGGAAGTCCGCCAAGGAGATTCCCTACTCAGCCGTGCAGCTCTAAGCAGTTGTTGGACAAACATTTTTAGAGAGAAAAGAAGTAATAATAATTGGTATTAAAACCTAGAATTTATCACGTGAACCAAATCATCAAAATGTATCTCAGAGATATTTTTACCATTTTGCGCCCTTTTCCATCAACTCTCAATACCAAAACAAAAAGAAAACCTCTAATAAACTCACCCTAATCACATAATTGTGCAATAAAAAAAATAGCTGAGAATCTGCTAAACTTACAATATTTATTTTCATTACAAGGGTAATTTAGCTTGGAATTTATATTTCTAAGTATGTTTCTTCATCTTTGCAAATCCAATCTTCTAAAACGTCTTCGTTACAACTCATTGAAAAAATGAGAAAAATATGGATATAAGAGAATGATAACGAATATTTTGGGGACAGAGTTTTTAGTATCGCATGAAGCTGCCACTAGGTCGACGCATTCGTCTGCCGCGCTGGCCACGCGGCGCCGGCGGGAATGAATTCCTGCCCATCGAGTTGGGCTCCTGCATCATCGGCTGCGCCCTCGCGCCAATCGGCTCCCGACCTGCCAAATAGTGGCGAATCACTGCTAAAGTAGTACACAATATTGCCTTTTCCCAAATCAACACACACTCACCTCGACCGCTGCCCTGATTCCACACAATCGGCGTCCTGGCACGCGACACCCTTCCGGTGGCACGTCTGGCCATCGACACACTGGGCTGTAGACCAGCACTCCTGGATCTCGTATTAATGCTCGGCGTCGTGGAGGCCTCAGCTTCGCGTCCCTCTTCAATCTGCACAAGCAAAAGCAACAATGGAAAATCATTCTCCCAATCCTCCTCTCAGTCATCTTCCTCAATCTTACTTACCTCAATCCCTTCAGCACCTGGCGCCTTCTCACCCTCAGAACTCACGCCATCCGTGCCCTCTGGCTCATCACCGCTCGGCAGATTGGAGTCCTCCTTGTCCGACTTGGTTCTCTCAGATGTCGATGCTGTGTGATCCAGATTGTCAGCGTCGTCATTGTCATCTATCAGAATTCCACATACTCAGATTAAATATACACCCAAACAAGTAATCTTCCTTCGCATACTCACTTCCTTCATCGCTGGCATCCTCACTCCCATCATCACTGCCATCGTCATCATCGTCCACGTGCTCCTGAATCGTGATCACCGGCTGACTCTGACTCGTGCCGGCTTCGCTCTCCTGACGCAAATCCACCGCCTCCTGCTGCTCCTCCTCGTGTTGCTGCTCCTGCTGATCCTCCACCACCGGCTGCCCACTCGATGATCCCTCACCAGCCGCCGAGTCCACGTCATGAGGCGAAATGAGCTTTGGCGTGTTGGGAACACTGCGTCCCGTGGTGCTGGCATTCGCCTCATCCAGCTGCGACAGATCAATCTGCGTGTCATCCATGCCCTCAAGATTCCCACCAGGCACCAGTGCCGATTGCCTCGTGGCCTCTGTGAAGGTGAATCTCGCAGCGTGTGGCACTTGTGGATGAGGCGAACTGATCACCTCACTGAAACCATCAGCACGCCGCGGAGCAAAGAGTGTTGGTGTGCTGGGAACGATCCTCTCATCGCCCGTTTCCGGTTCATATCCGGACGATTGCTGTATCAACACCAAGTGTGTCGCCGATTGCTGCTGCCTGGAGTGTGGTGTGATTTGACGCCACGTTGACGGTGTGGAAGATCCCGCCTCACTTCCACTGCTGATCGCTTGAATTTGCTGCACTTCCGTCACATTTTGCCCAGACGTGGAGGAGCCCTCGATGGGCTGCTGCTCCGGTAACACCTCAGGCGGCAAACTACTCTGTCCCACCTGAGATGTACTGCTACCCGCATCAGGTGCAATTTGACCATTACTCGAGCTGCTTCCCGATTGATTGGGAATTTCATTGCTATCATCCACTTCCACCTCATTGTTATCCGACGGCACATTGTCCTCATCCACATCCGGACCATCACCCTCGTCGTAGTTGCCCATCTCCTGCTCCTGCTCGTAGCCCTCCATCTCGTAGATCTCACTATTGTCCACCTCATCATCGAACGGTCCGTCATCGGGCGTTCCCTCGTCCGCCATTCCGTCATCCTCTTCCTCCTCCTCAGAATCCACCACAATAATATCATCCTCTTGGTCACGCTGAGATGATGTGGGCACTTGATATTCCACGTCCAATCCCGATTCGCTCACACCCTGGGAAGAATAGAGACAAATTATATAATATTCGCCACAGCAATTCACCCTTCACAACTCTCTCTTACCTGGAATGTTTCTCCAGCTTGCAGCCTTGTCCTCTTAATCTGTGGCTGCGACTTCTCACCAGGTTCCTCAGCATTTCCCGTGGAACTGTCACCCTCCACATCGCGCGGACGCTTGTGCGAACCCGCCTGTGTGGTGGTCACTGTGCTGCTGGACGACGCCTGATGGTGACTGCTGATGATCACCGCCTGATTGGAAGACGTTCCGGATGTGCTCGGCGTTTGACTCTGCTCGTTGATTTGCGGCGCAATGATGCTCTGCGACGTTCCACCCTCGACTCGTGGCGACACCAGAGCCACAGCTTGCTGCTGTCCAGACACCACAACGGTGGAGCTGAAGGATGATGACTCTCCATTATTGCCCGTCGGCGCACTCTCTGCCTCCTGTGAGCTCTCCGCTTGCGTCGAGGCAGTGCCCATGGGCGGCACAGCGGCCACGACAATGGCGGCAGAACTCGTGGCCGGCATGTAGTCCGTGTGTGAGCTGGTGGGCGAGGAAGACATGGCCTCGCCAGAATTATTCCCCGTCGTGTGCACTTGCTGCTGCGGCGGCACCAGCGCCGTGACACTCGAGCTGGATCCCTGCACGGCCGCCACATTGGTGGGCAGAACTGCTGCCGTCCTGTTCTGCACAGACATCGGCCGGATGCTGGCCAGCGGCGTCTCGCCGCCGCGCCACGGCGTCACTGTGGCGGATTGATGGCTGGGTCCCGCCATCGGCTTCACATTCGCCGTCCTCGGCGACTCACTCACGCCTTTCTCCGTCGTGCTTGAGCTCGTCGTCGGCTTGGCACCCTGAGGCATCTGCAATTGCCTGTGGAGTTGATTCACCCTCAGCACGAGACTCTCATTGTCACGCTGCAGGCGCAAGATGGTCTCCTGATTCTCCTTGGCATCACTCAACTCCTTCTCCAGCTTCGTCAATCTCCCTTCGTACTGACTCTTCAGCTCTGTCATCACCATATCTTGCGACTGCTCGATGCTTTGCAACTGATTCTTGGCCGTCACCAATTCCCTGCTCATTGTATTCTTCGAATCCTGTAGAGCAATAATCCTCGTCTTGGCATCCTTGAGCAGTTGCACATTGCGCTCATCATTCTCACGGAATTGCTTCAGTGTCTCATTTTCCTTTCGCAGATTCTCCATCTCCTCCAGCTGCATATTCAACTCCGTCACCTTTTCCTGGAGCGGATTCTCCGCTTCCTGCTTGGACGTGCCAGGCTCTGAGCTGACATTCTGCTGATTATTCTCCTGCTCAGTCTCACCCTCTTTGCCGCCCTGGCGATTCTTCTCCAACCTCTCACAGCGATCCTTGTACTGCCTGGCAAACTTTCTCAGCTGAATCACCTTGCTCTTCTCCTTCGTCAGCTCATCATCGCGCACCTTCACGTCATCAGTCAGCTTCTTCATCTCATCCTCCTTCGCCAGAATGGAGTTCTTCACCTCCATCAGTTCGCGCATCAGCTTCGCATTGGTGGCTTGCATGTTGGCCAGAGCTCCAGTGTGCTTCTTATTCTCCTCCGCCATCGTGGCCACTTGCTTCGTGAGATTCGCCACCTCACTGTCCACCTTCGCCTTGTCACTCTTCAGCGATGACAACTCTGCATTGGTCTTCTTCAGGATCTCCCTCTCGCTCGTAAGCATCTGCGCCAAACTCTCCCTCTCATTCTGCATATTCTTGAAGATGTCCGGATTGGTTTTGTTATTCCGCTCAATCAACTGATTCGCCCTCTGCTTCCAGCGCGTCATCTCCACCTTCAGTGCTTGATACGCAGCCTCGCGCTCATCAATCCTGGTCTGCATCTCGCGATTCTGCTCCTGCAACGGGAACAACTCCAGCTCCACCTTCCCAATGTGCGCCGTGAGATCCCTAATCTTGTTCTGCAGCAAGTCACGCTCCTCCCTCAGACTCCTGTTGCTGTCCGTGATGGCATTCAGTGTCTCCACCTTCCTCAGGATGTCCTCGTGCTTTGTGGCGCTGGCAATGCCCACATCAGACTTTGTCCTCTCACTCATCAGCGCCGCACTTGTGTCCTCAAGTCTTTTCTGCACAATCCTCGACTCTGACGTCAATCGGGCATTCTCCGCCTTCAGCACATCCACTTCAGTGTACGCAATGTCCTTCTCCTTCCTCAGATACTTGATAATCTGCAGCAATTGTCCAGCACTTGGACTTGTCTCACCCTCCACCAGAGATCGATTCACTAGTGACGAATCCGCCGCCACGCTGGAGTCATCTTTGTCACCATCACCGCCAAAGATCAGTTTTGTGCTCAATTCCTGGAATTGATCGTGCAACGCCGCATTCTGAGCCACAAGATCCGCCAGTCGCTCGTCCACTGACACCCTGTCCGCCTTCAGGTGCTTCTCCGTCTCTTGCCAGCCCCTCTTCGAGCACTCTAGCTCCTCCACTGCCCTGTCGCGCTGCATCTTGAACTCACCCACGGTCTCCTTCACTTTGTTCAACTCCTCCTTGAGATTGCTCAGCACCTGCAGATCCGCTGAGTGCAGAGACATCTCATGCGCATACTTCGCCTCCACACTCTGCAAATTACTCCTCAAACTACTCAATTCATCTCTGGCATAGCGCAACTCGCGATTCACATCACTCAACTTCTGCAGCACATCACGCAACTCCGTCTGCGTCTTCCTCAGCTGTGTCGTGTCATCCTCATCGGCAATCAGCTGCGCACCCGTGATTTGCAGCGAAATCTCCGTCTCCAGCTCCTCAACGCGCGCCTTCAGCGACGCCTCACTCTCGCGCACCTTCGTCAATTCCGCACTTGTGGCCAACTTGAACTTCTCATACTCTGCCGCCATGTCTCTCAGCTCCTTCTCCGAACTCTCAGACAATTTGCAGTACTGCTGCACATTCTCCTTCGTTGTCATCAACTCCTTCTGTAGCGACTCAATGCTCAGGCGATACTCCTCATTCTTGAACTCCAACTCCTTGGCACGCTTCTGCGCCTGCACAATGGGATTGTCACTCCTGTTTGGCGTCAGACTGTCCTGGAGTTTATGACTCAACTCCTCAATCTGCCTCGTCTTCGCCATCACATCTTCGCGACTCTCGCGCAACTCCTCACGAATCTTATCCACCTGCGCCACTTCCTCTTGCATCCTCTTTTTCGCCGTCTCCGTGCGCCGCTCGAGATCCTGCGACAATTCCCTGAAGCGATCCTGCTCCTCCTGCAGACGCCGCCTCAGTGCCGAACACTCGCGCACTGTCTCATCCAGACGCGTCTCCAGCAGCAGCTTTCCACCAGTCTCAGATCGCTCGAAGCTCACCTTCAGCATCTCAATATTGTTCATTAGCAGATTATTTGTGTGGCGCTCGCGATGGAGCATCTCCTTGTCCAGCTTCAGTCGCGCTTCCGAGTCCCTCAAGATGCTCAACTGCTGCTTCAGATTCTCCACCATCACCTCAGCTTCTGTCAGCTTCTTCTGTGCACTCATCACCTCATCCTTGAGAATCATTATCGTCTGCTCGTGCTTCACAATTGATGTTTCGTAGTTCTTATTTCGCTCCTCCAGCGTCTCAATCTGCTTTTTGTACGTCGCCACATTCTTCTGCTGCAGCTTAATTTGCTCCGAATTGAACTCCACCGTGGACATGAGCTTACAATTTGACGAAGTTAAGCTGAGAATTTCACTGCGCATCGTGTCAAATTGCTCATTCAGCATCTTCTCATTGGCCGCACGATCTTTTCGATAGTTCTCATAGTCCTCCTTCAGACTCTTCAACTGTTCCGCCGAATCCTTCAGCTTTCCCTCCAACTCCCCAATCTTCTTGTCCTTCACCACGGAATTCTCATTCGATGTCACACTGCTGTTCGAGGCTAGCGGCGTCTCCTCCTCCAATCCCTCCATCTGCTCCTGCCCACTCAGCGATCCGTCCAGATTGAAGGCCTTCCCGCCACTCTTCAGTGTCTCGTGGTAGAGTTTCTTGAATCTGTCCCTCTGCTGCATACACACAGACATCATTTGCGTCTGATACTCCTGCGAGGCCTGCAATTCATTCACCCTCTTCGTATAATTGGCTATCTTCGCCTCATAAGTCGCCTTATCCATGCCATTCTCCGCCTCTTCCATCTCCTCCAGCTTCGTGCTCAAATCCCTCACCACATTCAGCAACTTCTGGTTGTTCTCCTGCAACTCCTGCACATCGGAGAACGTCACCAGCTTCCTCGTGATCACCTCATTGGCCAACATATCCGACGTTATCGACTGATCGGGCTCCGACGAGAATCCGCCGCGCATCTGTTCAATCTCCCTCACCAGGAAGCACACCTGTCTGCCCAGATCGCCATTGCTCTGCTTCAGCTTCTTGTTCTCGCGTTCCAAATAGCCCAACTTGGCCACAGTGCCATTGAACTCTTCCGCCGACTCGACGCGCTGCTTCATGAGATTGTCCAGTTGCTGCGACAGTTCCGCATTGGCCTCTTCAATCTTCTGGTACTCAAGGCTCTGCTTCCTAATCAGTGGTGCCTTCTCCTCAATCTCCTGCAGAATCGTCCTTATCTGCAGATTCAGCTTGTTATTCTCCTTCTTCGTCACCTGCAACTCCTCCGTCGCCTTCACGTACAGCGTGAAGATCTCCGTCAGTGTCATGCCGGACTTTATCATGCGACTGGAGGCCGCCGCAGTTGGTGCCAAATTGTGAATGGCATTCTCCAAGTTCTGCTCCTGCACCTCCTTGAGCAACTCATTGGCGTGCTCAATTTCCTGCCTCAGTTGCTGAATTGTGGCATCTTTCTCCTCCAATTCCTCGGCATGCTTCAAATCCACACCCTTTTGCCTCGTCTCCAGCTCACCCGTCTTGTCCGTGGCCTCAGTCAAGAGCTTCTTCAGTTCCGTCACACAATCACTGAACTCCTTGATCTGCTCCTGATTCTCCCTGGCCGACTCCTTTAACATCTCCACGAGTTTCGTCTTCGAAGACAACTCCTTCTGGAATGTCATGATCACCTTGTCCGACTCCTCATGATTCTGCCTCAATTTATTGTTCATCTCCTCCAGTTTCGCCACCAGCGACGCATTCGCCTCCTCCAGGTGACCAATTGTGTTCTGTGTGATCTTCAGCTCTTCCGTCTTCTCTGTCAACTTCGTCTCCAACTTGATGTTGTTCACCGTGTTGTCCCTGCGAATGGTCTGCATTTCAGCGATGTTCCTGTGCAAGTCCTCTCGCAGTGTGGCTATTTGATTCGTCATCATTTCCTTCTCCTGTTCCAGGCGCTTCTCCTTGAAGTTCAGACTCGTTTCCTTGCTTTCGATGTCGTCAATCTTGGCCAGCACTTCGCACTTGGCCGCAATGGCAGACTGAAGTTGACTCTCCAGGGCCACAATGTCCGCCCGCTGGCGTTCCACTTCGCCATTGCGACGCTCCACCATGCTCAGGAGCGAATCCCTCTCATCCACGGCGGCATTCCTCTCCATCTTGCTCTCGTACACTTCCGTGCCATACCTGGCCACTGTGTCCTGCAGTTTCACCACTTCGCCGCGACTCGTGTCCAACTGCTGTCTCAGCTCCCGGATCAACTCATCGTACGACTGGAGCTTCGCCTCGCCGTCCAGCAACTTTGCACTCAATTCCGCATTCTTCGTCTCCAACTCCTGCCGCACGTTCTCTGCACGCCGAGAAAAAGGGGGGAGAAAAGGAGAAAACGTCAGACGTTAAGCAAACGGAAGCCTCCTGATTGAGGTTATGTGGTCCCCCGCACCGAATATCCCGCATGCACAGCCAGAAACCAACCCAGATCTCAAGAACAGACTCCCCGCGACACTACAAAGCCACGTATGATGTATGAATTGCAGTATATTGCTGGGAAATCCACTCACCAATGTTCAGCTGAATGGCTTTGGCCGAGTAAAACTCATTGAGACGCTGCTCATAGAAGTCCTCCAACTTCTTACGTGTCTCCGGTGGAATTTGCTCCAGTTCCGCCGGATCCAACACCTTGCTCAGCACCTTCTCAGTCTCATCCTCCATTTTTACACTCCTCTGCGATGTATAATCATCAATAATCCCGGATAATTGGCAAATGTTTTAAGCACTCTCACGATTTTCCACTTCAGCTTCACTATGGCGGCTTGTGTGAACTTTGCCACGAATCGTCCAATGACACTCAGCGACATTTTGAGCGCAGAAACTGTCAGTTGCGTTTTGTGTGTGTTTTCTTGGAAGAATTTTCTTCACGCATTTTACCTAATTTTCCTACACGAACAGCAATCCAGAGTGTCTTGAAATGACTGAGGATCGCGAGGACTTGCCTAAGGAGTTTGATTTGACGGTGATTGGTACAGGTGAGGCGGGAAAATGGGGTGAAATTGGGACGGTTGATGAACTCTTTTGTGTCTTTTGTCTTCCAGGCCTCACGGAGTCAATTGTCGCAGCTGCAGCCAGTCGTATTGGCAAATCCGTGCTGCATCTGGACGTGAATGAGTACTATGGCAGCTACTGGGCCTCCTTCAACTTGCGCAACTTGCAGACACTGCGCGAGGAGATTCCGGAGCAGAAGGAAATCATGGAGACGAACGAGATTCAGTTGTGGCGACACAGAAACCAAGTGCAGAATGTCCAGATGAGCTGGCATGTGCCCGAGGACAGTGCGGATGAGGGCGCCTGGACACAGAACAGGATTATGCGAGAGAGTCACAAGTTCAACATCGACCTGGCGCCCAAGCTGCTCTTCGCACGAGGCGCCATGGTTGAGCTGCTGATCTCATCCAACATCTGCCGCTATGCTGAGTTCCGGGCCGTGGATCGCGTGGCGACGCTATACGAGGACACCATCCGGACGGTGCCGTGCTCGCGCGCGGACGTGTTTAACACGCAGGAGGTGACAATGGTGGAGAAGCGCCTCCTAATGAAGATGCTCGAAACGTGCATGCAGTGCGAGGAAGGCAATGAGGAGTTTGAGTACAACCGCGAGAGCACGTTCCTGCAGTACCTGGAGGGGCGTCGGCTGCCACAGAAGCTCACTCATTACCTCCTCGATGCCATCAGCATGTCCAACGAGCATACATCCTTCGAGGAGGGCATCCTGCGCGTGAGGCGCTTCATCGAGAGCCTGGGCAGGTACGGCAACACGCCCTTCCTCTTTCCCATGTACGGCTGCGGCGAGCTGCCGCAGTGCTTCTGCCGGCTGTGCGCCGTCTTCGGCGGCATCTACTGCCTGCGGCGCCCCATCGAGCGCATCATGCAGCAGGCGGCGGGCGAGGGGCGGCGCCTGGTCATACAGATTGGGCAGCAAGAGGTGCAGACTGACCACATTGTCTTCGGCTCGGGCTCGATCTCCATCACGGGCGACTATCAGAACAGGAGCTGCCTGGCGGGCCTGCCGGAGATGATCATGCCCAGGAAGTGCGGCAACATGTCACGCGGCATCTTCCTCGTGGACTCGCCACTGGGCGGAGCGGCTGAGAATACCGGTGGCGGCGGCGTGGCCCTGCTGAAGCTGCCTCCTGCTCCCGGAGCGACGGCCGACAAGCAGGGCGCCTTCGTGATCCAACTCAGCCACCAGAGTGGCACCTGTCCGCCAGGACTCCATGTGATTCACATTACCTGTGACGCCGATATCGATCCGCGATTGGATTTGCAGCCCTACGTGGATCAGATCTTCACGCAGGGGGAGGGCAAGCCGCGCATCCTCTACTCGCTGTACTTCACCATTCCGCAGTGCTTCAAATGTGATAACTACGAAAAGCTGCCGGCGGGAGTGCACCTGGCCTGCGGCCCATACCTCGAGCTTGACTACGACACCTCGATTAACCAGGGCAGGGAACTCTTCCGCAGCATCTACCCGAACGAGGAGTTCCTGCCGCGCTGCCCCGAGCCTGAGGAGATTGTTATCTGAGCGCTTAACCTGATTCCCCCAAAGTGAGCGAATTGTAATTCATTGCGAGAATAAAAGACACGAATCAAAAAGCCCGCGTCTCACATAACCACAAAGTGTTGAAAGCTTTCCCGGTGGCGGGCGTCCGGTTCCCGGTGGGAGAGTCGCAGAACAAAACATGGGGCGTTGTAAAGGGTGAGTCCAGAGGAAGAGATTGGCACCACCCGGAAGTTCCTAAGTGCACCCTGATCGATAGTCGGATAGGAACTGCCGTGGCTCCTGGCCAGGAACCCAGGACGAGTCGCAGAACAAAACATGGGGCGTTGTAAAGGGTGTGTCCAGAGGAAGAGTTTGGCACCACCCGGAAGTTCCTGAGTGCACCCTGACCAGTAATAGAGTGGAGCTGACGGCTTCCTTTGCTTCTGGCCAGGAACCCAGGAAGAGTCGCAGAACGAATCATGGGGCGTTTGAAAGGGTGTGTCCAGAGGAAGAGTTTGGCACCACCCGGAAGTCCCGGAAGTTCCTCAGATCGGGCTGGAGCAAGATGATGAGGATATATTCCTTTGACCAAAAAGAATTTTTCAGCTAGAAGTACTTCACGGAATAACACAAAAAGGGATTGAAAGAGTCTCTGTGTTGGGCCTGGAGTATGTATTTGGCCAGGAAAATGGGTTTTCATGCCTTTTCCGGGCTTTTTTTTTCACCATGTTTCATGCATGTTTGACGTGTGTTTCGCATATTTGACAGTCGGATAGCGAGTCGGATAGGTTCAGTCCAGTCAAAGATCTCACGAAAAAGATGCGTGATAATCTCAGTTTTTACACTCTCACGGAGAGAATTTTCATCGTGAAAACTTTCTACAGGAATGAAAGTGACCTGAGCAATGTGAAGAGTAATTTTCTCGCGGAATTTAGCATTATAGACGATGAAATCCCTGATCATCACATTATTGAGGTTATCAACCTGTTCGAGGAGACAGGAAGCGTTCGGGAGATCCCTGAATTCTACCTGGAGGACAAGAAAGTATGCTTTTATCATACCTTCGAGAGCTGTGCTGGTAATTGGAATTGACTTTGTAGGCCATAGAAGATGTGTCAGTGCTTGAAATTAAGCTTGAAGAAGCAGAAATCAAGACGGAATGCCCAACTTTTGACACTCCAGCAGTTGAAGATGGTCAGGATCGCGCTGAGCCAGAGCCAAAGAGGAGGACGAGACAATCAAATCACACTAAGGAGAGAAAGAAGGACGTCCGCAAGAACGTCAGGGTGGAAGAGACTGAAGGCAGGATTGCGTTTGAATGTGATATTTGCAAGAAGAAGTTCATCTCGAAGCTGGGAATGAAGATTCACGTCCGCCGACACGGTGGCACAGAGGAGTACAGCTGCAAGTACTGTCAGGAGAAGACACTGACTTCTAGGGAGTTGAAGAGGCACGTGAAGGAGCAGCACGCCGAGGAGGCCAGCAGAGACAAGCCGCAGAAGACCTGCACGATCTGCTCTAAAACCTTCACGACGTGCAAGGGCCTCACGCAGCACATGCTCACGCACTCGGACAAGAGAACGGCGGTGTGTGATGTTTGTGGCGCAGCGTTCAAGGCGCGCTACACTCTCACCGTGCACATGCGGAAGCACACGGGCGTGAAGCCGTACAAGTGCGACTTTCCGGGCTGCAGTAGAGAATTCCACCAGAGCGCTTCCTATAGAATCCACAGGAGGAGTCACACTGGCGAGAAACCATATCCATGCAAGTACTGCGGCAAATGCTTCGGCGACAAGGGCAGTCTGAGAGTAAGCTGAAGCTCATGCACAATCCCGACCTGACTTCTGATTAATTTCCTTGGCTTTCAGATCCACTTTCGTCAGCACACTGGCGAAAATCCCTTTAAATGTGAACTTTGTGGAAAAACAACGAAGCAGAAGCAGAACTTGAAGAGTCACATGAAGCATTTCCATCATATTAACAACTTCACAATGTAGCGAAATGCGTAAAAATGTAAATTTGGCACTAATAGAAAATCATGTTGATATTTTCGAATATTACATATAAAGGTCAATGACCTGTGAAAATCAAAACAAATCACTTTGAATGGTTTCCAGTGAGTCATGCGACCTTGAAAAATGCATTAGGGTTGAGCCGGTTGAACCGATTGTAGTTCCAGAGATTTTTGGCACACTGGCACTTAAATCCTGGATTTAACGAACATTCTGAGATTGGTAGAATATTGTTAATTCAATTAGAAGTTGAGGACAGACTTGATTGTATATTAACCGAGTTTATAAATAGATTTTAATGACAATTTGAAAACCGTTCAAAAAAGAGTTCGCCAAGGTGACTAATTGCAGAGCAATCAGTTCGTGCGATATAAAAGACTGACCCAAAGGTTCGGTAGTCATTCCCTCCTCGACTTGAGACTCGAACATATCAACGCTTCTAGCATAACAGAGAGAAAATGCCTGGTCTTTTGTCAGACTTTGAGTCAAACGGCAATAACGTCGAGCTCGACAATTTATCCGTTCCGCCGAGCAAATTCGGAGTTATTGTCGTGAAGCGAGACGCCCAGCAACATCGACTATCAGTTGCTGGGGAGAAACCCAGGAAGCCTGAGCTATATCTGAAGGCTGATCATCCGTCCGGCATTCCAGCTGCGCAGTGGCTCTTCTATCCCGACCTGGACTTCGACCTGCCGCCCGGCATTCCCGACCTTCGCCATCCCATGATCTACGCCTACTGCGTTCCGAAGCTCATCAACGGCGACTGGCTCTACACGCCCTTGTACAAGAAGCTGAGGAGGTACTTCTGGAAGATGCCGCACCACGAATAAATTGTATACACTTGTTAAATAATATACGGACCTCAAAATATACTTAAGTTTTTCAATCTGAAATTTGTTGCTATATTTTTTTGAGACGTTCTAAATATTGCTGAATTTACTCTATAATAATTTGTGGTTCCTTATTAAGAAAATAAAAGAAATGCGAAATGTTATTGACTCCTTTCACTCCTTTATTTGCTGCTAGGATTTTTAGCGGGAAAATCGCGAATCATGATGACATACAGCGCTTCCGCGGCTGTTTTGCAAAGGAGATCACTTCCAGTGGAACTTCCAGTGCCTTCCCATCGGATGAGGTTGACATTTGGTCCAATCAACCAGCTGATTGTGGATCTTTTTCCTTTCGCAGATCAGTTTTCCGCCTAGAAAAGTGCAAAGAAACAGTAAAAATGGATTATTTGCGAACTGCGTGGAGTTACGTGCTGTCTTGCTTCAATTGCCAGGAGAATCACATGATTCAAGTGAGTAAACATTGTGTCTTTGTTCCTCACGCCCCCTGAATGTGTTTATACCCGCCACAGAGAAGTGAGCCCAACGAAAGATCTCATCTGCTGATCGATCCCGTGAGCAACAGTCCGGCTGTGCGGCCCGCGGCGGACGACTTCGCCAGCGAATATCCCAGCTCCTTGCCGAAGAAGGATGAACAGAGCGCGCTCAGTCGGATCGTGCAGGAAACGGCGTCGTAAGACATTTGCCATGGTGCCGCTGTCCGGACATCCCTTCTGAGTCTCTTGTCCTTACAGGAACATCATCGACGTGGCCGCCATGGACATGCACAACCTGGAGCCGCAGGAATACTCAGACCGCGTGAAGTTGTACTCGCAACGCCTGGCGCAGCAGTGGAGCACCGTCAGTCACCCGCGCACGGGCCCCAGAGGGCTGCTGCAGGACATCCCCAATCCGGAAGAGGTGCTCTCGGCCACGCCCATCAGCGCCGCGGACCTGCATATGATCCGAAGCGCCGCACAAGCGGCGAACGCGGCCGTGACTGAGATTCAAGTCGAGCACACGGAGGATCTCATCGTGCCTTTCCGGATCGCCTGATGTCCGGAATCTGCTTCTCTCTCTTTTACACCTCCTCGCAGAATGTCGAGAGGAATTCCCAACACACATTTTCTGTTCTGAATAAATCATATTTTTATTAAACCGAGCGCCAGACGAGTGTCTTTCCGGGAATGCTTCAGCACGAGTGCGCCAGGACGCTGTCCTCAAGCACCTTGACCGACAGCGGGTGTCCCATCCTGCAAAAGAGAAGCATCATGAGTGAGAGAATCACGGGGAAAGAACTAGACTCACTGTTCGAAAGCCGCCGCGATGTCCGAAGAGCGATCCGGATGGCAAACGATGGCAATCTTGGCTTTGGGCGAGAAAAGAGACTCGACGTACTTCTTGCCGACGCGCGTCAGATCCTCCTCAGTGATGGTGTCGATTTTCTGACAAGAGAAGCGAGCGAATGCGGTGAGGATTGAGGGTGAATAAGAATTCTCCTGTGCTATACTTACGTCCACGATGGCGCGATTGTAGTCAATGGACACGCCCTTGAAGCTGGTGAGGATGCACTGACTCACGATGTCGCCGATGCTCTTCTCGCGGTCGATCATTTCGAAGATCAGCGAGCTGCGCGCCGACTCCAGCAGCGTTTCGTCCCAGCCCTCGTCGCCGCGGATCTGGCGCTCCACGATGGCCTTGGTCTCCTTGTACGCCGCCACGACGTTGGTGGAGCGATAGAAGGTGAGGTACAGCAGTCCCTCGTGCGGCCGCGGCACCAAGCTGTAGCCGTACACCAGACCCTGGCCGCGCACCTGACGCCACAGCGCGCCCTCCAGCTGCGACAGATACTGCAGGAAGAGCAGCAGCGCTGGCAGCTCGGGGTCCATGAAATCGCGAATTGCTGGCGCCGCCTGGATGAGGAACGCGCCCTCCACGCAGCCCAGACCCACCACAGTGCCCACCGTGCCGTCCGCCAGCGCCGCCTCCGCGTCCATTAGGCTCCAGTCGTTGATAACCTGCGAGCAGACAGAGGGTAAAACTACGTCCAAAAAGGATATTTCTCGTGGAAAACAATAGGAAAATGCAGTAAAATAGTCGATAAATTGCTCACCTTCAGCTGCTTTAGCTTCGACACGTCGCCAGGACGCGCGATCGCGGCCCAGGGCGCGTTGAGGTCGGGCACGATGCGTGCCAGCCGTGTCCAGTCCGCCGCTACGTGCACCGTCACGTTCTCCGCGCGCGTGATACGATGGCGCAGCAAATTGATGTCCTGGACCACAGTCTGCGCCTCGTCCGTCGTCTCCAGGCGCTCCAACAGCTCCGTGAGGAACTTGTGCTGACGCAACATAGACGTGAGCTGCACATTGCTGTCGCGCCGATAGAAGAGCGCCTTCAGCAGATCGTGCACCACCGAGTTGCCCTTGCGCTTCGCCTGCGCCACGTCGTTCACCATCTTCGCCACGCACACGCGAATGCGCTCCACCGTGAACTCCGTGTCGTGCAGCAACTCGCGCAGCCACCGCACGCCCGTGGCGTACTTGCGCGGCTCCACCTGCAGACACAGTGACACGGTGTGCGAGAAGGGACCGCACGAGAAGCGGCTCTTCGACTCCAGGCCAAGCGCTGCCATGGACGCGATCACGTCGGACTCCAGCGCCGCCACGACTTGCTCGTACGGGACTAGGACGCCATCGCGACGCACCGGCGACTCCATGAGCAGGTCAAGGAAGAGCAGCAAGTAAGGCCTGAGCTCCGCGTGCAGGCTCTCCGTGTTGAGCGTGACCATCAAGTACACGAAGTTCGTGTGCATGTCGTAAGCCTCAGCGTACACCGGAAGTGCATCCAAGTCGAATCCTGCAAATAACCGCGTTGCCTCATTTCAAAGTCATTTCATTCATCAAACAATTATTTATGCAAATGTCATTCGAGATAATCTAATTGTATGATTGAGAATCAATTAAGGACAATTGAAGGACGATTAAGGATCGATTAAGGACGACTGAACGTAGTTTGGTTCAAAATGTCGTCGAAAGAAGAGGTTTATTTCCAAAGAATCCTCTTCAGTTTCTATTATTTCAATAAAGCCTTTGCTTTAATGCCAATTGGCTTCAGTTCGGTCAGGAAGAAGTACAAGAAATCCACTGCTTCGCTCGCTTTCAGCTTTCTATTCCTGATTTTCATATCATTCTCATCACCCTACATTATATACAAATTCTATCTCATCTTTAACGCATACATGAGGAACGAATTAGGTTCATATGTTGTAATTATTAAAATTTCTTGCCACTTCGCGACAGTGATTTCCATCCAGAGTCTCAATATCCACTACAGAAGTGAAATCATTGCTTATTTCAATGAAAAATCAACTCTGAGAGAACTAATCAATGAGCTAAATCTACCGATGAGGAGGAAAATGTTCTTCTTCGGCCTTCCTCTTCTATCAATTGGCCTCTTCTTTCTCCAAATATACGCCACTATCGGAGTATTGATGACGACTTTTTCACTGACAATCTTTTCCTTTCTTATCTTCATCATTCCCAATGGCGTCGTAACATTAGTCGGATTGAGTTTTACCATTGAAGTAATTTCATTGCAATATTTCGCACATCAAATTAATTTATCACTTGAGCAATTGATTGAGATTAGTGAGCAATTTTCAAAAAACAGCACAACAAAAGCTGAAAGAATGGTTTTGTGTTGCCAAATAAGTGATAAAATTGATCATTTGTCCATTCTTCACTCAAAGCTTAATACAATTCTTGTGATGTTGAATGATTTTCAGAGCAAAATCCTCTTGATTAATTTCGCAAATAAATTCACTCAACTCATAATCCCAGCCTTTTACCAATATTTGATAACTTCTGGGCTGATTGAAGAGGACTCCATTGATTCTCATGAAACATTGTCCACAAACACACTCATCATGACCATTATCAGTGCCATTGAACTAATAATGTGTATAAATTGTAGTGATAAATTCATCAATGAGGTAAAGAATCAATATTCATTGTTAAAATATGGAATTTTGGTTTTCTTTCTTAACTCTTCTAGACGGTGAGAACCGGAAGGATTCTTCACGATTTCACGCCGTGCAACACTGACGATCGCCTTAGAGAGAGCATCAATCGATTTTCCCTGCAAATCCTGCAGGAAAAGCGACCAATTGTCGTCTGCGGAATGTTCAACGTCGACAACACGTTTCTCTACATCATCGCATCATCAATGACCAGCTATTTGATTCTCCTCATTCAGTTTCAAATACAAGGTTTATGAACAAACTGAACCGAAAAGCTTATGATTTCCGGATAACCTTGTCTTTGACGCCCGATTCTGGCCCACATACCTGTAGGACTGCCTTCCTTGGTGCCGCTCCTGAACACCTTCACCGGGTGGTACTTGATGCCGTCGGTACCCGGAATCGGCACCTGCGTCAGCATCTCGTTGGGCGGCGGAATCTCGTTCTGCGCCATCGCCTCGGCGAACGCCTCACCTTTGGCGTTCATGCCCTCGATGCCCAACTCGCTGCGCTGGCGCTCGATGCGTTCAATCTCGCGCTTCGCCATGCGCTGCTGCTCCTCGACGCTCGGCACGGCGCGCACCACCACAGACTCGGCGTCCACGAAGAAGCGGCGCAGCAGATCCAGCCAGAACGCCTCGCCCTCCGCCTTGAAGCTCTCGTACTCCGTGTTGGTGTTGAGGCGCAGCTCGAAGTCCGCCGGCGTGTCGCCGTACAGCACGTCGCCGATGACAAGGAAGGCGATCGCCTCGTGCGGATTGTCCTCCAGGCAGCTCCACGACTCCAGGATGTTCTTCTCGATGATGTTGCGCATACGCGTCATGTCGATGCGCTCCTCACCGTTCGCAATCCTCGCCAGCACCTGGCGTACGCGTGCGTGCACGTCGTCCACATGCTGCAGCGGCACGTTGTAGAACGTGAAGTTAAGCACGGACACGGAATTTTCGCCGATGTTGTAGCTGAGCTTGCTGGCCAGCGGATCGTCGATCTCCAGCAAGTCGCGCTGCAGCGGACTCACGCTCGTGTCCGAGAGATAGCGCATCAGCACGGAGCACGCCGTGAGCGTCGTGTGCTCCAGCGTGCACTTCGGGCCGCGCCACGCGATCAGCACCAGGCCGCAATCCTCCTCGTCCGACGGATAGAGAACCTGCGCATCGGAGAAAATATGCGTGATAGAGAAAGGGATAAGAATGGGGGGCGAAAAACTCACTTTGACGTCCTCGGATTTGGTTAGCGGCGCAACAGGTGTCTGCCAAGGACGCTGGAAAGGGGGTCGTTTTCCCTGCAAAGCCACAAAGTGCTGGTGATTTTCGTGCTTCTCGCGCCTCTTGCGCCGTGCTCACCTTTGCGATGATCCTGTCCTCGAGCGGCTTCAGCACCCTCAGAAGGTCCTCGATGTTCACCTGACCCGTGACGATGATGGCCAGGTTCTCGGGTCGGTAGAAAGCCGCGTGATAGTCCCTGACCTTCTGGTTCGTCGTGCTCGTGCGCAGGTTGTGCATGATGCCGCCGGTTTCCGCCGAGTAGCCGCAGTTCGGGTACATGCTGCGCAGCATCTGCAGCTGGCCCTTGCTCTCGTCCGAGTTCTCCCTGCCCTGCATCTCGCAGTACACCACGCCCGCGTCCTCACCCTCACCTGAGATGTGGTGCACCTGCAATGGCGGCCAAATAACCCGGGAAAGATCAGTGAATCGCCCGAAGAGCTCAATTAACGGCTGCTCAGCGCATAAGAGAGGACGGATGAGCTCACCTCCGTGATGAAGCCGGACTCCGAGAGCGTGGGATAGAGGATGTGGTCCAGGAATATCGGCAGAAGCTCCAGAAAACCGTCGCTGCCGGCCGTGGTCATTGTGTAGCACGTGTGGTCGGTGTCCGTCCACGCGTTGGTGCCGGAGGCCAGGCAGCGGTTGGCCAGAAGGTCCAGGACGCCCTTGTACGGATAGAGCTCGGAGCCGAGGAAGATGAGGTGCTCCAGCGTGTGCGGCAGCCCGTCATCATCGTGCGCCTCCGTGGCTGAAAGTGGGCCAATCGATCAAATAGCTATCGACCAAACAAAGAGCTCCCTGGGCCACTGACCTAGGGCAAAGTAGCCGTTCACCACCGGCCCCTCGACGTCCGCCACGATCAGCGTGAGACCGGTGGCGGCGCTCCGGTACTTGTGCACCGGAATCTTGCCGTTAGCTCGCGTGGAGCACACCAATTCGAATGAAGCCATCTCCTGACCACTTTTCCACCAATTCACCGCACTTTTCCCACTTTTCAACCGCACCGCAAAGCGCCCGGAAAACGAATGACAGCCGCCTTTGGAAGCACTTTCCAGACACCTTCCAGGCTGCTTCCAGTGACATGGCGCGAAAGGGGATTCAAATAATTTGTAAATATATTAATTAAATTTGCGACAATATTCAATTTATTCCTCTGTGTTATCATTACTTATTAGAGATGCGAATTAAAGCGTCTGAAATGTTCTCAGCGCTTCTGCATTGTTCTCTCTGAGCTTCTTGTAGAAGAAGTAAGAGTGATAATTGTACCACAAAAGTCCGCCGCCGAGCGCCAGCACGACCACAGCCAGGATCACTGATATCGCGGCAAAAGTGCGCACATTCGCTCTATCAATTGGTTGAGCGATTGTTGCATTGCCAGGCCTCAGAAGGAGTCCCAACTCCTTCACTCTGCCCTCGATCCTCCGCAGAGCCTGGAAGATGTTATCGAACATGGTCGAGGTGTTGTTCTCTAGCTCGTCTGTCCGCAAGGGAAGGTAGTGACTGATGTCGCCTGCGTTCTTCTCAGCTTCCGGCGTCGCGGGAGTTTCCTGACTCTGCGTTGTCTCGGGTGTTTCGCTGGTGAAGCTGCTCAGAGAGGAAATTCGGTTGCATTGGTATTTCTGGTATATCTCTTTGTGATTTTCTAGCAAAACGAGGAATAAAATTAGATAATTTCTTAACGTACCCCAAGATTTCTCTCTGTGTAGAGAAGTTTGCGATAAGCGGAGTTGACGTGGTGATATTTACAAGCAGAGAAGAATCGTTGATGGTCTCAAGCTTCAATTTGAGCTTCTGCAGTTCCGTCCAAAAGGCGTTGTTGGACACGTTGAGATGATTCAAAGGATGCACCGTGCTTTGCTCAACAATCTCACTGTCGTTCTTCTTGTAGCAAATCATCCCACGGATATTCGTCACATTCACTGGCGTCGGTTCATCCGCGTTGAATCCTATTCTGTTGGTCGCCTTCAAGCGCCGATAGATTGTCAGCAACTTCTTGCACTCGAATCTGTTGTGCGACAGTCCAACGAGGACCAAATGAGGCATGATTGTGTCCAAATCTGTGGGAAAATCGCTGAGGCGATTCCCATCGAGATAGAGATACCGCAGATTTTGGAAGAGCGACAAGATGTTGTCATCAATCTCCTCAAAGACGTTATACGAGAGATCGAGTGTCTCGAGAAAATCCGCGAAGAAGTATCCATAATCGAGGTGAGAAATGTGATTTCCACTCAAATTGATCTCCTTGAGAAAACGCATCTTGCCAAAGCAAAAGCCAATCTGTGTGATGTTATTGTGCGCTAAGAAAATCGATCTCAGATTCTCGCATTCGCAGATGCTCTTGAGATTATTGGCCAACTTGTTGTAGTTCATTTGCAACATTTCCAGAGTTGATGTGGAGCTGTCCAGAGAAATATCCGTGAGTGCATTGTTCTTGGCGAAAAGCTCTCGGCAACCGTGTCCAATTGATAATTGCCTCAAGTAGTTGCTGTTCACAATGACATTGGTGATTCTGGTGTTCCTCAAGTCCACCGACGCCAGAAGATTGTTGCTCAAGTCCAGGATCGAAGGCTCTTCGGCAGTGTTCATGCTCAAGAAGTGCTGCGAAGGTGTGAATTTGTGCAGATAATTATTGCTCACGTCCAAGAAGTGCAAATCTGTGCAGTTGCCGAAGAGATCCATCGAGAGTTCCTCCAGAGAATTCGATTGCAGCTGAACAGTCTTTAAGTGTGTGTTGTCCAATAGGAAGTCTTGCGAGATGTTCTTGAGCTTGTTATTTGACAAATTAATGTGATTAAGTTCCCGAAGACCTTCTAAGAGTTTCGCCGGAAGAGAAGTCAAGCGATTTCTGCTCAAGTCAATTGTCTCCAATCTTGGGCAATTCAGAAATGCATCATGAGAAATGGACGTGATTTGATTTCTGGTAAAATTCAGTCTGAAGAGTTTTTCGGATTTAAACGCATCCACAAATTCCAGAGTTGTGTTCATCACAGTCAAATCCAAGATTTGCTCCATGTCGTCAAACATCGGGCGTGGTAAATCACTCATTGCTGAGTCCTTTATCGTTAAAGCTCCGAATTCAGTGGAAATCGGTTCGTATTGCTGATCACCTTTAAAGGTGTACTCAATGACACAGTGAAATACATATGATATCCTAGCATTTTCATAATATTTCCGTGTAGAATCTGAACAGGGAACTTTAATGCCATCGCAGCTCCGCAAATAAATCACAAACAGCACAGGAAGAATGGCACAAAGCAACCTGAAAGACACTATATTCTCAGGATCAAAGGAAAACTCCACTATTGTCACATCTCACCGCAAATTGACCATTTCGAGACGTTCACGCTGGAAGGATAACTTCAAGACTAAACTCTAAGTGTGTCTTCGTCTAATTCTCGTCTCAGAAAATGTCTCAACTTGTGCAGAAATATGAAGAGAAGTTTTATCAAGAGCAAGATAAAGCTCAAGAGCGTCTTTCTCGTGTAGTCGCAACTATGATAGCGTGCATTCATGCAAGCAGAAGAGAATGTTGATAAGCATTATGCGCAGATAAGCTTATGAAGAAGCTGAGATTCCGACATTCGAGACTGTAGATATCTTTGGGCTCAGGATTTCAAAAAAAAAATTATTTATTTTTGAGATGAAGGAGCCAAACCCTCGAGGAAATTCTTGGTTCTACCAGAACTCAGAGAACTCAAAGCTACGGAAATTGTCTTGGAAGCTTCTCAGAACACAAACAAAATTATCGGCTTATCTTCTGGCCAAGAAGCCATTGAAATCAAAAGTGACGATTAAATTCTACTTGAGAAACGCTTGTTCAAATCTTCACACCAGCAATAGCATAAAGCAGCCAAACTTGTTGGTAAGAACTTGACAAAAAAAACTATGAAACTTTAACTTTTTTCTGACATAATCACTTCTTTAGGTATATGTTTAAAACATGTATTTAGCTGCTCACAATCTCATCCGGAATACACATTCAGATGGGGTTCTGGTCCAATTGCTTCGCCGTAAATGTTATTCGCAACAATCATAACGAAGTATTCAGTTTTGGGTTCCAAATCACAGATTTCATAGGAAGATTTCGTCCAATCTCGGATGAATTTCAGGCCTTTAAATATCTCAGGATTGAGTCCCCACGAGATTCTGTAGTACAATCCTCCGCATCCTTGCTTCTTCTTAGGCACGGGCTGAAGAATAAGGAAAACACATGAGCTTTTGTCATTTCAAAGTGATTATTCAAGCACTTGCTTTCCATGAGAGGACAATGCAGCCGCTTTTGCTTGGTGTTCCTTTGAAATTGTGGGGATTTTCAGTCGGATTGGAACATTTTAGTTCGCCTGCTATAAATAAATATTGCGTAGGACGAATTAAACGAAGCTCAGAAACTTCCATTTATCATTTGTACCTTTCACAATCACGAGAAGAAGTGTTGTGAGGAAGATAAAACAGCTGATTTTCAGCATTTTCAATCACTCACTCACAATAGATTGAAAACAATTCACTCACTCTTCCCCAAAGTCAAGTCTGAACTGGAGAGTTGCCTTCAAACACCTTTGGATAAACACTGAGATGTTAAACAGTGACTCAAAGAGTCAAACTTGTTTTACTCACTTGAGACGATGAAAACAAAAAAAAATCACCAATTCAAGTTATATTCAAGGTTACAATACAAGATCAGTGTTGAAATGAAATGTTCATTGACTTCCAAAGTTTACTTTTCTGTATTTATTTGTTTTCCTGTTACAAAGTTTCTGCAATTCTTTTAATTCCTCTTTAAGACCACTAGAGGAACTTCCTTGTAAAGAGTTCCGTGAATATTCCCTGCGATGCATCCAAAAACCGCCGAATCGTTCGCTAAGACGTGACTTATCTTCAAACCACCTTCTTCAACGATGATCTTGTCTTTCAACAGAGACTCTTCAATAGGTTTACCATTGTGGATCCATTCAATTTTCGGATGCGGAAGTCCAGAAACTTCACAAGCAATAAAAACATCATTTCCTTCCTCGGGATTCTCAAGCAATTGTGGTTCCTTCACAAAGAAAGGTCTTGATTGAATGTTGAGATTGAAAAATTGATATTTCTTGGCGCCAATTCCATTGGAAACTTCGCAAATGTACTTTCCTTCGTCCTCAAATAAGGTATTCTTCAGTTGGAGGGATTTTCCGCTATTGCGAAGGAGTATCCTGGAATCAAACGACAATATTTCGTAATTCTTTGTCCAGACAACTTTCGGCACTGGATTTCCACTGAAGATACAGTGCAACTCTTCTTGTTCTCCTGCAAGAGCAATTAAGCGTGCAGGTGAAACGTAGTCCTGTTTGGGCCCAAATTTTCTAATGGAAGATTGATTTTCTCTCTGTTCAACTGAAATGTGAACAATTCCTCCGAATTTTCGTGCCCCAGAGAATGGAAAATCAACCATGCATGCATAATGGAAGCCATTTGAATCATCTTCAATCTTCACAACTGCAAAATGTAAATTTCCTTCTGCATCTGTTGCAATGTGAGGCTCATCGATTGCCTTAAAACTCTTGTTAGGATATTTCTTCACCCACGTGATAATTGGCTTTGGATATCCTTTCGGTGCATTGCACTCAATGACTAAAGATTCTCCTTCTTCAGTCTCAATATCTTGAGGAATTTTGCTGATTTCGCTGAACTCGTCAGAGAAACTCATTCGCACTGTTATGTTTTTCGACACAGACGTTCCAAGTTCATTTTCGGCCAAGCATTGATAAACACCAGAATCTTCACGATGAGCTTCAGATATGATCAAATCTCCACCGTAAAAACTTAATCTATCCGTCGAATTCACTTCCAATCCATCTTTGAGCCAGCGATAATTCAAATGGCTGCAAATTCATTGAATTTTTTAAACTACAAAATTCACTACAATAACATGAGTATGATTTCTCACCCCACAGAAATTCCAATAGCTTCACATTCAATGACGAGAACTTTGCCTTCTAGAAAGAGAATCTCATCTACAAACGGTTGCCGCACAATTTTCGGAGGTACAGAAAGAGCTGAAACATCACATACTCAATTAAAATAGAATATAAACCAATGAGAGAATCACAATTTATTTACTCTGTGATTTAACTATTGTCACTGTTAGAATTAGAAAAAATGCGCACTTTAACTGTCCCATTATTGTGGCAAACGCTGAATGTGTCTTAATGAATCACTCAGTGAATTTGACACGCTCTTGACTTTGGCAGCGTCAAAACTAAACTAATCACGATATTTTCAAAATATGCGTAAATAACAACCGATTAAGATAATTTTCTTATAACATTACAATCGCACAATTAAATTAAACTGTTCGTTCGTTAAACGAAGTCAGAAACTTTTGACCTTTACATATGCCTCATTTAACCGCTTTGTATCATGGGAATGCGATAGTTAGGCATTATAAAAAAAAAACACCCAATTACTGTAACTTCTCATTGACTTTACATAAGCAAAATATCATGAATGCGAAATTTCATTGAAGCTCTCTTTTCATCATTCTTTGTCTATAATGAATTTAATTCTGCAAATCCTGGCCAAATCCTCTCTCTGAATTGTGTATATTGCCTATTCGGCAATAAGACATTATAGCTTTGAATTTTAAGATATCTTCTGGAAATAATGGAAAATCAGATGCATTTCCTATATTTAAAAAACAACTTTATTGTAAATTAAACACTGATTAAAGATGGCGGAGGCTAGACCAATGCGTAAGCGGCGTAATTCGCGACACCGCATAGGTTCTGGTGCCGCTTTAGGCGCATGTAGCCACCCTCTCCCCAGCGTTCGCCCCACCAGTTCCGCAGGATCCAGTACGCGGGCGTGTAGCCGACCAGCAGCATGGCGTGGTTGACCGTGGAGGAGCTGCACTTGGCGTCGTCGTACACGCCGTCGCCGTAGAGCTGGAAGGAGCGCGGCGCAGCATTGATGGACACAGCGACAGGACCTACAGTGGCCACGGCGAGCGCTAGGGCGGCTTCGCTCTTCGGCAGAACGGCCCAGCGGCTCACGTTCAGCACGGCGAGTGGCTCTAGGAAGCGACAGCGGCCCTCTTTGGCAGTGTACGGATAGTCCTGCTGCCTCATGAGCCCGCCGCAGGCCACCAGATAGCGTAGCGTGTTCTTCAGCGATCCTCCCGCGCACCCTTGATTGCCCATGTCAAAGCTGCAGTCCACAATCTGCTGTTCACTGCGAAAAAGAACAATCAATATCCATAGGAATTTTACATCAACACTTCTCACTCACCTCAGAGCTATCATCTTGGATGTCCTCTTGAAGATCTGCCCCTCGATGCTGTGCACGATGCTGAAGGCATAGCATGCGCCGCAGGACTTCTGATTGTCCGCCGGCGGCCGAAAGCCCAACTCGCGCCAATCCACTGACTGCGGTGCCTCGGCGGCTCCGAAAGCCGCCACGATGGCGTCTCCATCGTCCGTGCTCTCAGCCTTGTCGGCCTGCAAGTGCACGAACCTCACGAGGTACTCCTGACGATTGAGATCCGCCAGGGCGTTGAGCGCGAGGCGGAATGAGGTCCTGTTGTGCTCGAAGGCCCCGTTATGCTCCGCCACGAGCGCCGCGTTGGCTAGAAAGGCGTCTCGCGAGCGCCGCTCGCGAAAGGAGCGTCGATATGTGCGATTGAAGGCGGTCTTGAACTCCTCCCACGACGCAATCTCGGCGCCGGCGAGTGGCAGAAGAAGCAGCACCACTAAGAGACGCATTGCGACACACTAACTTCACTGCTGACGACATCCAATCGAGCTCCAAATTGCAATTGCAGCACTTTTCCATTCATATTTGTGGCATTTGTGGTGATCACGCAGTTTTGGCGGGAGTTTCTCATGCCGACCCGGTGGTACGCGCTATTCACCACCAGTTAGAGCACTTATCGCAGTGCGACATTCATCTTGTTCATCTTCATACTTCGTTTTAGGGGTTTTGGGATTTAGTTATTGGCTGTGATTATGCCTGATCGATTTTATTGATTCTTCGCATTGAATTTACATGTGAATAGAAATGTCTTAATTATTGCTTCCTTCCTTAGCTTTTCGAGAAGTCGTCGTGAAAGTGAGCTCTTCACTTCGGGGTCCGTCGAAGAGCGAATTGAAGGCTGCAACTCGAACACTAAAATTCTCATCTTTCTTGAGCTTTCCCAAAAAATCACTGGTATAGTTTCCCACGACAATTATTTTCCTGGTGAGCTCAATTACATATCCTTTGAATTCTCCTCTGACGGACTCAATAGGAACAGGATCCCATTTCAAGTGGTACCTTGAATCCTCATCCACGTCCAGCACAAGATTCGTCGGCGCCAAAACTGGAACTGCGCGAAAGACAAGGAATTGTTATGCTTGAAATCTTCATGTATAGGAAGAACAATGTTTGCCTTCTCCTCCAGAATATTCCTTGAACACGGATTTTTCTCCCTTGGCTTCTCCCACTTCGTTGCGTGCAGAAATTCCGATTGCATATGGTTTGTAACTTTCCAAGCCGCAGAATTCGTAAGAAGTTTGAGTCCCATCGTTAATATCTATAAATTTTGTTTTTTCCTCATCATCCGGACCTTCCAAAAGTCTCGCAAAGATGCGATAATGAAAGCCTTTTCCGTTGTGATCTTCTTCAGGCACAGGCTGTGAATATTGAAGCTCAAATTGTATCTTCATTTTCTCATCACTATAAAATGTTACGAATTTCTTACTGTCCATTTGAGAAAAATGCAGCCAGTTTTCTTTACGATGGTTTCAAGAATAGTCGGATTAGAAGATGGAACTTCGGGAGCAGCTTCGCCGGAAGATTCATAATCCGACAGTTTCAGTAGAAATACAAGGAAAATACACTTTACATTTATAATTAACATGTTTTATTTGCAATAATTTAACGGATATTCCAAAACTTCCTCACGCGTTCTTTCTTCGACAGAGAAATAATTCAAACTGAACAGCTTCTGTGGACACGTTAGACAAGCAGCAACTCAAGCCTCTTAACGAGCTTCTCAATAAAAAATGCAAACACAAAAACTGTCTTCAGTATTTCTAAACCCAAAGATATATACATATATATAAACCGGGTTGATAAAAAAATTACTGATAGAGTTTTTGTTCATTTATTCAAGCTGAGAAAACTTGACCTTCTGTGATGTATTCTTCAATGTGCTAAATGTATATATTTAAACGAAAGGAATTCTCTATTTCACTGCCCAGACGTCTTAAAAGACTCAAAGAAGGTTAAATGGGATTCAAAATCTACTAGCCAAAGACGATTTCTTCACGCTAAGCGCCAATTGTCATCTTTTCCCTGACTTGTAAAATCAAATAAACCCAAATTCGTATGTTTAAGCTTCAGTATTATATTCTCTACAACTTTTCCAAGGAAATTCTTTTATTTCAGAAAAAGTCTGCCGCTTTGGTTCTCTTCACATTCGCGGGAATATTCAGCAGATCATCCGTCAAAATTTGCTTCTCCGGTGATTTCGCCTTCGTCGCTGAGATTCTCGGCGTCTTCTTCCTGATCAGCGGCGACGGGGTGGCCTTGTGCTGAGAGAGCCGCGGCGTAGCAGCGGATTTCCTATTCGGCGACGGCGTAATGCCGAATCGCGACGACGCCAGGCGCTTCGCGGCCGGCGACATCGAGGCAAGGCGCTCCATTGTCGATCTGCCGTGCGGCGACGCGATGTTGCGTCGCGCTGCCTCCATGGCGCGCGCCTTCTGGCCCCTGAGTCGCTCGCCGGCACGCTCCGCTAGCTCCAGCGCGATCGCTTCGCGCCGCGGCGTCTCGGCGATGCGGAATGCCGGTGTCGAAGTGTGATGCACAGGCGTGTCGCCGCCGTCCAGACGAAAAGGCGTGCCCTCGATCTCGCCCCACGTCATCAACGGCGTCTCGTTGACGCCCGGCCGCGGTGACGGCGTGTGCACGAAGCCAAAGCCGCGCACGCGCGGACTCGCGTCCTGGCTCAGCACATTGCCATCCACGTCCACCTTTCCGTCCAGCACGTGCTGCTGGTGCTTGGCCATCCGCGAGATGGTCTCGCGGCTCTGCCGCTCGTCGAAGGGACTTTCGAGCAGGCGCGTGTTGCCGTGCACGACCTCCTGCCGCTTCTGCGCCATCTCGATGCGCTCCTCCTGACTCAGCTCCACGCCGTCCGGCACATACATAATGAAGTTCTTGTTCCTGTACGTCCACGTGTCCACCGGCTGCACGCCCACAGTCTCCCGGAACTGCTCTTCGATGGGCGGCAGTGCGAGGCGCTTCGCCATCTCGAGCGCCTGGACTTTCTCCTGCTTGAAGAGCACCTCGAACTTCTGACGCAGCTTCTGGTCCGCCTTTTCGATAATCTCTTGAAAGCTCTGATTGTCTTCGCTCGTGTACGAGTCCAGGAACGCATCCAAGCTGATTCTATCCGATATCTTCAGCTCCTCGCTTTCCTCCTTCGGGACGCTGTTGCTCAGGCGGGAAGTGTTTGATCTCCTCGAATTCGTCTCTGGCGTGGCTTCTGGCCGAATGACGGGTGTCTCGAAGGTCGCAGGACTCTCAGCTGAAAGCAAACACATCGATAGAACACAGATTTTTACCGGGAAAGTCTCAAACTCACATCCTCTGGACTGATTTGGTCTTCTTCCGCTGTACTTCTCATACAATTCCCTCAGCTTCACCATGTCGTTCTTCTCCACGGCGTCCAGGTACTGATTCTGCGCCTTGAGTTTCTCCAGGTCCGGGAAGAAGTCCCTCTGGATGATTTTGCCCAATTCCTACAAAGAAACAAAGAGAAATCAGCAAAATTGCAGGAAGTAAACAAAGTCGCATTCCAACCTCAACATATTTCTCTTCTGTGAGAATCTTAGCTTTCGCCACCTTCTCTTTAGGCACTGTAGGCACTTTAAAGGACACCACACTTTTGCTCATGTTCTTCATGGCAATCAATGCCTTTTCACCAGGTTTTTCCTCCATACTTTCACTCATTTCCCTTCAGGAGCACAAAACGTAATCAAAACATTTCAGCATATGACATTAACTGGTGTTGCCAGATGCTACAGATGGCGTGGTGATCAATTTAAATTTTGAATTTATGTCTGTTACAATTACACTCAGAAAAATTCTGCGCATATTTTACTTCCTGAAGAGAATTATTTAATTTCTATTTCAGTTGTTTATTGACCAATATTATTGCCAATACAATATTGCATTATTACTCCTCAATACTGAGACACTGCATCCAAAAGGATTCCATCAAGTGATACAAATGCCGCGAGACTCCATTTAAGCCGTGCGCTTCGTCTGGATAACTCTGCAAAGGGATGATTTTTGCGGTTTAACAAACAGTAGAAAAAACAATATAAATGCTGCAGTAGAATTACCATCTGTTCGAAGAGAATGTTGGCTTTCTGCAGAACTCGACTCAACATCATGGAGTTCTGGAAGTGCACATTGTCATCCGCGTTGCCGTGAATCAGGAGAAAGTCGTGATGCTTGAACTCCTCAATGTTCCTCGTAATGTCGCTGGCATTGTAACCCGCTTCGTTGAACGTCGGATTCGGCAGTCCCATGTATCGTTCGGTGTAGATGGAATCTGCAAGGATTATTCGTTTAAAAGCTCTCAAAATGGTGAAACCTAGAAAAGCGTATTATCATGATTGCACAGACCGTAGTAAATCCAGGAAATGACAGGAGCCACGGAAATACCGCACTGGAACACTCTTTCTGTGTCTTTGGCCAGCGCCATTGCTGTGGCGTAGCCGCCATAGCTCCATCCCCAAATGCCAGTGCGATCGGCGTCGATGAAGTCGTAGTTCTCCTGCAAGTACTTGGCCACGTCGATCTGGTCTTCAATCTCAACGGTGCCCAAATGATTGTTGAGCGTGAAGAGGAAGTCTGTGCCTTGATTTGCCGTTCCGCGCCCGTCAATTTGCACCTCGATCACGTGATGTCCGCTGACCATGAAGTCTCCAAAGCCGACGCCAAAGGACGCCGTGACGCGAGCAGAATTTGGTCCGCCGTAAACATAAACGATCATGGGATACTTCTGGTCATTTCCCGATGGGAAGTTCACATTGGCCGGCACTTTAATCTTCACAGACGCCTCAAATCCACCCTTAACGGGAACTTTGAGGTAGTGAACTTGAGGCAAAGCAATGGCAGTTAAACTTGTGCGTGTTGATAAGTTCTCCTCCCACGCGAGTATTTTACTGTTGTCCTGCAATTATAGAGATTGAAAAATTTCTCAGATTATTACACCCAAAAAAATTGATCTTTCTCTGGATTGACGGCGACTTACCGACGCTCTGGTAAGATGCGTGTACGATGGCGTCGGGCCGGAACATGTGAGGGCGTAATAGGAGAAATCTCTGCTGAAGCTGGCGCTCGCGTAGATGCACTCGGCGCCTTCGGGACTCTGGGAGGAGCACGTGAGACACGTGTTGTCCCTGAAGACGTGGCGCTGCTCTGGATTACTTCCGGGCACGGCGAGATAGTACAGATTGTCGTTGACCTCGTCATAGCCGTAGATGCTGGACACGGTGACGGCTGTTGGCGTGATTATGCTGGTCTGTTGCTGCGTGAAGTCGTACTTCCACACTTTGTACCATCCCTCGGAGTTGGCGATCATGAGGCAGACATTGGCTGTTGGGTAGCACCTGGGCGCGTTTACGCTCACCCAGCCCGAGGGCTCGGACAGTCTGATGATCTCACGGCACGTGATCTCGCTCCCGACGATGCACGATTGCAGCGTGGCGATGTTCTGGCGCCGGTTGAGCCACAGCGCCAAGATGTGATTGTCATTGTACCAGGAGACCGTGCCCAGGATGTGATCGCTCGAGACGATGTCCACGGGCGTGGGAATGTGCCGCCAAGTCGCGCCAGATGTGCTCATGTCCAGCACACGAAGCGCAACCACGGGATTGGTCATGCCGGCTTTCGGGTAGCGCAGCTGAATCTCCTCGAAATACTGATTATTGGCATTTCCCGGCTCACCGTACATGAAGTACATCGACTCATTGACGAGAGTGTCGTCGAAGCTGGCAATGGCGATGTTTCCGCCATCTGTGGAGAACCACAGAGCCGCCCCGCTGCCCAGAACCTCCTCTTCGTACACCCAATCCGGTACGCCGTTATAAATAACTCCCGGAACGCCGTCATTGGTGAGGCGAGTCTCTACGCCGTCTAACTTCTTCACGTACACATCATTGTCCTTCACGAAGGCTAGAGTGTTTGAGTCCACAGGCGACCACGTGCATACATTCAATTCCTCCGCGTTCGATACATCAACGAACGTGCTACAAGAGAGACATTTCGAAGGATTAACCGGAATATTAGCCAAGCACTGACAACTCACCCCGAGGCGATATTATAAACCGCGTATTTGGCCACAATCGAGTGCCTGAAGATCTGTTGATTAAGTACAAGATTAGATATACTGACATAAGAGTAAAGCATCAGAGAGGCAATCTAATCAATCACAGTACAATTTGAGTGCTGATTCTTGTTCATTGAATTCATCTCTACCGGAATTTTAGAGTTGTAGGCATCAAAAATTGAGTATAATTCGATTAAATTGACGTAATTCTTAAGCAAGCATCCCTTTAACTTTACTAATGAAAATCATGAAAACACAATTTTCTAATGCCAAAAATTGGTTTCAAAAACTCAAAATTACATTATAATTCAGTTTTGTTCTATATTTCTCTACTAATTTTGGTTAAAGCTTAATTATTGAACCAAGGATAGTCAGACAATTGCTGGATTTCTTCTCTGAACTTGTCACGACTACCAATCAAATTGATCACTCGCTTTGAAGTAAAGATATGAGCCCCTTGCTTGATATACTCACAGATCTGGTGCTGTAGCGAACGAGGACTTTCGTGTAGTCCCGGGAAAAAGTGTAGCTCGCTCCACTCCAACCTGACTGCAGAGAAATCATTGATTTTGGAGCAGAGATCAAAAGCCGCGTATTTGAATACTCCACTTACCAGAGCATCTCGCGCGAGGAACAATCGATTGGTGCTATCAACTACATTGTAAATAGTGTAATCGCCTTCGCTGTTGCGATAGAGAAACTCAGTCTCTGGAAGAAGTTATAAGTTAATCACTTGGAGTGTGTCTTATGTGACATGATTGCGAGATAAGGGCGATGAATGTTAGCCAAAATTCAATGGCTTAGGAAGAGATAATAGCACAGCCAATATATCACTCACAGCTTTTTTCTTATCTATGGGGAGAATTTGGCCAGTTAAAATACCTGTCAACCACGTCCCATTGAATCCTCGCTGTGAGAATCTCGATCCCGGAATGACATCACTGAATTCCAAGGGTCTCTGCTCCGTCTGGCGCGTTTTCCTGGCTGGATTACCTGCACAAGAACCCAGAAGCACTCCCACGAGGAGCAGCTGAAGTGCACTTAATTGCTGCAGAGAATGTGTGAAACACTTAGGCGCATTACGAGAGCAAGTCAAGATCACAGAAACAAACCATTTTTAGGGGAAATTGCCCTGGGACGACTAACGGATGACCACTGACTCCGGCTGTTCGGCCGATACTGATAAAAGAGCTGAAACAATACTGATTGTACAGGAATGAAAGTGTGACTCTCAAGTGGATTTTAATACAAATACAATGCTGGTTGAGTTTATTTCTCTAAAGACACTTCAGCACTGCGCTGTGTTCAATTTTATTCGATGTGTGTGGATAGAATTTCTTTAAAATCAATATTCACCACACATTCTCTCACTTTCTGTGTGAAATGATAACATAATGCCTAATTGCCGACGATGGAAAAGTATTTTAGCAAGTTAGAACAATGTGAAGACATATTTTTCAATGCCTGTTTGTGTTTGCGAAGCACAATTTGAAGAGAAATATTCTCTACAACAGAATATCAATTGAGAAATGCAATCTCTGCCAAGATCTATTGACAATTTTTGAGGTGTGTGCTCAATTGTCCATGAATAACTGAATGAATTGCGTTATTTCTAAATAAAAAACATCCCTAATTTTGTAAAACTGTTGCATACGGGAGGGCCGGGCACTGGTGGAGGAGATGTCTACTGATGTATATGAAATTACAGCACAAGAAGATTGCGAGGTTGCTTGATTAATTATTGTCTTACGTCCACAAATAAATGTGTCAGAATGATTGTTGTACAACAATTTTTTTATTATGCTTTTATCCACACTGAAAATTACATTTTTTGATAAAATTGTATTCTCAAGCGCTAGTTACAATTTTTGCTTCGGTGTTAATCAAATTCTGATTATTCGGTACTTGCATCGCCAGATAAAATCTTGGATAAAATAGAATTAAGCGCCTCGAAAATGGGGGGCACTGCAACTTGGGCGGTTTGTCCTACGCCTGAAACTGTTGTGCCAGCAACTTGCGCGAGTCCGTGCGCGAGCAGAGCGAGAACAGCTCCCAATGTTCCAATAGACGCAGCTATTTTATCAAAAAGAAAATGCCTTCATGAAACACGGCCAGAGACAATTATTCTAATTACTTTGAGTTTTGGCAAATCTTACCAATATTTCCAGCTCCATTTTGAAGTCCTGATCCGACGCCTGCCGTTGTAGGTTCAAGCGCCCCTAAAGAAGGCGACAGAAGCTCGAAAAGGCCTCTTCGCTGGCGGCTTTTTGCTGTGCAAAAGACGAGAAAGTGTGGTAAAATTTAACTTGTTGATCATTTTAAAAGGACGAAATCTGAATTGACGATGAAACCTAAATAGCAATAAACAAAATTATCTTAATCTTGTGACAAAAGTGTAAAAAAATGTGAGTTTTTTATCCTAAAAATTAAAAGAAAGTGATAAGAGACTTTTTCCTACCTTCGTCTTCAGCCGCAAAGGCCAGAACAAAAAGCGCAACAGTCGCCAAAGTCACGATGAAGAAACGCATGTTGATTCGTGGATTCACTTCACAACTTAACTGAATTCTTCCAAAACGCGAAGCTCAATTTATATCATCCCGAAAAGGTGGTTCGTTTTGCTAGTCGTGACGAAAAGGCATGGAAGAAGTTACCTCGGGAATGTATTGTCTGTATAGTATTGTAGAATTGTGGACAGAACGATCCCAAGTCTATGAGACTAAGACTGGCACGGCAATAAACCATAAGGAATTAAGAAACATCTGTCGCAGAAATAATATTTATAATATAATATAATATAATTTAGTGTCGCAAATTTCTTATGCTCTTGTTTAATCAAATGATCGAAAGATTTTCGCAATTAGGATACACATATTTACATTTTCCACAAAGTTTGAACACACATTGAAGAAATGTCTCTTAATTTAAACTAATTGCTTCTCCTTCACCTTGCTTTACTTGGTTATATCCAAGGTTACATCAGAGAAAAAATAAGACATAAAAACTGGTAATGAGAAATATTGTGTCGATCTAACAATTTTCAAACTGTAAGGAAAATTTCAACCAATCAAAATTCAGACAATCCTGAAAATCGCCAAAAAACTAAGAAAGTCCAGTCAATTGATATTTACTGGCTAATAATTTGTTTTGCATTTATTTCTTAGTCAAGTATAGTAGATGTATATACATTAATTACACAGCAATAAATACTACAAAATTAATTGAATTTCACTGAGACTTTAGTAACATTGCAATTTATGCTGTCATTCTATGTGAAACCGAATAATCTTTATTATTCGGTTGCTTTATTGTAACTTATTGCAAAATAAAAGCTTGAATGTTTCTTAAAATTACTGGAGTAGAAATTAATAATGGTAGTAATTTCGTCTTCTAATTGTCATCGAATTGTTGTAGATTTTGAAGAACGTCTTTCAGTCCAATTGTGAATTTTGAGGTGTGCAGATCATTTATAAAGCAAAGTGAAAATGGGAAATGACATCAGTAAGCGTATTTCTCAGCAATATTCTAAAGAAAAGTGAGAAAAGTGTCTAAATGATTTTCTTGAAGTGTCCTCAGGCATTATACTTCTTTTTTGTTTTCTTTCGCCAGCAAATCCGAGATATATTTTACGATTAATGGAGCACCGTTTAGAGGTACAAATTTGTGTAATTTGAGATTTTCCACGCAGATAAGCAGCAATTTGTGTTCCTCTCTTCCTAATCCAATTAATTCAAGTGCTAATGCTGTATTGTACTTACAGTGTGCGTGGAAAATGTTCCCCTGGACACAACGCTCAACACATTCATTCGACTGTACGCCAATCTAACGGCCACGAAGTTTATGTGTCGCGAAGGCAGCTGCGGCTGCTGTATTGTGGCTCTCCATGGCCTTCACCCAGTAACGCGCCAATTGGCTTCGTGGTCAGTCAACTCCTGCCTCTTCCCCATCTACTCATGCCACGGCATGCACATCGTCACCGCGGAGGGCCTCAAGGGCGCCGCTCGCCGTCCGCACGCTCTGCAGGCGCGCCTCGCCGCATCCTTCGGCAGCCAGTGCGGCTTCTGCAGTCCTGGCTTCGTCATGACAATGTACGGCTTGCTGGAGGGCAAAAACCGCCGAGTCAGCATGAGCGATATTGAGAATGCCTTGGCGGGGAATATCTGCCGATGCACAGGATATCGACCCATCTTGGACGCCTTTAAGTCCTTCGCCATGGACGCTCCGCGAGCCCTGGCTGACATTGAAGACCTGCCGAAATCCTGTACCATTCCACGCAAAGTTTGCTTCGAAACAGTCCACAATGAGGTGCATCTTCGCCTTCCAGATGGCGCAGAGTGGCACAAAGTCTACACCATTCCGGACATTTTGAGGATCCTGCAAACTATCGAGGATCGATCGTATATTCTACTGTCCGGAAACACCGCTCGAGGACTCTATCCTCAAGATAATGGTCGTAATTTACCTTTCATCGTTTCCCACAATTAACATCTTAATCTGTATTCTTGTTGTTTCAGAATACCCAGACGTGTTTGTTGATGTTTCCGCTGTGAAAGAACTTCGCACAATATCCTTAAATTCCGTCCTCGAGATCGGCGCCAATGTTCCTCTAAGTGAAGTGATCGACACACTCAAGAAGGCCTCTGAGGTGCGCAGTGATTTCTTCTACTGTCGCCAAATGGCGAAGCATTTTGAGCGTATTGCCAATGTCGCAGTTCGTAATGTCGGCACAATAGCAGGAAACTTGAGTATCAAGTATCGACATAAAGAATTTGTGTCTGACATATTCGTTCTTTTGGAAGCCATAGGAGCCACTGTAACAATTATATCATCCATAGGCAGCATTAAGATAATGAGAGTGGCGGATTTCCTCAAAATCAGCATGAAAAATCGAATTATTGTCCGAATAACACTTCCATCTCTGCCCAAGAATGCGTATCAATACTTCAGCTATAAAGTAATGCCCAGAGCGCAAAATTCCTTGGCTCTGCTCAACTGTGCCTTTCTGTTCAAATTCAACTCCGATCGTTCGTCAGTGTTGAATGCAAGACTGTGTTTTGGAGGGATAAATCCTCACTTTATCCACGCGACCTCAACGGAAAAGCTTTTGCAGGGTCGAGATTTATTCCAGGACTGCACAATTCAGGCTGCTTGCGTGAATCTTGAAAGCGAATTGATCCTTGATTGGGTGCTTCCAGATCCTCACCCGAACTACCGCAAAATGGTGGCTCTTGGACTGTTCTATAAGGCTGTAATTGGCATGTGTCCTTTGGACAGAGTCAGGCCGGAGATTAGAAGTGCCGGCAAGGATGCCGAATTGATGTTGTCGTCTGGAGAGCAACACTTCACAGCCAAGGAGAGTCAAGGACCTGTCTTGAAGCTAGAAGCGATGGATCAGTGCACAGGCGATGCAAAGTACATAAACGATATGCCTTATATGCCAAATGAAGTTTGGGGTGCTTTTGTATGTGCAACAGAGTCAACGGCAACTATCGTGAACGTAAATACAAGCAAGGCTCTGGTAAGTTGGACGAAACAAGGTAGGAAATGATATTTGGAGCATTTAATAATTGAGATTCCACTTTTAGGACATGCCAGGAGTTGTTGCGTTTTACGGCGCTAATGACATTCCGGGAATAAACAACTGCACACATCCCATTATGTATCAAGAGGAGAGTCAGGAGCTGTTCTGCAGTGGAAGGATCATTTACCACGGTCAACCGATAGGCATGATTCTTGCAGCTACGATGGATATTGCGCAAGCAGCAGCTCATCAAGTTGTTGTGACTTATCGCAGAGATCTGACCAATCCACCAATCGCTACCATCAAAGACGCTCTGGAAGAGACAAACCAGACTAGAATAGGACGTGACATTCTCAATATGTTGGATGCAAGCAATCACGGTCTAGACATTGCATACACATTCACTGGTAGATTCGAACTTGGTTCACAGTTTCACTTCAGTTTGGAACCGCAGACAACCATTTGTGTTCCCAGTGAAGACGGCATGGAGGTTTACTGCTCAACTCAATGGATGAACCTCGTGAAGGTTATCATAGCACAAGTTGTCAACATACCGGAGAACACTGTGTCTATGCAGCTGAAGCGAGTTGGCGGCGCTTATGGTGGAAAGCTGTACAACAGTGTTTTTGCTGCAGTAGCTTGCGCTCTGGCTTGCCATCTGCAGAGGCGCCCTGTTAGATTTGTGCTATCCCTCGAAGCGTCTATGATTGCTCTGGGCAAGAGGTTGCCCGTGTTAACAGATTACGAAGCAAAAGTGAGTGAACTTGGGAAGATACAGAGGCTGAGACAAGAAATTTGGATGGATTTCGGGGCAATCATCTCAAACAGACTGGATTTGCACACAACGAATGGCTTGCAGAGTTGCTATGACAGCTCCTATTGGACTGTTCATGGTAAGTGCGTGAAAACAAACACACCAAGCAACACTTGGTGTCGCGGACCTGGATTTGTGGAGGGAATCGCCATGATTGAGAACATTATGGAACACATCGCGAAAACCGTGAAGAGAGATTCGCTAGATGTGCGTCTGGAGAATCTTCCTGAAGAGACGCCAATGAGGAAATATCTCATAGATTTCGCAAAGTCTGTGTGCTACAGAAAGCGCAAAATGGAGATTGACTCCTTCAATCACATGAATCGCTGGAGAAAACAAGGAATTGCTATAATTCCTATTAGCTTCACTACACAATACTATGCTCTGAGTTCATCTTCTGTCTCTATTAATGCATATGATGGTACAGTTACGATTATTACAAGCGGAAATGAACTCGGTCAGGGGTTGAATACAAAAATTGCTCAAATAGCTGCTCAGACTCTGAACATTCCCTTGAGCTTCATCAAAGTGGGACCTACAAATGATTTGATCAGCAATGGAGGAACTGGATCGGTGGGAAGTCAAACGAACCAAGCTGTTGGTTTTGTTAGTATCATATTGCGTCTATCCTTAAGCACCTGTTTGCACAGGGTAAATAAATAATTACTATTACTTTTCACAGGCCACTCAGAGAGCTTGCAAGCTTATCCTGGAGCGCATGGAGCCTGTCAAGAGGGAAATGGGAGATGTTCCGTGGCGTGAACTCACTCAGGAGTGCTTCAAGCGCTTCATTTCCATGTCCGAGACGCATAGCCATCGGCCGGATGAAGATCCTATTTCTCCAGTTTGGGCGATGGCCTGCGCCCAAGTGGAGGTGGACATTCTCACAGGAGTGGTTCAAGTTCAGCGAGTGGACATCGCGGAGGACGTAGGAAAGAGCATTAATCCACATATTGACATTGGTCAGATCGAGGGTGCTTTCGTCATGGGCCTGGGATATTGGCTGCACGAGCGCATTCTGCATGATCGACTCTCTGGTGTGCTGACAACGCGAAACGCGTTGACCTACAATCCGCCAGGGGCCAAGGACATTCCGACGGACTTCAGAGTGACACTTCTCGACTCCAGGGACGGGTATTTGGGTGGTGTCCTGGGATCAAAGGCTGTTGGAGAGCCTGCAACGTGCCTTAGTGCCGTTCTGCCTTGCGCCATTCGCTACGCTTTGGACTCTGCGCGTCGCGATGCTGGTGTGAATGACGATTGGTATGAACTTAATTGTCCATTGACTCCTGATCGGATTCTACAAGTGTGCGAAACGAAAATTCAACAGTTTCAGCTATAGCGAATAAGTATTCCGAGCTTTATTTGCCTCTTAGTGAAGTAGCTTACGAGATTTAGCAGTGGATCTGCTAAAGTTAAGAGATCGCAAATGATGTAATTCAAATAAAATATATTTACTTTGACAAAACATCCGATAATTGCGCCATAAAATCACACCGACAGCACAAAAGTGTCAGGGAAAGTAAGCAAGATGTGAGCATAACTTGAAATAGAATTCATTAAATTGCTTTTTATGCAAAATACATCTCTCCCAAGTCAATAATCATTGTGGTGTTAAAACACCGGTAAATCTATGTTGGTTCATCGAAGGCTCTCTTGCTGATGCTTCATTTCGTATGCATGCAAACAAATCATAATCATCGTTGAGATTAGATCGAGAGTGTGCAAGAAAAGTGCGATTTTCTATTCAAGTTTGTGGCTCATTCATAAAATTTTTGGCATATTTCTGCTGCTCCAACACGACAATGGATGTATTTTTCACACCTATCAATTGCGCGAATTGTTGCATATTTTACACATTGTGAGATGAATTATAACAGAGATTTTTGCAATTGACTGCAATATTAATCAGCTTCCAAGAACAGCATATATTTTTACTTTAAAGATTCAACTATATAATGTTCGAGAAGGTGAATAATCACTCTTGAAAACACACATAATTTTGGAGTCACAATGCTGTGTGAATTACTAAATCGTAAGTCAAATATTTGTGTGCAAGCTTTCCAGTGTGTGTTTTCCCAATCAACCCTTTGAGTACTTCCGCACAACTTCAAATAACTCTTTCTGCCGTTTCGAGGAAGTTGCCTAGAAAAGCCCAAAAACATGGTGTTTAGAAGTGAGGCAAACATCCTCAAGTTCAATGATCCAGAAAGACACTTGAGAGATTCATCAATCAACACTTGCTAATCTACTGATGATTTCTTTTTTTTCTTCTCTGCCCATTCAAACAATGGGCGAAACCTTCAGAAGACTGTTTGGTGCTTTTGCAATTGGAGATCTCGTGGGAGACGCGAGGCCCATCGAGCTCAATTGCGATTCCAATGGTGAATGGTCAGTGCGACTGATGATGAGGTTTTTCGGCGAGAGCGAGAGACTATAAAAACCGACGACGGACAAGAAGAACTTTCAGTTATCTTTCAGCCATCGGATCATTAACTGCACCACAATCAAACGGTTCTACAGTGATTTGCGAAAATGGTTCAAGTGTCTTCAAGTGCGTCAATTCTTCTGGTGTTTCTGTGCTGCTGCACTCATAAATCTGCAGGTTGGATTTCATATTACGTTTCACAATAGAAAATACAGTGCAATTATGGATAATTCATTTACCTTCTTCGGATTAATTTGGTGCTGACTCAAGACCATTTTTTTTCCTCTGCGTCAAAAGAGAAACTTTCCATCCTTGCTTTTCAGTCATGGGCCAATACGACGCAGCTACGACCCCAGAAATCAGTCCTCGTCTTCAGCTGGACGACGCTCCATCCACTGCCGATGGACCGCAACCGGAGGTCATTGACGTGAAGAATCTGCCCCCATTTCCGATCCTTCGCAACACTCTGCTGGACTCCGACAACGAAGTGGAGTCCTTCAACGGGTATCACTACGATAGGCCGGATATTCCCTTCGAGGACACCAACGTAAAGCCCGTGGAAGTGCAAGGATACAGCTATCCCAGGCCATCGAATCCACTCACGCTGCCAGAACGTCCGCTGACCAGTAACAACGTCCAGGACGTGCAGGAAGACGTGTCCCGCAATGTGGTGCCGGAAACCGATGAAAGAGGACCTCCAGTCATTGACCTGCCCGAAGATGCTATCCGGATTCTCGATGACGATGTCGTTGCAGTCGAAGACGAGCCCCAAGATGCTCCCGCACCTACAGACGTGACCCAATAGACGCGCTGTGTGTTCATCAGAATATTTTCGTTCTTCCATCATTGACGCGATGTGTACATAAATGTGACTTCAATGGTAATATTTACTATGCAAATACATTTCCCGCGACAAAACACTTTCATCCGTCTTCCAGTTTTTTTTCCCCTTTCCCGCCACACCATTCTCAAGTGCAAATCTTTGGCCAGCAGAGATTCGTGAGAAGTCATTTGTGGAGTTATAAATAAAATTTATAATTCATATGTTGAGCAATGGACAAACATTAACCTTGCTCGAACATTTTTCCCAACATCGCAGCATTGAGAAAATGCAACTGTTTGCATTAGAATGTGTGAAATGGTTAAGTCATCTTCGTGCTGATGACTTTAGCACAGATTCACTTTTCATTAGCCTCTGTGCAAATTCTCATTCTAATTGCATTTGAATCTCGTCGTGATTCATGCGTGCAACTCTTAATCAATGTAATTGCAGAGAATGCAATTGAGATGCAGATTATGTCAAATTGAAGTCATATTATCAAGACTTTTCTAAGATACCGCTTAATAAACTGTTCTTAAAATTCATTCGACAAGTCTTACATGTTCTAGAGAGTTGTAGGCTGTAAAATTATCTTTTCAAAACTGTGCCACTTTTGCAAATTATAATTAAATGTAGGAATTTTCCTAAGAATCTTACAAAAATTATAATTTCTTTGTTCAGACTTCAAAATAAAGTGATTTATTCCGTCTGTCTCTATATTTTCGCTACCTTCTGTGGGTAAACACTTTAAATGTTTCTCATCGTCACTTACAAACACATCAAATGCTTTACATGCGTTAACACACCGTGTTGATATATCCACTGAAAGGTCTAATGCTAAATGTTGTTTCAATTCGCATCAACAACATTCTTCAACATGTTTCTTCTGTTCTTACACAAAAACATTCCGACCCTGGCTCTTTCCTTGAAATTTTGGGATTTAAAAGTGTTAGGGCAGCTTCAGCATGTCATTTGATCGTCACGATTTTCTCAGAACAGAATCTCTCTCCCAAGTCACCAAAAATGGGAGTCAAACTTTTGCTAGTCTCGCTGTCGGTCTTACTTGTGATTGAGGTGAGTTATTAATAGATGAAATTGTGAGACTTTGTGGACAATTTGGTGTTGTTTCTAGGGCGCTTTGGGTTGCTTGTGTCTCAGAAATCGCGAAGACTGCAATTGCCTTCCGCGCGCGAGACTTCGATTGAACAGACCGCGCAAATTCGTCGCCGTGTTCCAGCCTCTGCCGCAGGATCAGCTCATCAATCCCAACGTCTGTCGCTGCGGCCGACCTCTGCTGCCCGCCTACAATCCTGTCCTGACCAATGACGAGGAAGTGGTGCAGGACGAAATGCCGTCTTTCGGGTCGCGATGCATCTGCACGAATCAAGTACGCCTTCCAAACATTCGCAATATCCTAAATCCTAATCGGAGAAATTGTGGTTGTGGTCTGACAACATGCACTTGCATAGCTCCAATCCAGAGAGGAGGCCAGGTCTGAAGACTCAGCAATTATGTGTAGAAATTCGCTCAATAAATTGTTGTTGCACGCCACAACCATCATGCTTTCTCATACAATCATCACTCTCATTCCAGCAACAATTGGACGATTGCGACCAATTTGCTGCTGACCATCGATTTGTACCATCGCCACTGACTCCCGAAGTTCTTCCTCCGCCAGACCTTCCTCCCGGAACCCCCTTCTGGACAGTCAACGCTCGCGGAGCCCTCGAACTGGTCCAGGCAAGAGCAGCGTACCAGAATCTCGCGCCTTATCTTCAGGCTCCTGCTGAACTGGTTGAGGACAAAGTTGAGAAAGACGAGAATTTCCTGCAATACTTCGGTGGACTTCTACAATCCAACGCCGAGCGAGTTCTGAATCCGCTGCTCAATTTATGATTCAAACTTCCCGGAAATGTAAAATAACCAAAAGATTCCAATAAAGACACACATATGTACACATTTCTTGCACACGAAAAGCTTTGATTGCTGAAATGTCCACGAAAGTGCGGAAAAGCATTTCTCTTGACCCAAAAACTTGATGATGTCTCGGAAAAAGCGACAGCACTATGCAAAATATGCCTTTTGCGGAAGAGAAATTGTCATGTATAAATGCCTGTTCTTCGGCTGTTGGTCAGTAGTGTTCATCGAGTGACTTGGAGTGGTTCTTGAGAGGCAAAGACGTGAAGAGTGCAGAGATGAAGTTGTCAGTATTCGTCATCCTCTTGCTGGGATGCAAGCTAGCAAGTGCTCAGTATGAGCGTTTTGCTCGCCGAGAAGTCGCCCAAGACGATAAGTTTTCAGAGAATTGGTACAATATGGACGAAGAACTGGACACATCTCATCCAGATCTTGATCATCCCGCTCAGTTTAGCTTCGATCTTCACATGGCGTTTCCCCCGAAATCCGAGACAGGAGAGAAAATGTAAGTTTCAATGAAGGGGAATTAGTTGTTCGTGTTTATTTACTGTTCCTCTCTTATCAGCGCTCCTGTGGTGAAGAACCCTATGTGGATTGACAAGTTGGCGATCATCAAGGCGCCTCCAATGTACTCCACAGCTGAAGAATACGATCCCATCGCCATCAACTACAGACCATCGAAGATCCGCGAGCGCAGATCCACGCAGCAGCAGCAGCAGAGCAAGAAAACCACTCGTCAGTCTGAGAAGAAGTCCAAGTTCAAGGCTTGGCTGGAGAGCAAGATGGACAAGAAGCTCGGAGAGAAGTTCAGTGAGAAGTTGAAGCTCAAGAAGCCCGCCTTCAGTCGACAGACACGCTCTGTGGATCAGAATGACGTGGCATCGGAAATGACGACGGAACAGAATGTGGACAATCGCATCAACAGATCACCCCAGGAATCGACCTGCTCCTTCTGCCAAGCCCTCCATCGTCAGTGTCCTCATTGTCAGGCTGCCTTCCTCCTTAGCTCCGTCTATCAACCACGGCCGCAATTCATTGAATTCATCAACGGCGAACCGAGAAGCTTCATTCCAGGCGTTCATCACTCGGCAATCCTGGGCGCCGCGCCGCGATACGTCTTCGATCAGCTCGGCCACAAGTATCTCGAACGAGAGGGAAACCTGCAGATCCTGCCCCCGCCATATGTGGAGAGCGCAATGCAGCCGAGCTTCGAGTACAAGATCTTGTACGACACTATGCAGAAGTATCCTCACTTCCACACGTCGCAGCGTCTCGAGGACGGATCCTTGACCGACAGTCCCATCAAGCAGACGCAGGACGTGATTGAGTTCATCAAGACGCTCGTGCAGTCCAAGGAGAAGAGCCACCAGAAGAGGCAGACGAAGGAGAAGAGCCCCAAAACGGAGGAACTCGATGAGGCCATTGTCGATGAGGAGGGTCTGCTGGCGCTCTTCCTGGAGCAGGACCGAGAGTTCGACAGGTATCTCGAGGAGATGGGCTACGCGGGAAAAGTGGAGATGTTCGACATGGAGGGCGAAGAGAACGCGGAGGAGGAAAAGACGTCGATGTCGCAGAGCATCTTCTATGACACTTCGAAGAGCACCAGCAACAAACTGCAAGTTCCGAGTGCGAAGAAGCAACAGAACAAGTCAGGCATTCTCAAAAGAATTGTAGATGAGGAGAGTCTCAGCAGCTACAGTGAGCCTAGCAAGTTTAACAAGGACCGCAAAGGATATTACAAAGAGTAAATTGTAAAGAGAGAGAGAGAGAGAATTTGTTAATGTTGTTCGAGAAATGTAACTGAAGATTGAAATAAATTTAATATTTAATACACTCAATATGACTATTTTACAATTTGGAGGGGTAATTTAAAAATATATTTGAATGCATCTTCGAGCTGTAGAAATAAAAGTAATAACTTGAGAAATATACATAAAAGACAATCTTTTTCTTATGCTTCTCTGGAACCTCTTTTTCTTTGCAGACCTTTGAATGCTCAACTTCTACAAGGTTTTTGAAGAACAACTATCCTAAGAAATGAATATTGGATGGAAATCATCTAATTTCTAAAATAAAGAATTATTTATTATCTTTATATATCATTATATCTTGAAATACCTTGAAAAATTCACTTTAAACCAATGTTTTATGACATTTTATGCGCATTTAAAATGCGAATTTAGAAGAGCTTTGCGAAAATAAAAATCGACATTTTCGTGATGAACTTTCTTGACAGATTATGAAAGTTATTTCGTAGAGTTTTTCTTCATCTATTGCTACTGAAAATCTGATTAAGAATACCTTTAGCAAGTTATAAAATATGTTTTTGTGATACTTAAGAGATGAATTTATTTATGTTGAAATTGAATGAAATACTATTAAAACATTTAATCTTTAATCGACACTGAATGTGTATTTTTGTCATTTAATTGAAAATTGAAAACTCTGCATCCCAAATATCGTAACTGGGAGCAATTTCTTATGATCTCCTTATTATCCATATCTTCATTGGTAAATGACAGGCTAAATGATTTGCGAATGTTCACATTTTTTCAGCAACTGTCCAAAAAACGCGCAAGGCAAATTTTTGTTTAAACTGCTGAATGGTAACCTTAGTGAAAAATTTCTATGCATAAGTACATTTTCTCTATTTTGCTGATGCAATTGCTTAAGTGTTTCTTCAGCTCACCACAATATTTCTCTTTCTCTTGCATTGCAAATGAATAGCGCCGAGATGTGCCAAATATTGTTGTGCTCTCCAAGGATTATTTGCATTCTGCAGTGCGTCGAGTCAACAAAGTTATGGAGGAAAAATCTGTATTTAAGCTGCTCTGAGTGTCGAGGAAGACATCAGTTCACAAGCTTCCACTCAAGCAACAACTTGAAAGCATCTCAGCAAGTATCTCAAGGAATCGTGCAAGATGAACTCTTTCCGTATCCTCTTGGCTGTCGTCCTGGTTCAGGTGAGTGGCAAATTGGTGGTAAAGTGTTGGGTTGAGGGCTAAATGGCTTGTAATCTCCGCAGTTCGCCTCTGCTGGATATCCAGACTACTGGAGTCACGATGGCATGGGCACTGACATCACGGAGATCAATCACGAGGAGCTGGTGAAGGAGGTCGGCCACGAGATGCCGGCGCCGTGCCATGAGAAGAAGGAGGTTATCTACGAGAAGCCTATGGTGGCCGAGCACACGCCGATTCGTGAGCAGCAGAAGGTTTACCTGCACCGTCAGCCCCCAATTGTCGTGCGCCCACCGCCCTCCAAGATCGTCGTGAACCACCCACCAGTGGTGGTGAAGCAGCCCCCAGTCATCCTGCACCACCACAGCCGCTCCCCGGTTATCGTGAAGCCCGTGATCATCCGCGAGAAGGAGGTGGCCACGAAGCCCGTGCTGTTCAAGGTGGCGCAGCCCAAGGGCAAGGTGTGGGTGTCCAAGTGCCAGAAGCCCGAGGTGCAGGTTTCGCACACCTGCCACGAGGGATGCAATCACGGCCCCATCTACCCCGCGCCAATGCCTGATCTCGACTTCTGAGCCATCTGTGACCAGCTTAGCCACTCAATGATAAACGCAAGCGAGCAATAAAAATGTACAGAAGCATCACAATAATTGATTCAGTTTTCATCACTACAATCCCATTGAAAGGCACAGTTTTCCCCTTGATAGTTTCCTCTGTAAGATAGTTGAAAAGACAAGAAGAACCATAACGAAAGCCAATTTAGCCAATTTATTAATCACTCCTCTAAGCAGACTACAAACTATGCAACAACACTTTATAACTAAACATGAACTAAGATCGGTAGTGTGACTATATCAGAGATTGAGCTGGGCAAAGCCCGCTCTATCTTTTCCAGTTGGAATCACTACGAGGAATCCGATGTCTATCCACTGACCATGATCCAGTCAACGACTGCAAGACGTCCAGAATGGAGGTGAAGAGTTCAAAAATAGTCCTTGGCTGAGGCTCACTGGCTTCTCTCTTAACAGGAATGTCCTTTTTGATATCATTTTCACTTAAATCGCGCGCTTCCAGCTTTGCCGAACTGATAGGACGTCCTTCCAAAGGCCAGAACAGCTGCAATTGGCACGAATCACAATATAATCAATTAGCATTAGAATCGCAGCACATTTGCTGTTGAAGAAAAAGAAAAGTTCACCACGATTGAGAAGCACAGAACAATTGCCACAAACACTGAGCACTTCATGTTCCCGATGTTTGACTAAATATACTGAGTGATTTTATGATACAGAATCGCCGTGTTCAGGTTCCTTTTATACGTCGCAATAGAAGGAAAATGTATGCCAATGACCCACTTTTCCGAGTTTGACATGAAATTGTTATGTTGCAACATTTGTGCTGAGGAAGTGCATTTAATAAACACCTTAATATTTGATATCCATTTACTGAAATTGACGACATGGCGATGAAAAGTCCACTTATAAAAAATGCTGTGATTTGCATTATCGCACATCCCTTGAGCGAAAAGCATAAGGAAATACCTTGGAGAAAAGTATTTAACGTTAGAAATCAATTGACAAAATGATAGCCAAGGAGGGAAACTATTTTGCATAGTAATGTTATTAGAAGGACAAAATAAAACAGTGATCGAGACTGATGAGGAAATTAACACCATAATTACTGTCTTTTAAAATTCTCTTTCGACGTATCCTAAGAAGTCTGAAAGTCTCTGTTGCACTTACAGAAGTGTTTTAAGGATTATTTTTCGTTAAGTAAATTGAGGAAATTTTATGAAACGAAGGTAAAATTATTGCCCCCTTGGCAGAAAGGCAGTTCTAGAAGTAAATGAACAACACAATCATCTCTAGACTAGATTTTATTTGAATGCATTTTACAATTTATTAAGTAACAGTCCGTTTAGTAAATAAACCAAGCATATTCCGTCTTATCGCAATCACCGGGTCAAGATGAGCATTTGTCACATAGAAATTTCTATCGGCATTGAAGTAATTTTAACATTTTCTTACTTCTATTAATCAGTGGTTCATTTTTTTTTGTTCACATGAATCTCTCTTGTGACTCGGAGGTCAGGAAAACAGGAAAAATTCGCTGATATCATAATGTGACACGCGGACCTGATAATTGTGAGCAATTGATTGTGTGCGCGAGTGTTTGTGAAATTTTCTCAATGACAATCAAATTGAGGGGAAATTCGAGGCATTTAACCGAATGTGACTCTGTCTTTTATCAATTGAAAATACTCTTATCCGGACTATTTTCGCATACCAAGAATTATCCCCACTTCAAGCTGTGCCGTCCACAACACACAGAGATCGAAGTTGCTGGACTCTATCAGCTCCAAACGCACATCTCTCATTCCCAGTCGAAACTCAGTGGAGTGATCTTGCACTTTGGAGTGTTTTGTTGACTTTTTCCTGCGCTGCACACAATTTTCTCATCTGTGAAAATGGCCAAATTGGGATTAATCTTCATTGCTGTCTTCTGCTTGGTGCAGGTAAATTCATAATGTGGTGTGAATTGGATGATTGAGTGAGTTTTTGGCATGATTTGTTGGGTGGAAGAATTGCGCATCTTTCCTTGCCTGATCTCTTCTCTCTCTCTTTCTCCCTCTCTTCCCATCTTCCGTCTCTGTAGATCGTCCTCTGTGCTCGCATTGCGCGCGAAACGCCAGAGGATAAGGCCAAATCCTCAATGGACCAAATCCAGGATCAGCTGAAGAACTTCTTCTCCGAAGACACGTGGAATGAATTCGTTCAGTCTGCGCAGAAGTTCGGCTCGGACATTGCGAAGACTGGTCAGGACTTCTTGGAGAAAGTACAGCAGAAATCCGCCACGGCGCCAACCACTACCTCTTAAAACTTCTGCTTTGCAATCTATGCATAACATATATTTATCACCTTCGATATCTCATTGAAGTGCCCGAGAAAAAGGGGAATAAAATGCAATGCGGATTGTCAATAACCCTCGATTGAGGCCATCTTTGTCCTTTGGAATGTTATCAAAATAAAGTGAAATGAGATATGAAAGTGTTTCTTCAACTTTCTCCACAAATATTCTTCTGTCTTGTCTCTGTTTTCTGATTCATTGGGCGCACAGTCACTCTATATTTTCATGCGCCCAACTTGCTCGCTACAACAGGAAGTATAATTCTGAAAAAGCCACCCAACACAATCGCACATTCATGACATTTTTTTTCTCCAATTGATACGAATTTACTCGCAATTTTCTCGTTTCGCTTTTCAAATCATCAAATTAAAAACTCCACACTCAGAATACACTTTTGTAACAAGCTCATTTGGCACATTCATTGAGGACTTCTCGTGTCTGCTCTTTTTGTTCACTCGACGAATTTCCATTATAATGAAATTGTATTTCTCCAGAAAAGTGAAGAAAAAAGTGCCTTAATTGCGGCAGAATAACACTTTGACTCACAATTTAATGACTATAAAATGGGCATAAAATTGTTCGCAATGATAGTGTGAACATATCGCGAAAAATCACACTAGGGATAAATTTCAATGAAGTTCTTTGTTGAAGCTTCAAAGCGCAACAGTTGAGTGCAATTTGGTGACACTTTTGCAATTCACCTTGAGAATGCGCGTTCCGTGATTCATGCACTTGAATCTTTAGACTTTGAGCCTTTTATGTTTGCAATACTCTGGATAAACAATGGATTTGCAATGAATAGAAGATTAATTGGGAAAACAGCTTTTTTAGGTACTAAAATCAAACCATTTGAAGATTTTATTTTACTCAATAACCATGCAAAAATGTATTTTGAATCATTTTTTATGAGTCTTATAAGTATATTTTTAGATTCTAAAACTAATAAAGCATTGATGAATATTTAAATCGCTTTTGCCTTTTCAGAAATCACTGATAAAATCTCTCTTAAATGCAGTGATATGACTTCGAAAAACATTGCTTAAAGCCACAGAAAGATCATATTTTGAAGATTCCTCTCAAATTTAAGCTTTTCACACATTTCCAATCTGCCTCCGACTCTCTATCCAATGAATTAAGGTCTTAATCTCAATGAGGCGTCATCGTATGACTTTTCACTGGGTAATCTTCTGTAAATATTTTCGGTCTTATCATGGAGACACTCAAACACACAGCGAGACATCAGAAAATCCACCAATGGGCATTTAAGTAAATGCACTTTGGTGATAAGAAGCACAGAGCAATATTACTCCATTTTTCCTCCCTCTCTTTTCCGACAATCGCTTTTTTGTCCTCCTCCTCGCACACAAGCAAAATAAATGGATTCTATTAGGATGTGATTCATGATCACACTAAGCTTGAGGGTTGGATTACCTATAAAAACGCCAGTGCCTGTCGAGTCAAGTCTCAGTTCACATCCAGGGCACATTTTACTCTCATCCTCGCCAGTTTCTCGTGATCGTTGCAAGTGGAAGTCATGGCAAAGTCTTGCATTCTCATTCTCTCTCTCTGCCTGCTGCAGGTACTTTTCCGCATGTGGAATGCCATCTCACAGTGATCTTGCACACTTTACCTCCCACTGACTGTGCTCTGTTCCTTCTCAGTTCGTCTGCGGCGGTGTGGTTCGTCGCGAGGCGCCGGTTGACGTTGCCACGAAGAGTCCTCTCGCGGAGTTCTCCAATGCCGCCGAGGAGGCGGTGGCGAAGTTCCAGAGCGCCTTCATGGATTTGTTCGGCGTGAAGTCGCAGGATGAGCTGGTGGATCTGTTCCGCGTGGAGTCGAGGAAGTATGCCAACAAGCTGCAGGACATTGCTTCGGAATTGACTGCTGAGGTTGGTTGAAACTCACTTGAGCCCAAACAGATAATAGTCATGGTTTACCTTCCAACGTAGGCTCAGAAGCACTCTGGCACCTTTGACGATGCCGTGAAGCAGGTGAAGGACAAGATCACAGAGACTGTCAATGACATTGAGAGCAAAAACCCAGAGTTCTTTGCCGACACGAAGCAGTACCAGGAGAAGTTCGAGACGCAGCTGAGGGCTGTTCTGCAGGAGACTGAGCGCTTCAGCGCAAAGCTGAAGGAGGAGGGTGCTGTCGTTGGCAGCAACTTCGAGAAGGTGGCCAAGGATCTCTATCAAACCACCGCACAGACAGCCAAGGTCTTCTCTGAGAAGGTCGAGGATGTGGTGAAGGAGCAGAGGAACAAATTGTAAATGATTATCTTGAGTAAATGGAAGAAAAAAGGTGCATGACTTGTTGAAAAGCCTTTTTGCCTCTTGAAACACACACTTGCCACATCACATGATAAGGAAAGTTTACATGCTCAATCTCTAATGCGAACGCCAGAAGAGGCCTGAGTCAGAGGTCAGACCATGAACTTGTAGGATGAACTGAACGGTTATCAGAATTGTGGGGAAAGCTACGGGAATCCACACTTGAGAGGTCGTTTTGTGCTGTGTATTTAATACGCTTTTCTGGGAAGTTTCTCAGATCAAATTCCAATTAAGTGTTTATCAGCGATCCTCCGCATTGCAGCTTGTTTTCTATTCATTGGAATGCTGCAGCTCATAGAGTTCGATAGGGTATTTTGTTTGCAATAACATGCGTCAATTTGTATTATGACTGAGGCGAAGGGATCAAGGTGAGTGGAATTCTTTCTTGATTTTGCATTCAAAAGAGTTGTTGAGAAAGCAAAATTTTCCACAAAATACTAATTTTGTCTATATTTACTATAAAGGAAGAGTTATTCTAGAAGCTTAAATTTACCTAACTTTCCCATTTATTAATCTATATCAAGTGACAATATTCGGCTGTAACATTTCAATTTTATAAACCATGAATGATAGTCATTATTACATAATTATGATTAGACTCATATCAATTTGACTGAGAGACCCAAATGAGTTTTTTGCGTGCACTCACATCCGGAATCTTGCATATAATGCGAAATGTGCCAAATCGTCTCAAAACTGCACCATTGACGAGTTCCTGGTGTTTATTCGCATGTGGAGTACAAATTCAGCTCATGACCCAAATAAATTGGCACAAATATTCGCCGAGGCGAAAGTGGGAGTGAAGAAAATCAACCATACTTGCAGTGATGAGTCGTCACAACAATCAACACCTGCTCGTTGATGGTAAACAGCGGACAAATTGCATAAGAAGCACATGTTGGAGCATCGAGAAGAATATTCAGCACTTTTCACTTCCAATTCAGTGTCAATTTTCGATTTGTGAGCTTCACAGCGTCTCACGATGGACAGGAAGGCGTTAGTTTTGCATCTGCTTCTTCTTCTAACGGTTAGTTGTGCATCCCTCAGACGAAAGCTCTGTCGGATTTGTGTGCTAGAAAAATGTTCGGGATTTATCAGTTAAAGACAATGAAGTACATCAAGTGGAATAGGACATTTATCATATTATCATGCACAAGTTGTTTCATCCTGAGTTGCCTTCTCTTGATTTGCTCAATGGTTGGCTTTTTGCGCGAAAAAGTGTCGTGAAAATACAGATCAGTAAAATTCTCTTTTCTCCTTGGGCAGATTTTTGCGATTCCCGGTGAAAACACCTTTCTTCGCGACTCACAGTTGAGCAACAGCAAGGCCAGCCAGCCCAGCAATGCCGATGGATCCGCATTGCATTTGAAGGCATTGGACAAGGAAATCTTCGAGAAGTTCGTCAAACCAACAGCGAGTGATCTTAGCGAGACAATTTTAGCTCAAGCCAAGGATACGGTGGAAAGTGTGCTGCAGCACAAGGATGAGTTCCTGCTGAAGGCGAAGGAGAAGGTTGGGAGCTCTCTGAAGACCATCGAACAGGAGGGAAGTGAGTTGCTGAGCAAAGCTAAGGAGAAGATGGGCAATTCGCTGCAGCAAAACGAACAAATCCTCGCACAAACCAAGGACAAACTCGGATCATCGCTGAAGACCATCGAACAGGAGGGAAGTGAGTTACTGTCGAAGGCCAAAGGCAGGATGGAGAGCAAGCTTCAGGAGCGAGATGAGTTGGTGGCGAAGGCGAAGGACAAAATTGGTACTCTAATTGAGAAGAAGGAGATTGAAGGACCGATCTTGAAGAAGCCCCTGGAGAAGGAAAGCTCGCTGTTAGAAATGGCGAAGAGCAAAATGCAATCCTCACTCAAGGCTCTGGAGGAAGATGGAAGTTCACTGTTGGCCAAAGCGAAGGAGAAAGGAAGCACACTGATAGAGAAGGTCACAAATCCATCTCTCCTGAAGCCAATTCAGCAAGACAAAAGTATGGCTAAATCAAACAACGCCGCGGAAAGTGACGATAAGTCATCTTTATTGACTAGAGCCAAAGAGACTGTGGAGAAGTCTCTTCTGTTGCGAACACTGACGAATGGCGAAGGATCGTTGTTTAACAGAGCCAAGGAGAAGGTGGAGAACTCCTTGCTGGGAAAGTCACTCAAGGACAGTGAGAGTTTCATCCTCGGCAAATCCAAAGAAACAACGGAAAGTGCGAAGAAGTTCAATCTTCTCGGTGCGAAGCCTTTCAACTCACTCTTCCCCAGTTTTGGATCGAATGCTCCTAAGATTTCAGGACTAAAGTTGCTGTATCCGCTGAGGAAGGACGAGGCTCCAATTGTGGAAGTCGCCGATTTTCAGGATCCAGTTGAGGAAATCGAAGTGAAGCCACAAAAGAAGCCTTCGCCCGATGTTTGCTTCTCTCGACCACCGGCAAAGGAAGTGGAACCAATTGCGCCTGTGCTGCCGGAAAACAAGCCCTTGGACTATGATAAGATCGAAGAAGGATACTACGAAGACTCCCGAGAGTTCGACGATGACCTTCCGTCTCTCGTAGATTACGAGGAAGTGCCGGAGAAGCTGAACATATACTCAGATGAGGAGTTGGACTATCCTGACTACGTTCCTCAGGTAAGTGATGTGGTTTTGTCATTTCTCACAACTGATGCTCTTGCCTCTTTCTAGGGCATGAAAGTTCAAAAGCGACACATTTCCTACAATCGCCTCTTCAAGAAGCCCTCTAAGACGAAAACGGGAACTGAAGAAAAGATGCGCGAACGCGTCAATCGGGGAATTGGACACGTGAAGAAGATCATAGGCATTGCTGGACAAGTGGACAGTTTCCTCACGGGGAAAATCAGGAATTCCCTCAGGAGTTTGGCGAATATGGTGGAGAACGAAGATGACTACAAGAATGGACATTGAAAGAGAAAATAAGAATTTTTTGTACTTTTTTTTACGTGGAAAAGAATAATTTTTCCTTCAAAAAAAAAATGTGTCTTTAATGGCGATGATTGTCACTCCTAAGCTGCGGATAGGGAAATGAAGGAACAAGATAATAATAAGGAAAAGTGTAAGAAAGTGTTTAAAAAAACATATTACAATAAATTATTGAATTGAAATTTGTAATAAAGAGTGAAATATTGGTTGGAACAGAGACAATTTCACGTTTGACAACTACGCACATAAATCCCATATACGCAGTTTTCCCATAAATATCAATCAATCAACCTACTTGATTCGTCATAATTGTAAAATAGCAAAGAATGAAGGCATCACGGCATCACAGAGCTTATCGAGTCTATTGAAGACCGTCAAAGTAGATTACACACTTAAAAAGATTATTTAAATAAGAATAGAGGAAGCATTATTCTTCAAAAAGTTCTTAAAAATACAATAAAATATTGAATAGACATTTGAATTATTGATGAAACAGTGAGAAATTCACTGCGCATGTTTTGTGCTCAAATTGTATATTTTTGATCAAAACCAGAGACATTTCAGGTGTGTTTTAGATACAATTAAATATCATAATCTAAAATTTAAATTTCTGGACTTCAGAAAATGTGCATCTTTCCTCATTTTGTTGGTGAAATAACAGAGTATTCCTTAAAATTTTTTAGTATTTTCATATGTGCCCAAGAATACAGTATCATTGCATGGATTGCGCGGAACCTAGATTAATCGCCAAATCCCGCCGCCACTGAACTTCTCCGGAGGTGACAGTTGCTGCGCATAACCTCACACTTGAAGTCTTGTCAGAGGATTCTTGGGTGTTTTTTACATGTTTGTAAACAGAGGATTTGCCAGGCTTTCCCGGAAGCAGGATGTCGTATAAGTTGCAGGAGTTGAAGTGCAAGAGCTTCGAGGAGTTGTCAAGTTTGTACGCAGTACCGAACTTGAAGAGGCAGAAAGTGAAAACGTGAGTCATCATCGAGGGTTTTTCCGGGTGTTTTATTCACTCTCTGTGTTCATTTTGCAGCCTGGTCAAGTCCGCTGTGAAGCTGTATGAGGAAGCGGAGAAGCAATATGATCTGCACGATGAGGAGCAGAGTTTCGTGCTGTACATGAAGTACTTCAATGTTGTGCAGTCAATCCGGAATGCGTCAGACTACCTCACTCACAAGAACTATGTGGCGACTCTGCTGGGCACGAACCTGAAGCAGAAGAAGGCGCTGGACAGAACGGAGGCCCTCTCGAAAAGCCTCAGGAAGAGGTACGATTTGCTGCGGATGTGCGAGGAGTGTGATGAAGAGGAGGAGGACTTACCTGAAGCCAATCCAGTGCCTGAGACGTCAATGGAGACGGAGAAATCCACGAGTGTCACGAGTCAGCAGTTGTTCTTTATGATCCAGGGTGGCGAGGATGTGCTAGTGCTGGATTGCCGACCCAGGGAGGATTTCTTAGCGTCGCGACTGATGTACGACACTTGCCTTAACATTCCGGAGGAGGTGATTCTGCCCGGCATGACCGCTGGGCGGCTGTACAACGAACTGGGCGAGCAGGAGAAGATCCTGTGGAACTCCAGGTCAGCCAGGAAGTGCGTGGTGCTGATGGATTGGAGCTCCCGAGGCAGCACTCCTGTGCGGCCTACTTCACTCTGGTATCTGCTGGAGATCCTGCAGATCTGGGATCCGGACGTGACCTATTCTCACCTCGTGATGCTGAGTGGCGGCTATGAGGACTTCATCCTGCGCTACCCGATGTGCTCCACGAATCCCAAGGCCTTGCCGCCGGCATCCAAGACGGCGGACGAGAATTCGCTGGAGGAGATTGAATACCCTTCGATTGGGGATATCGTGATGAAGAAGGAATTCTCGGCGCAGCCCAGCGTGGATCGTGGCTCCAAGGCTGCGGCGATTCTCACGTACGAGCAGAAGGAGCAGCACGTGCAGGATTTGCTGGAGCAACAGGAGGAGATGGTGGAGAAGGGGCTGAAGATCGAGAAGGAGCGCCTGAAGGCGGAGAAGAGCTTTCAGCAGTTGAATGAAACTTTCGCCAGGGATGAGGAGTTGCAGGCGCGCGAGGCGAAGGAGCAGGAGCTCATCTACACCATGATGCAGATGGAGAACCGCGAGCGCGACGTCCTGGCTGAGAATGAGCGCATCAAGCGGGAATTGGCGGAGTATAAGCAGAGGGAGGCGGAAATCGCTGCCAAGGAGGAGGCGGCCACGCGGGCGAGGATTGAGGAGAAGGAACGCGAGAAGATGCGCCTGCAGGAGCAACGCCAGCGCCTTGAGATGGAGCGCGATCGGAAGCTGAAGGAGGCCAGAGAGCAGAAGAAGTTGCTGCAGGAGAACAAGGAGAATGCCATTCCGATCATCAATCGCGACTCGAAGCCTCATGCGCTGCCCGCGCGGGAAGTAAGGGACTTGGCGCCGGTCGTGGGCAGTGTCCAGCGAGGCCTGACCGGACTGAAGAATCTGGGCAACTCGTGCTACATGAACAGCGTCGTGCAGTGCCTCAGCAACACGGCCAGCTTCAAGGAGTGCATCCTGCGCGGGCTGTTCCGCAAGCAGATCAACCACGCCAGCAAGACGAAGGGGCGCATCGTGGAGGAGCTGGCGGCTGTGGTGGAGGCGCTCTGGTGTGGACAGTACAGATTTATCTCGGCGGTGCACTTCAAGTGCACAGTTGGTGCGATCCACGCGATGTTCCGGGACTTTGAGCAGCAGGACGCCCACGAGTTCCTCACTATCCTCATGGACATGCTCCACCTGGACCTGCAGACCATCGCCACGAGTAGCCAGCGCGATCATTTGCCCATGAGCGAGAAGGCGTGGCTGGACTTCACCAAATCGCGCGAGAGTGTCATCCTGAGGCTGTTCTACGGCCAGATCAAGAGCACGGTGAAGTGCAAGGAGTGCGGCAAGGAGAGCGCCACGTACGACAGCTTCTCCAATCTCAGCCTCGAGCTGCCCAGCAGCCACATCAGCGAGTGCCACCTGGACAACTGCTTCGACATGTACTTCAACGGCGAGACAATCGCCGGCTGGAACTGCCCGGCGTGCAAGCAAAGCCGGAGTGCCGTGAAGAAGCTGGACATCTCGAAGCTCCCGCCCATTCTGGTCGTCCACCTGAAGCGCTTCTGCGCCGACCAAATGACCGTGGCGTCGTCATATCGCAAGAAGCGGACCAACGTGAAGTTTCCACTGGAGAATCTCGACCTTAGCGCCTACATCACACGCTCAGAGAAGCGCTCGCGGAAGATGTACCAGCTGTACGCCGTGTCCAATCACTTCGGCACGATGGACAGCGGCCACTACACAGCCTTCTGTCGCAATCCGGACATGGGAAGATGGTTCAACTATGACGACGACAAGGTGAGCGCGATGGACAGTAGAGACGTGCAATCTTCTGCGGCTTACATTTTGTTCTACACTTTCCACTGAGGAGATGAGCTTACAAAGGACCTTAAGAAGGGCTGAGGAATCAAAATTAAATCGTCTGCAATGGTAAAATTGTATTGTATGAAGTGTAAACGAAAGGAATACAGATTTGGTAAGAAGATTCAAATCTCCGCCCACTCGTAAGCCCCGCCCAGAAACTCCATCGACGAGAAGAAAAATATCGAAAAGCATATTGGAAATTACAACTATATTACTTTATTGTTTTTCTTCTTCAAATAATTACTAAAATGAATTTACATTTGAATATTTAATTACTATTTAGTTGTTTTTCTTCATCTTCTCTTCATTAAATCTGTGTTTTTTTTTCTTTTCGTATCTCTCCTTTTATAAATATTCATGTTGATTCTTTTCTATTCTCTTCGTCTTCTTTATCATCGTTTTCTTCTCTTTCCTGTCTTTCTTTCTTCTTCTTTTCTTTACCAAAGAACAAAATCAAAAACTTTAATCGTCGGTTCTTCTCTTTAGTTTTTTGGTAAAAGATTGCGTCCTAACTGTTAATGCGCGACATTACAAAAATACATTGCTGACCACCCCCGGAAAGAATGTGTGTATGTGTGTGTGTGGATTTACCGGATGTCTGTGGAGATGTCCTGTCCTCAATCTCTCGCCACTGGCTGTTCCTCCACAAAGGCAAGTCATCGGCGGTCATCTAGAGTTTTCCGAGAGTTTTCATCATTGTTTTTTTTTCACGTTAATCAGGATGAAAATTAGCAAGAATCTTCACTCAATTTAATCCATTATCCTTTCTCACTTGTTCTAAACACTCTTTTTCTCTATTTGCCACATTATTAAGTCGGGATTCCCCAATTTTCCTTCTTCGGCCCATTTTCCGGACGTCGCGGTGGAAAAGTCACGAGTTTTTTTTTCATTTCATTTCACTTACACATTACTTAAAGCGCGGTAAAAATTCTGTTATATCATCAGATTATATTAGCTGAGAAATGATTCGTATTTAGAAAAAAAAAACAATTCAACCCTAAATCATCGCATTTTCAGTGTGAGGGAAAGAGAACAGACTCGGCGGCAGTCTTCGCGACTCACACAAGCCACCGGCGAGCGTCCTGGCCAGTCTCTCTACACCAGCCTAAAGTCCCCACCGCCCTGAGTTCTTCCTGCCGACATACCGTGGATGAGTTGGTCCTGCAAGTTAACCGACGGACTGCTGTTGACCGAGTTGATGGTGTTGGTGCTCTCGTCGGAGGTTCGCTTGAAGAAGTTGTGTTGCAAGGCATAGTACGGTGTGATGCGCAGCTTCGGATCGAACTCCAGCATCCGAAAGATAAGATCCTTGAACTTGAGATAGTCCGACACCGAGTGCCCGGGCTCGCCTGCCCTCCGTCCGCCCGGGCCGCCCGTCTCCACGCCCAGCACCTCGTGCAGCTTCCTGGTGCCGGGCAGCTTGTACTTGCGCCCATTGTGGTTCTTCTTCAGCACATAACTCCCGTCCGACGGCAGCTTGTCGAAGAACTTGCGGGTCTTGTGCGCCTGATCCAGCAAGTGCTTGGGCGGCATGCCCAGCACCTCCACCACCTTGTTCATCTGATCCACCTCATTGCAGCCAGAGAACAGCGGCTCGCCCGTGTGCATCTCCACGAGGATGCAGCCCAGCGACCACATGTCAATCGCCAGATCGTACGGGATGCCCAGCAGGACTTCGGGGGAGCGATAGAAGCGCGACTGGATGTACTGATATATCTGCAAGACACACACACGCAGACCATTAGCATCACTCTCTCTCCGCATTCGCAGTGCTTAAGACACTCTTTCACGCCCAATTACCCTTATTGCAGTCCTTGATTGAACGATTCAATCACGAATGTACTTTTTAACTCAATCAAGTCAAATAAAGAAAATGCATCCCATAAAAGCTCTTTTTACTGTAAGATTCCAATTTTCCTCCGCTTTAAGTCTCATAGAGACTAATTGAGAACATCGTGAAGAGTATTCATCATAAATGCATATTGTGAGGATGTCAAAATATCAGAAATATCATCAAGAATGAAAGGGTAATGAAGAATCGTATAAAATATTCTGTTAATTAAAGTTCAGCTGTCATTTTTCCACCATTGCAGTCTAAAATCAAATACTACACAGCCATATTATACTTCAAACGGCATAAATTGTGACTATATAAGAGAAGAATTTGTATAAACTTCAATTCAAAAAGTCTTTCATTGAAATCTTGAGGCTCTTGATGGGAATTAAGCTAAATTGTGTCTTCATTGATATCTTCAGCACAAGTCTCAGCACTGCAATTGCACACATTCTTCTACAAAAGTATCATCCACTCACCCTCTGACCGAGTTGACATGAACTTCCGAAATCTACTATCTTAATTGCGGATCGTTTGGGATTACATAATAAAATATTCTCTGGTTTGAGATCACAGTGGATTATACTCAGTTCTGCGGAAGGGGAAAATAGAAAAACATAAATATTAGTTGAACAACTTAATGAACAATTCAATCAATATTGTGGGAAATACTCACCGGGGGTACTTAAAAAAAGTAATGCAGTACATAATTGTTGAGCAAATTTTCGGGTTAAATTAAGTGATACGCCACGAAAATTTGTATTACGCAGTAGATCGTATAAATTATAGGATAGAAGTTCAAATACTAGACAGAGGTGGTTTCGCCACATGAAATGCCTCTTTAATCGCACTGCAAGGAGACAAAGAGCATGATTTTAGCTTAGCGACAGAAAGAAAGACGTGAGCGTGTGATATTCATTCATACCAATGTAGTATTTGTTCTCCGTGTCGGCTCTGTTCATCATCTCGAGGAGTCGCACCTCAATTTGCGCCTGATTCAAGAAGGGCTTCTTATTCTTGATGATCTTAATCGCCACATAGCATTTCTCCTCGTGATCGAACGCCTTCACCACTTGACCAAAGCTGCCCTTGCCAATAAGCGAGTCAATCTCGTATCTGTCGAGGAATTTCTCACCATGCTTTATGATATAGTCATGATTATCGTCATCGTAGCCGTCATTGTACAGCTTCCGCTCCTTCTTGTGCGACAAGTCGTCGCAATGCGTCTGCTGGGCGCGCCGCTTCTTCTTCGCATAGTACACCTCGTTGATGTGCTTGTAGGTCTTGATCAGGTCCACGCTCAGCTTCCGCAGCGGCGCCGTGCTGGACTCGCGGAAGTGGATCGGGATGCGCGACTGCATGGCGCGGATGTCCGTGGACGACGCCGCTGGCGACGAGAGGCGCTGCACGATCTCCCTGTGCGTGGCCGGCAGGTGCTCCTCCGCCACCAGGCGTCCGTACAGCGGTGCATGACGCTGCCGCGACAGATCCGTGCCCGAGCTGCACACGTACATAGCCACTGAAAGAGACACACAATCGCGCATTACTCATCGGGCATCCGCATCTTCAGCACAGCGCCAAAACGCCGCATCATCGCCGGGAAGTGGGTGAGCGCAACGCAACACACTTCGTCGGCTTCATTGGCGCGCCACAGCGCCATTAGGACGATGGGCAATCGAGCTGACGCTCCTGCAGAAACCAAAGCCTCATTGACACCGCTCGCGAATGAGCTATTTTAGGCCGCGGTTGCGTTATTTTGGGTCATCCCACCTCATCGTCACTCTTCCACGTGTTCCCAACTCACATTTTTGATTTGTTTTATCCATTAGCATAGTAGTTCTGCCACCACCAGATGAGCCAAAGATCTGCCCGGGGGTGTTTCACCGCCCCGCGTCGAGACGCTCACGAAATTGAACCTCCTTCCCGTTCTTCTCCTTCTTCTGTGTGTCACGCTGTCGCGACGCCTCTGTCCTCCCTTCTCTCTGACACACTGTCGCGCAATTTCACCAGTTAAAATGGGACACTGTGGAACGGCATTTCCAACATTTTCACCATTTTTTTTCCCTCGCGACTCTCTCTCACCGAAACTCTCTTTCTCTTTCTCTCTCTCGCTCTCGACCTGCAAAGAGCCCAAGGAAAACACAGAGGAATTTCAGTTTGAATTTTCTCTCAACCAAAAAAAGCCAAGAATCTCAAGCTTTACCTCTTTTCCTTGTCCGCAGTGGATATTCAGTGGCTTTCCTCTTCTTTTCTGGCTACAGAAAGAAAAAAATAACTACAGCATCAATCTGGATTCTTATTTTAGAATATGCGTGCCACTTTCAATCGTCGCAGATGCATGAAAATCGCCTGCAAAATCAAAGGAAACGCAAGAAGATTTAGTGGAAAATTGTGAGAAAAAAAAAATTAACGAGAAAATGCACAAGATGAAAAAATATAAATAGTGTGTGAATCAAAGAAATTCGAACCACTTTTACCATGGCGACAGCCACAGACACTGCTATTGATATCGATGGCAGAATCAGCTGAGATGTCATAGAAATTTAATGTCGCTTAGCTCAAGAAGTTAATATAAGATTCCACAAATATATTGAGTTTATTTTCAGATCAAAACTTGTCCGAGTTTATTTATAATTCCCACAAATGAGTTCCACAAAATTATAACTCTTTATTGATTTTTACCGTCAATATCAACATATTTTGTTTTTGAGTCTTTATTGTGTTTTTCAAAGCTTCAGAAGTTATTTTTATGAATAGATTTGACATTTTATATCTTTAGCTCTTCGGAGACAAACAAAAATCATAATCCTTTAGTTTTTTTTCACATTTACAGGTTTCAAGCTTAATAGAGTTAAGATAAGCTAATGGATTTGTTAATAAATAGTAAATACAGTAAAAAATTCCTGCTTCAAATTATCGCTTTCCTATATTTCTTACTTTTTTTTTAGACAGTTTTTCACTGAATAGGATATTTATCTCTTGAAAATTTTCAATATTGATCTTCAATCCAAAAGCTTCAGCTCAGCTAAATTTAATTCTTGGAGATTCTATCGCAAGAGATTGCAGTGGTTCTCGCGAGAATCCCTTCGGTCACAAGCTTGACCAGCAATCACGCGTTCTTGCTTCTTGATCACGGATGGCGAGAGATGAAAATATCGCCACCATTGTGTACAGACTCCCCATTTGTGGTGCGCGAGAGCGAGCAAGACAGCAGTAGATGTCAAAAATGATGCAATTTTGGCACTTTTCACACCCTCTCACTCTCGCCTTTGCCACGATTTCTTGCCGTCTCGCTCCCTCTTGCCGTCCCCACGGAAAAATCGGGAGAATATCACGCATTTTCCCACAAATTTGTCTCTTTTCTCTCGGACTTTTCGAATTTTGCGATCGCAGAAAACACGTCCGGAGTGTCTGTGGCTCTTCCGCCATGTCCGCTGCCCTCTCACACCCGTGGGTGCCTCCTTGAGAGCGCCCCCCGCAAGATGTCACGAGTGGGAGAGGGACAAAGAACAGATTTCGCTCTCCATTTCGCTCTCTTGAGAGTGGCGTTGGAGAAATTTGGGCATTTTTTCCTCTCTCACTCTCACACTCTGTTCGAAAAATGTCACACATTTGCTCATCTTGTCGGCAAGGAGGGCCCCAAGGGGCACCCTGGGGCCCCAAGTGCCACCCTCGAGACGAATTACCTGCACTCCTGTGGGCGCTGCGGTGGGAAAGTGCACGGAAAATGGCCTTTCGTGGCGCCGTCTCACCCCAAAGGTTGCCCCCAAAAGAGAAAATTGTCAATATTCTGGCTCTCCACCTTTTTCCACCTCGCGCGCTCTCACTCTCACCCACACCTCACCCACTCAGTCCGTCTCTCTCGCACACACCAATGTCGCCTCGGCCACAAGAGAACAGAGTGTTCCTCTGCACAGATTGCCCAAGTGCGACTTTTCCACACTTTTCACGCCTCCCACACGCAGAATTTCACGCGAAACACAGTCCGTGCACTGTTGCGCAGACACTTTGGGTGTTTTTCTGCCGAAAATGCCACAGCAAATACGGGTAAAATGGATTTATTTCGACACGACCAGACACACGCACGGGTAAATGACCCCTCGATTGGAGAGACAATATAAAGTGAGATGAAGAGAGGGACAGTTCGCCTTAGAACAACATGGCCGACCACTCGCGCCACACTTCACGCCTCCAAATCTAGTACAGCGTTTCAATGAAGATGTTTTTCACAATTGAATTTCACACATTTCCCCTTATTTCACGTTGCACAAGTAATTTTCACACGCCAAACACACGGGAAAGTCCCTAAATTTCACCCACAAGTATGGAGAAAATGAACATTACACTTTTTCTACGCGAAAAACCGAGAAAATTATACCTCTCCGAAGCGCATTGAATGACACTCTTTCTGAGGTTATGTCACACTGTCCCAGAACTTTGAAGTGTGAAAAATTCGTTGCATTTTTTCCACAACATTTTCTGCGCAATATTGTTTGTTTACCACAAATTGGAATCTTATTGCAATTCTCATTGGTATTCTCTGCATTTTGTCTCGATTAGACGCTATCAAAAGGGTGTAAAATTCAGATGGCACAGTGAGAAGTTTACGAGCGGATTAAATCACGCGAGGCTGGCAAATCTCTTATTGATTCCTTTCCCGGAATTTTTCGTCATGATATGCCAAGAATAATCTCCGTCTGATAAGAAAATTGAGGATAGGAATACGCAATGAGATAAGAGAATTGCGTAGTGACGGAATGAACGAAATGAATATTATATTCTGTAATCAGGGCTTGATTCTTGTTAACACAGCAATTTTATTAATTTCATTTTATTTTATTTTAAGAGATCGAAGTAAATTCCTTAAAACCTTTATACCTCTTAGTTGCGAGACGATAGAAATCTTTATTTTAGCTTACCAGCTATTCCGTAATTTTCTTTACATCTCGAACTGTCGTGTATGATTCATATAAGTTGATAATTTTTTTTTAAATCGCTCCTCAATTAATGCACTTGATCGCCTCTTTATGAGATAGTCCAACACCAGACGATTTTTATGCTCTCAATAAAATGCGGCAATAAATTCCCCAGCAATTTGCGGTGATTTATTGAATTTGGCGCGAAATGACGGCAAATAACTTGGAAAATACGTGAGAACTTTTATTGTCTCTTGATCGTTTTTCGAATTGGCGCCCTTTTTGCGCGCACCGCGGGCCGCGGCGGGGAAGTGGTTTGCCCCCACTCCGTGCGCGTGAGCGCCATGTTTGTGCTAAACTAAAAAGTCAATAAAATGCGAGTCGCCCGCGTTCGGATCTAGTCTAGTGTGTGATTTTCCGTGGCGAGGCGAGAGCGTGCGAGAGAGCGCGCGGCCCGCGAGAGCAAGAGAGAGCGAGATCCTGCCGCCGAGCGCGAGAGCGCGCGAGAGTCTTTATCATTCGGGAGTCCATAAACTCTGGTGGTCTCGCGAGAGTGGGGGCGAGAGCGAGCGAGAGAGGCGGAATATAAAATATGCATCCCGAGATTGGGGTGGTTCAGTGTGAAAATACCCGTCCGTGGATTTGGTACGTGATTGTGGCAGCGTTCGCGTGTGCTCAAATGTCGTCTTATAAACTGTTATGTAAAATACGAACATAAATAAATGATTCAGTGTCAATGACCCGATCGTGATGGGAAGATTGTGAGGGAATAAGTGATAAATTTGGGCCTTTTCCCCAAAACCACAGCCGTGCAGAGCCGCGATCGTGCTCACGAGAGCCCCGCTGGAGCGCCGCGCGCCCCATTCCGGAGCTGACACACACGCAAGACACCTTTTGTGAGGTTAACCTGCGCCCCATTCAGCATCCCGCGACCATCCGGAGCGCCAGTGAATCGCTGCGGCAGCCACGGGAGACGTTCTTCACACACTTATGTAATTATCTCATTTATCTATCTCCTCTTTTGTCTCCGTCCAATTTCTTCCATCTCTTCGGCTCTGAAAATTGTGACCTCCTTTGAATTCTACCATCTTCCACTCTCTCTTTCTCCGTCAATTCACCGCATCGCTGCCCGTTTTTTCCTCCGCGAGGTGTCTTACCTCTTCGGCATTCCTCCAAGTCGGGTTCTGGCCCGAAATGTCGCCCCCTCCCGAGATCGAGTCTCCGCCGCAACGAGTGGCGATTAATTCGCGACAATGGGTCAAGTTGACTCATCGACAGGTCTATTTTTAAATGCCCCGCCAGAGCGACAAAGCATCCTTTGATCGACTGATCCTCAGGTCTTATCCCGAGACTAAAGTCCACCGAGTTTAGCCTCGGAAGAAGAAAGGTTCTGCATCTTGTTCTCCGGCGAAATATCCTGAAACTAGACTAATGGCCAAAGGCTAAAGTCACAAGTAGTTTTGGGACTTTAGTCGCGAATGAGGAAAATGGTGGACTCTTTATTCTTCGAGCGAAATTTTTAGAATCATGAATGAACTCAGGTGACTTTGTGGGATTAAAATTGGATTGCCAACTTTGGTCACGTAGATCAAGGTGATAAAGAAAGTTTTTTATTGAGAGAATTCTCACGCAACATGTGGTGAAATTGCGTGAATCTTAAATATTTTTCCCCCTTACATTTCAGAAGTGGGATCTTCTCATTTATTAATGTAATTATTTAGTTGAGGATTTGTGTTGAAATACTCCAGTTAAGCAAATAAATATTGTCATCTTTATTGTGATCGAAAGTTAACGTTCAAAGTTCTCTTTGCTTGAATCTAGGCCAGGCCCACTAAGAAGCCCCGCCCATGGGATAAGATATTCTATGAAAACCTCTCAATAGAAGGATTCTATGTGAGAGATATCCAATGAGTGATCTTCAGTCGGTCTTCTTGACCCCAAAATTTCCCATAATTCTCCCCAACACCCCATCGATAGCCGGGCAATTGAGGCTCGATGTCAGAATTCCTCTCTTCAGCCATGATCTCCCAAATATCAACGCACATCCGAGGAACGAGAGGCCCATTAATCACAGCGAATGGAAGTGTTTGCCAGAGAGAACAGCCATAAAAATCACAATTAATCGCCTTCAATTGACTCCCCCGGCGATAAGGCGCTGAGCGGGCGGGGGGAGGCGGGCGAGAAAAAAGAATTAATGGGTTTATTGAATCGTGTGGCGTCAGGGGAAATAGTGTTCTTGCTCTGGGCATCGCATTTTGCGCAATTTCTCCCACGGCTCCCAGATCGCGCCCCGCGAGATCCCATGGAGTCTCTTTTATTGATCGCGAGAACATAACTTTGTTCTCAATTAATCGAGCGTGAAGACAATAAAAGTTGATTGAGATTTTTACCAAGGCAGAGTGCCATCTTCTTGTTTTAACGACTCCTAATCATGGATTTATGGCTGTTCTTTTTCTATTTTTGTGGAGCAATTTTGTGTAGTAATACTTGTGGATCAATTTCTGGATTCTGACGGCGCGCTTGCTTGTCTCTTTGCAGATTTGAGGGGAGAGAGAGGAAGAGAAACTGTCTCGTGAGCTTCGGTGGCCAGGCCAGCGCCCGCGAGGCGTGCTGTCGTGCGTGAACAATGATGTGTGAACTGTGTGTGTTTCTGGTAAATGCGAAGAAGTGAATGGAAGAGGCAGTGGAGGACCCTAGAGTGGATTCTAGTGGTCCTCCTTATTATTCAGACGGTGAGAATCTCACTGGGGGCCAGCATCCCTGTCCGGGAGGCCGATGAGGTCATCGCGCAGCGCACTTTCGACTACACTATCGTCACCATGCGCGACCGGACGCCCAAGATCTGGCGGCTGCTGCTGCAGAACACCTCCGTGCAGGAGGCGCCGCAGAATCTCCTCCACACACGCCAGGTGGTGGTCTTCGGAGAGGCCGATACCATTCTGTCCAGGACGTACCGCAGCGCGACCGAGCGACGACGGCTGCGGCGCCTGGGCGACAAGTCTGTGCTGGAGCGCAACCAGCGCTCCGCTAATCTGTCCTACGCCATGGGATCGGCGAGGAAGATCCAGCTCTTCATCAAGAATCGCTTCCTGCAGCTGCTACCCGATGGCACAGTCAACGGCACGCAGAACATCCACAGCGACTACAGTGAGTATCTCAAGCTTTGCGCACCCAGAGAAAAAGAAGAGCCCAAAAAGGCTCTGAGAAACACGATAGTTCGCACTTATGCAATGTTCAGAGACATGTAGAGCACAAGTCCTCCTTTTCTGCCTGGTGCAGCCGGCAGAGAGCCAGGGCAAAAAGACAGAACAAACCCCCTTCGGAACATTCCACGTGAGGACAGTTGCAGAAGATGCTATTTTGAGACATATTTCTACACCCTCATGTCTGCACATGCATAAATCTTCTGGGAAAACATAAAAAGCCATTTGTTATGCAGTCGGACAAGGCACACCTGGTTCACCGCTTCGGTGTACATTTGATCCTGGCAATTCTGGAAGACATTTGATCTTTGCCCGTCTATTTTTAGACGAACTGTATAAATATTTGCCGAACAAACGCAAATTGCAGGTGTTTTCTGATCCATTTTATAAGAATTTGCAAGATTAAATAAGATGAAGATTGTCATTGTGGAAAAGTACGGGGAAATGAAGGAGATTCTAAGCTTGAGTTCAGAGATTTATACCCACAGAAGTGCGACAAATTATTTTGGAAATCTTAAGAAAAATTTGTTCGGAAATATCTTCCGATTTCTGTGGGAAATCTAGGAGACTCGTAGGCAGAAAGTCCTCCAAAATGTTGCATTACAAATGTGATTTAAATGCAATTTGGCAGCTTAATATACTTGCAAAAGCACAATTGAATGATTGATTTATAAAAAAGAACACTTAAACCACTAGTTTGCAAATTTCTTACGAGTTACTCACGCAATTCTAGCGAAATGTCATACGATTGGCGATAGTAAGAAGAAATTTCCAGGAAAAGGTTCCAGATAACAAATATTGAGAAAGCAATTGGCCTAAGCTTAAACCTATACTCAGCAGGCGTCCAATCAAGGTGTTTTGGCAAATGATGACATTTTTGTTCAAGTGCTTTTATTGGCTCCTTCGGTTTTTCGCGAACAAAGTACAGCACCACGTGAACGCACAAAATTTACGCACAAATAAAATGCCATGATAAAGATAATGTGTAAAATTCTAACTATGGGCGTTGTGAAAATGATGAATTACAGTTGAAGGAAAATTTCCGATGACGATGTTAATTTTGTGCACTGTTTTGTGTCCATAAAAGGCAATGTGCGTGGTGTACATTTTGCATTGCTGGGCGATTATCCCTTGCCATCCTTCGGCGGTTCCCATGAAATTGAGACGCAAATCTAGTTTTTTTTTTTCTTTCTGGTGTAAAATGAAAAGTCACGATGAAGTGATGATTATCAGGAGAGATTTCAGGGGTGGAACAGGCAGAGCGACGCGCCGAGCAAATCCAATTGAGCAGGCGTGACAATCAAAAAGTGATTTGTTTTATTAATTTATTAATTTATCAGTCACACGAGTGGGCATTTGAATATTCGGTCATCAAAGAGAGATATGAGGAAATTGATTGATTCTCGAGTGCGTGTTGTTTGGCTTGTTTCGGCGAAGAAAAGGTGACGAAAAGGAGTGTGAAAAAGGTCAAATTCGGCATTAGAGATCACACTCATAAAAAAGCCATCAAGATACTTTTTCTCTTCAGTTTAGATGAAGTGAGAAAATTTCACGATGTGTGCGATAAAAGTTGTGGAAAAGATTTTTATTGAATACAATAAATTAGCCACAATTCTGGACAACTGTTCGTACGGGATTTGAGGGCCTGTCCCGGGCGCGCACACACTTTTTTCGGGGGTTTGCGCGCGCGGGAAAATCAGCCATGAGATTAATTGAGGAACGCGGTTGTCGCACAGAAACGCGTGACTGTTGATATGCGGGGGCACGAGAGCAATGTATGATTGATGCTCGACGATCGCGCTGTGTTGTGAGAAACTAGAGTCGGTTGATTCGTGATTCGAGACAGGTACGCGCGCTCCGCTCTGACCTCTCAAAGCGGAGAGAGAGACGACGTGTGAGTTGACATGCTTTGGATGTAGGAAAAAACGTAAGAGAGTGACTGTGAATGACAAAAAAGGTGCGCTATTTTTGATTGGGAGTCTCGCGCTCTCCAAGCTAGCAACCTTATCATGAAATTCCACCTTTTTTTGCACGCTATTTCGTCATATCGCACAGAATTTGACGGTTTGTCAATTGGCGCGGAAAGTCTGTGGAAAGCTTGACTCACGCGACTGAAATCTATGTGAAATTGAGTGGGACAAAGTGCAAATCAAAAGCTAATGGGACTGGGAAAGACCCTTAAGTTTAGTGACTCGCCAATTGAGAATGTGCGGCAAACAATACAGCCAAACACGGAAAAAAATAGTTCTGCAAATGCTGAAATTTTAAACTGTCTCTAAACTGAGATTTTGAGTAATAAATACTCAAAAACATTGAATGCTCCGTGAAGTTTTCAATTTAATCTTAGATATATCAAAATTTCATAAAATTCCGTCGTCTTGTACTCAAGATATTTGCCTTTAAGTTTTCGCAAACAGTTATCTATCCTCCAGCGACCCTGGTGGTGATCACGCGAAATGCACAATTGTCTTATTTTCACGCGATACAGTCTTTAAATCTCTCAACTCTCCACAAATCTTGAGTGAGATGGCAAAAACAAATACACAATGATGAATCCCGCAAAATTTTCCTCACGCCCAAGAAGTGCTCAATCACGAGAAATTTATCAACTTAGAAGATGTGCGATGGTGAACTCTAGAGAGAGAGAGAGAGTGTGTCTAAAAACTGGCCTTTTGTCACACGAAAATAGCCATGAGAGGAAGAGCGTTGTGATCTCATGACTCCTAAAAAGCAATTATAAGTTGTGACCAGGAAAATCCCCTCATCCTCTTGTGTTTGCCAATCCATTTCGTTTTGTTGGCGGAATTAATATCAAAATCGGTATTTCGTGCGAAATGACGATTTGGGGGATTTGCAGCGTTTTATCTGAGCGTCCATCATCAAATGTGCGTGTTTATTTTATTCGCTCTCTCGCGCCTTTTGATGCAATATCCTCTCCATTATGCAATGCGTCAAGAGTATGTTTTCCTTGCGGATTAACTCACTAAATAAACGCTCCAGTCACGAGGAACGCATTTCGTCAGATCCGTCAAAATAATATTTTGATAAGGATGCAGATGGATTTGATTTGTCTTAACGACTATAAAATATAAAGTCTTGACCCGAGATTTTCCCACATTAACTTGTAATTATAAACATCCTCCCACGCTCTTATCGATTTGGGGAGTGTGTCGAGGAAGCGATAATTAACACTTGATCTCATGCTTCTGTCCCAAGAGGTCAGATGCAATATTTCCCCACAGCGAGATAATCTATTTTGCAATCGTTGTGGAAGAATTACAGAGAAGTTGAAGTGATAATGATGCTTAACAATTTATGTTAGAATCATCCAAATTCATGTTTCTCACTTTTCCTCTATTGCAAATGAGAGCATTATAAAACATCCTTTATCGCTTTTTCTTCTTTGCTAGTCTTCAATATTCTAATTCGTAGAAATATTTCCAATAGATATTCAATTCCAATGTTTGATTTTAATTATCTCGGGAAATTAGAAATCTCTACAGTCGGAAAAATGTTTTTTGAAGTGGATTTGCTGATCAAATAATTGTGATAGAATTGTTTTGAAATAAGTAAATAAACAGGATGAAACGTAAATTACATTTTGACGAAAGAATTAAAGGAGAATTAAAAAAAAATAAACTGAAAGTTAAATAAATTGATTAGAATTCAGAGACATCAACACGATAAACGATTAGAAAGAGTTTGGATTAAATTCGGCAAATTACGAAGTTATATTAAGACTAAATTTTCTGCTCACGTTCCTGAAAAGGCGGTTTTGACAAAGAACCAATAGAATCGAAGAGAAGAAGCAAACTTGCTTTGGACGTTTTAAAAACCACAGAAAGATCTTCAAGAAGGTCTTGAATTGATTCTTACCACATAGAATACACTCATGATCACATTCTTTGGGGGTAAATAAAATGTACACAATATGTTATGCGAAGAAGCTGGTATTGAAGGAAATTCACACTTGATTTCTGCCTTGCCTTTTGATCGACGAAAGTGTTAATGAGCCGGCGAGGAATATGTTGAGACGCAGTTTTGCCATAAGAATATGCCTCAAATCGACTGCCTCTCGTCACGATGGCCCTTCTTCCAGCCACTCAACCACTCATCGACAGACGAGGGCTATTTTTGGGGAATGTGTCTCTGAGACACTCCCTTGGAAATAATTAGACACATCAATCAGCTGTCGCGCCTCTCGGAGGGTTCGTCTGTGATCTCTTAACCTACAGACGATGTCTCCTCTTCTCATGCTAAATCAATCGAGCTGTGAAGGATTTAGTGCGATTAGTGTTCTGTGAGGAGTTGAATGAAAATTGACTTGCACAATCTTATCGTGTCATGTCTGCTCGCCCATTGATGTGAGAAATGATCTAATTCGACTTGTTTTTTGGCCACTCCATTGCAGCCATTCTGCAGCGAACGACTGTGGATGTGGGAAAGATTAAGATTCAAGGCGTCGCGACTTGCCTGTACCTCTGCATGGATCTGTGTGGTGGAATTTACGCTTCGGTGAGTAGCACATTTGCACATTTTGCCACTGCTCTGTGTGGTGATTAATTGCGCAGAGAATGGCTTCGGCGAGCAGGAAAATGCAAGACAGGAGGGTCTTCTTGGGCAAGGGCACGCATTTGTCTCGGGAAATTGCTTTGCCCTCTTGTAATGGCGTATTTGTCATTGGTAGAAATTGCATATGGAGAAAGATATTTGTTTGCTTACTTGGGCAAAGAAAGTCATTTGTTCATGAGAGGAAAGTCATGTTAACTAATCGGATATTTAGAGAGAAAGAGGGAAGTTTGAAGTGTGTTGGCTTTTGAAGGGAGTTTTCGGAAAAATAGGTTAAAAATTTAGGTTCTTTATTGCATTTGAACTCAGTTCTGATCAATTGAAAAATTTACATTCCAATTTTTGCTAAATTCTGATTGAAAAACTATAAAACAAACTCGAATTTCACTCTCCATATTGAAAACGCAAAAATTTCTTTCAATTGATATTATAGATAAATAATTGTTCTTTAAAAAAAAAATGAGCGTTCGAGACAAGATTCGAACCGGAGCTTTTGATAATGTGAAGGGGAATCTCACAAGTTTTAGAGTGATGCTAATCAAATCACGATAACTGTGAAGTGAGGCTCGAGTTTTGGAGAGTTAATGAACCGCGCACGGGTGATAAAAGACGCGTAATTATGCGGGTGTTTGGCGCGCAATCTCTCTGCTGAATTTGATAAGGGAAGTGCGATAAGATTTCTCTACGTGATTATTGAAATGTATAGAGAAGCTAACGATGGTGTAGTTAAGCACCATTGGCATTCCTCGGGAGTTGCTAATTGCCTTGTGATTCAACTGGTCTTTGCAGAGAAAGTTCAGCGACGATTGTGTCTTCACTGAGTCAATGGAGGAGCAGCACTACAATTCCTACTCCAGCTCCTACAACAGCAATCCCCAGGGCGTGCTCTATCTCGCCATCAATCGCTATGGGCAGCCCAGGAGGATCCGCATCCCATCCACGCGGCAGCTGGGCAACCTGACGCGCTACACCAACAGCCTGACGCACCTCGTGGAGAAGGAGCGCGCCGAGGCGCTGATCTCGCGCGTGTTCGGCGCCAATCACGTGCGCCACGGGCTGAAGCAGCTCTGTGACTCCGGCAAGGCAGCGTTCGAGGGCCCCATGGTGGCGCGGCCCAAGTGCAATTTGGGCAAGAAGAAGCCGGGCAAGAGGAAGAAGTGCGACGGCAAGAAGTGCAATTTTGGCGCCAAGGCGCGCAAGAAGGCGAAGAAGCGCGGCAAGGAGGAGCAGGCGACGACAACTGAGGCGGAAGACGCCGACGACAGGACGTTCTCGTTCGACCATGACGACTGAGGGCGCGAGACGTTGATCGATATGTGATGCATGTGGCCTTCCGGATGATGTCAGTTCCCCGCTCCGTTTAGGTATTCCCATCATCGTGTCTTTAGGCAGCTTAGTTAGTCTCTTAGAAAGTCCGTCCACGAGACATAATAGAGTCATTTCCACGTCATGACCTCACGCAATATCTTATGCATTTTATTACTAGGGGGTTTGTCATGGCGTCGAGTGGAGTACATGTGGTCGGAAAGTGAGGATTTCCTCGCCAATTTCCCACTGAGGCTGAAGAAAAGTGAGGAAATGCATTTTCTTTCAGCGTTTTTCTGTCTCAATCGCTACTGATTTTTTGATCTTGCAAAGTGACCTAAACACTAACAGTCAGATTTAAGCCTACACTCAGGCACGATAGTAACTCTTCAACTCCAGGTTTAGACTTGATGAAACTCCACAGATTATTCTCAAATATCTTGGTAGTTAATCTTGCCTAGGTCAGTAACTTTGGTATTGATCGATTCTTACTTTTAGAGTGAGGAAAAGTATCTCAAATCAGAATTTTTTACTGAAATGAGTAGTTTTTCTTGATCACTAAAATTAGCTGATTATTGAATAAAGGCAGAAACATGGCCAAAATCGACTCCACTCGACGCAATGACGCGCCCCTAAGTTTTTCCCACATTCATTTAATTATAAAAATCCCTCCCGCATTTCTTATCATTTTCGCGGGTCGTAGGAGCAATAAATAAGCCCTAATCTCTTACTATTTTGTCGCAATGTGCCATTTGAAGTAGAGCTTGAGATAATATAGTTTTATAGCCATATATAAGAATAAAATTGTGTATTTTATCATGTAAATAGTTTACTTTCTCTGCAAATTGCCAGTTTAATGTTTAATCACGCGAAAGAAAAATACTAAACAGTGTTGCTGAGACACAGATAGAGAGAGAGAGAGAGAGAGAGAAAGATGTGCATTTTTTGGGCAGAAAAGAGTGACTTGAAGAACATTTTTCTGCACTTAAAGGATCTTTTTAAATGGAGAATGAAATTTTACGTTTAAGGCGCGCGCCCTCGAAGAGGCTGAGAAAGTTTCTGGTATCATTTTGGAAGAGAAGAGCGCATCTCTGAATGTTACCCAGTAGAGTATTTTCTTAGAGACACAGGCATTTTTCCAAGCTCAAATTGTAGGTAGAATTTTCCACTAGTAAGTAGATTTATACTTTCCCTGATAGTTGGTAGTTTTTATTTTTTGGCTTTAGTGAATGACGAGGAAAAGAACATAATTAGAAACTTCTCAGGTATTTGTAAATATATTTATTTGATATTATATATTTTTTAGAAAATATATTTCTTCTCTCAAATTGAGCAAATTGAATCCAAGGAGAATAAGAATTGAGAATTATATGACTAATCAAAAAAAAAGAAAGAAAATCACACACACGAATAAACTTCCACAGAACACAAATGTTGTGCCGGACGCAACTTTAGTGGACTTGCAAACTCGAAATTTGGTGGCTTTTAATGCGCAACAAACTGTTGAGATGTCGATTTAATGCATAGAAGAACTAAAAATTAAATTATTGTTGAAGACTAAACGATATTAAAAGAATAAAAAAGGTATTAGACTAGGAGAACAAAATATACAGCAAAAGCACACTTTTTGTAGCACCTTAAGAGAGAGAGAGAGAGAGAGAGAGGGAGAAAAGAGAGTTGAAGAGGAGAGAAAAAAGATGCAACATGAAATAAAAGTAATGAAATTGCAAATGAAAGTCTCGGCTGTTCTTTCTTTTACCATTTATATCTCATTATGTATATCCACAAATTATCAGAGGTGAGGACTGTCTAGCGTCCAGGCGCTCAACTAATTGGTAAAAGGGTTGCTCTTCTATCAGGGATGATGATGACTTTCAGTTGATGTTCCGCCTGTTCGTGCGGTTCTGCTTTCGATGTGGCTGCGTTGCGCTGTGCACGTGATTCGCACCATTGTTGTGCTCCTCCTTCGGTCCCGAGCCACCCCCAGAACCGCTGTGGGCTATCTTAAACAAGTAGATTTTCAGGTGGTCGCAAATTTCTAGGCAAACCTGCAGGACACAAAAGAAAAGCACTTAGGACAGATTCAATTTACGCATTTTGCTAGAGAAAAATTGCGAAAACAAGCAATTTTTTGCCGAAGTCATGGTAATTTAGGTATGTTTTTTAGCTTATTGTGACTTTTTGATCAGAAACATTGGAAATCAAACAATTTTTCCGTAGATTTCCAGTCAAAATTTTAACCCAGCAAAAGATTATTGAGGGGCAAAAGCCTCCATTCCCCAATGCCCAACTGCGCAGTGAAGGAAGCGAAGGCACTCACTTCCGAGCAATACTTGAAGAGGTCGAAGGTGCACCACGCCGTGGCGCCGAACAGCACCAGGCGCTCTGGCAGGAAGTTGTTGAAGTATTGATTGAGGAAGAGCATGAGTGGCCCGATGAGTCCCTTGTCCAGATACTCCAGCTCGCTCTTTGTCATGTGCGCCACCACGAGGCGGTTTGTCACCTTGGCCGCCACCATGCCAAACGTGATGATGTACAGCGACGGATACGTCTCAAACACGTCCTCGGTGGACTTCTGCGAGATGATGAACGCCGGCACGAGAATCATGGAAAAGGGGATGATCGGTGAGAGAACACTAGTGCCCTGCGAATTAGAGGGAGCGTCAGTTTGATCCCTTTTCACCACCAGATTGTTCAGCCGAACTCACAGCCACAGTTGAGCCATTCTTGCCCACGCCGCCGGCCAGAATCACCGAAAAGATCTGCACCAGAGACATCGAGCCGAGGATTATCGTGGAGAATGCCACAAAATACCAGAGTTCAATTCCTGCAATCTGGAAAGCAAAAAAAAAGCTCATTAGAAAAAGTCATAATAATAATAATAAACAATTCATTCAGTTGCGTCGCGGTTTAAAACAAGTTTATCCGTAAATCTGACTTCCTCCTAACACTTATGAATCTCTAATGCACCAATGTGTGGAGGAAGAATAGTTTTCCTAATAGAATAATGACGAATAAAGATTCATTAAGATCAAGTTTCATATTCAACAAACACATTGAAATCTGAAAAAAGTGTCCTGACTAAAATTTCCCTAATAAAAGTTATATGATTTTGACATGAAAATCCTCTTTAATTGACACATTTCCTCAATCTATTAGAATATTTATTATATTAGCGCTTTATCATGATTATTCTGAATATTCACATATAGTTTTCTGCTTAAAAGCTTTGTAATCAAGAAATTTGGTCTTGAAATCACATTCCTAAAATATCCCTGGTTTGTGTCTCAGATTTAATAACCTTGATTTGTGATTTTTCAAGTCCTTGATTTCTGGCATCAAAATTACTTCTTACAATCACAGATTTTCCGGGCATCAAGTGAAGTCTGGGGAGACATTTGCGGCAGAAAAACCCAGCTTGAACACCTCATTTCTAGGAAAGACAATGCAAAAGTCTCGTATTCAGCGTGTCATGACTTCAATCGGGGGCCAAGGTTGAAGGTTGAATTTATAATGTGTCATGAATAGCGGAGCGTTGTCTGAAATTCCTTCGCTCTCGCCCCTCAATGCTTATCAAACGGTGTGGAAGTGAGTTGGGAAATGCGCGCCCAGAAATCGTTCGATTTCTGACCAATAAAACTCCTGCGAAATCACCTCAATTACTTCACAAAAAAAACAAATCCCCGCAACACGCACCTTCCTTATCGCGCGCACTTCTCTCTCTCTCTCGTGGCAATTTGAGGGACAAGCAAATCAGTCATGGATGGAGAATTTATCAGAAAGTGTGGCGCTCAATGGATAAGTTTTGCTGAGAGGAGATGAAAAGTGTGAAAGAGAGATGGTGCGTGTAATAAAAAAGGGCAATAAAAGTGGTGTGATTTTCTCTATAGAGGGGAAAAAAAAATATCTCTTTCTGTGTCACTCAAGCGCCTCTGTGTGGCTTGAATTTCACGATGCGAAAGATTCTCTTTGCTAATGAATATTTAGAGAGATTAAATTGATTCACGAATCGCCGGTTGGGCCGAGAGTATTTGAAATTTTGGGGCAGCCAACGCTTGATGACGTTTCTAACCTCGAAAAGAGCTCACCTTCGTCTTCCACACGGACGCCCCGAAGATGCCTGATATCACATGAATGCCCATGATGATGACCTGCGCCTCCGTAACGTCGATCTTGCCGAAACGCAGCGTCCCCGAGACGTAGCACTGCCAGTGGGCGCAGTAGAAGAGTGTCATTGCACAGAAGCACTGGAAGAACATCCAGTAGGGATGGTGCCCGATCTGGACGGAGATGCACGCGGACAGCGCCACGAACACGGTGGAGATGGAATCGCAGCCGTGATCGAACAGCTCCCCGAGTGGACTCGAGGAGTTCGTGCGACGCGCTTGTTTTCCGTCGATGGCGTCCAGACTCTGGTAGGCGAACAGTCCCGCGGCGCAGAGGAAGCACGCCCACGCCGGCGGGTCGCCCTTGGCGTCTGGACTGTAGCTGCAAAGGGAAGTGGTCGATCAGCGCGCGCCCCTTACATAAGGAATATTTGGCACTCACAGAATCAGCACCAGCGCCGTCGCGATGTTCACCGCGAGGCCCACGATGGTGATGAGGTTGGGCGCCAGCGACATGGGGATCCTCCTGACCAGAAAGTTCCACCATGGCTGCAGGATGGGATCCAGTAGGCTGCTCGACTGGCAGGAATACTTGTGACTCTGCAGCCGCTGCAGCTGTGCATCTTGTAGGATATGATGCTGCTTGAGCTTCTTCAACATCTTCACAGTCCAATGTCCTCGCCACACAACCACTAATCCCTGCTCATAGCGCACTTGCTCGCCAAATTCGTACTTTTTCCACGCTCCGCGAGTTTCTCTTTTTGCACACCACGCAGATCGCGGCGACAGCACAGATGCGCGTGAAGTTGGCCGCGCCATGTGGAGGGACATTTCGTGGGACATTCTAGCAGAAAGTGCGAGAACGCGGGAAATTGCCACCATTCAAACACAACGGCCTTTTTGGATTATAATCATTTTATTATTGTTATATTAAAATTTTTCATTTGACTAGTATTTAAATTTATAAACTTTTTCCTCTTCTTTAGATAACGCGTCGCCGGAAAATAATGTGTATGTTGTAAAATACAATTGCTTATAATGCGTAACTGGCGAAAAATACAACATTCTTCCATCCGAAATTATTACAAAAAAAAGTATATAACAATTAGTTTTCAAATACAGGAAAATATTTTGTAAGTAGTTAAAAACTATCAAATAAACACTAGTTTTTGCTTTCTCTCTCTTTCACTTCCTCACCACTAAATTATAATATAATTCCTCTGATTATTCATCGGTTAACATTAATACATTTCCATAGTTTTCTTCCTCATCTTCCTTTCTTTCTTTTTATTTCCCTCACAAGAAAACCATACAGAAAAATCCCATTTCTTTTTAAGTACAACCCGAAGAAAAAATAATACACAAGAGAAAAATTAAAGATTAAATAATAATAAAACCTCTGTGGAATTTATCTACTAACTCTATTTCAATATTATTGTTGAGGATTTTCACACTCTTCGATGAATTCCTTCTTTCAATTATCTCAAACAGGCTACAATTCTTTGTATTGTGTAGAATTTCTTTCTCATCATCATCTCACACGGTAAAATATTTACCCTAGAAGAACATTCAGAAAGAGAAACAAAGGATATAAAAACCAAATCATCTAGAAAATGCCTATCCTTCCTCCTTGTTTATGTACAAAAACACCACCTCAGCGATTCACCCTCTAGCAATTTGATATCTCGCGCGAATAGTAATTGTATTCATTGAGCTTTGGCGAACACTGCTGCTGAATCGGAGGCTTTGGGGCTCGTTGTTTGCGCGACTCTCCAACTTTTATCGCGTATGCAAAATGATAAAAGAACGTGGGTTTCTCTCTCTCTCTCTTTCAATCGCACATAAAGACATTTATCATCATCTTTCTCGATTTATCAAAATGTACAAAGCACTTCTACGCTCTTATCTGTCACTAAAAAAAATATGCTTCTCTCCTTTATACATCTACACACGCACAAGCTAAATTATATGTTTGATAAAAATGGTCAGCGAGAAAATTTATTCGCTTGTGAATACATAAAAATGATTTTCATATGCAGAAATTAATGAGGAAGAAATTAATTACAAGTAATCTACTGTGAAATGTGTGAAAAAGGGGTCATTCAGCAGCCAATTTGACATTGACAGTTAATTTACTGTCAGCCTGACAGCTGTTCAATTCCCAGTTGCGATTCACATTGTTTAAAACGATCTTTTACATGTAATTATTATTAATAACTGGAATTACATAAATCAATTTAAGAAAAAAACAGATTTAAGTGCTACAAAATATGTCAAATGATTGTGTTCTAAAGTGCATTCTGTTCTTTTTTGGGGGTCTATTGGAATTAAACCATCAAACTAAGCACTAAAGTAGGTAATCTGAGAATATTTAATGACATTTCTAACTTCATTCAATGATTAGTGCATATTTATTTTAATTTAATCAACACTGTTTCTAACTGTGCTATTAACACTGATAAATCATTCGGAAAACTAAATAATCACTCTGTCGCAACTGAGAATAAACGATCCCTTTTCCGGAATTAAATCATAGCTATAAATGCCCTCGAGCTGATGAATAAGAAATAAAGAGTACAAAATAAGTCTTAAAACCTACTCCATATCATGCGCTCTCCATCATGCACTACTCGCTCAAAACACTCCTCCTGCCCTCAGAATTTCCCCCAAAGAAACAGAAAAAAATAAGTGGAATGTCCTGCAGCGAGGCCATCAACTCTTACATACCATTTGACGTTCTGCTCGTGTGGGAGCTCGCGTAGATTTTGGGGATGTTGGCGAACGGCTGCGGCCGCGGGAATTCCGTCACGCTGCGGAACATCACGGCGTATCGCGCCTCCAGATCCACCACCAGGCGTCCGTTACTCTCCACCGTCGCCGTCTCGCCGCCGTACGTCCCACTCATGCTCGTACCCGATGAATTCCTGATCGAGGAGTGCCTCTGTGGCGGCACTGGAGGAACATTGCTGGCGTTCTGTGGCGAAAAGAAGTCGACACACAATTAGCGAGTGACCGTGGCAAATTAGATTAGATTAGAGTGATAAAAGCCAGGTGAGATTATGGACAAATGAAGACAGAAAGCACACAAATTACATTGACTTGTCGCGTAACGGGTGGCGGAGGCGCTGGACATGTTCTATGAGGTGGCAATGGTGGGGCGACGCTGCCGTTCACCACCTTGGGCTCACTGGGCCGCGATAGCGTGCCCGCGAGTGGAATCTGCGTCTTCAGCTGCTCCTTCAGCGCCGACACGTTGTTCAGCGAAGACGAATTGGCCTGCGGATCAGCAATGGGCGTCGACAGCGATCCAGACGGCAGATTGGAGAGATTTGTATTGCTTACACTGCGAATTGGCGGCGGCGGAGGGCGGCTGGCCGGTGGCCGCGGTGGTGGAGCCACAGTCGGACGTCCTGCAGAGAAAAGAAACATCATTAGGCGCACCAGGCAGAGGTACATTGTCGCCTCGCGGACTCACCAGAAGGCCTTCCGTTGACGTGAATGGATTCTTGTGACTGGAATAACTGCTGCGTGCCCCTCAGCGTGCCAAAGTGACTCCCAGTGGGAAAGACAGGACCTCCCAGGTTCGATGGCGTCACCGGAGGTGATCTGGACAAAGAGTAGAAGCAGAACATCCATTAAATCCTCCCTTGGAGCACTCAAAAGTCACCACACAGATAAGGTGTTTCTTTTTGTGTATTCAGTGAAAGAGATCCTCTTCTACCATGTCTTCTCGAAAGTGATACAAATGGACAATAAATGTGGTTAAAACACTTAGTTTAGATTCCACTAAAGATCTCACGTGTCTCGAGTGGGCTCGAAAAAATAGTACGTTCCATCCCGGTTAAGGCGAAGCAGCATAAAAGATTATTTTTATCTATTAATTTCTCCAATTTCCAATCCTTACGCCATTGGCCAAAAAGTGCCTCTTTTCCCTGGACAGAAGGCTCATGGAAAAGCGCACACACAAACACATCACAAAGTGACAGATTCTCCAATACCTGGGTGACTTCATGCTGTGATGCCGCGCCACCGACTTCCCCACGCTTCCTGGCGGCGCTCCTGGTGGCTTTGGTGCCAGATTTGGCTTTCCGTGATTTGGTTTGTGCATCTGCTGCGACTGGCTGCCCATGTTGTTGAACAGCGACGACTTGTTGGCCACTGCGCTGCTTGAAATCACTTCCGTGGCCGCACTAGGATACCGTCTGGCCTCCGGAGAGTGCGACGGGGCGCTCCTCGACGCGTCACTGTCCGGAGGAGTCTACAAAGCGTCATAATCAATTAACCCACTTTATCACAACTTCTCCACATCATCACTCGGGCCTTACAATTGTGCTGGTTTTCAGCGGTGGATTCGGCGGAGGCCCACGATTGATCTTCAAATTGGCCTCCGTGACGCCCTTCTGCTGCTTCTGCTTTTTCAGGGTTAAATGCTTTGTGAGCTCAGAATTGAAATCCAGAGCTACAGTGTCATTTACCCGTTCGCTCCGGCTTCCATCGCTGTCCACCACGTCCTTCGCTGGCGACAATGGACTCACCTGTCCCGGTCCTGAAAGCATTTGCACAAGGAAATGAGATATTGCTCCCCAATTTAGCTCCTCCCACTCCGAAGCACCGCCCAAATAGATGAATCGACAGATAAAAGTGAAAGTATAGGATTTTCCTGGCTTCTTTCACCTCCAAATAGAAGGTAAAGATTTTTAATTTTTTTTTAATTGCTTCATTTCGAAGAAAATCTTCAGAAACATGCCATTAAAATTCATATGACGTCACCAGACATTTCCCAAGAGATTCCCACTTTACTATCGCTGTTTTCTAAAGACGTGTCGTCAGAAAAGTATTTACTTGTCAGCTAAAATGCACTGTTGGAATTAATTTAAAGAATATATTGATTAGAAAACTGAGGAAGTTCATGGAGGAAATGGCATAAAATCCTAATTGATCGTAGGCACGATATGAGCATTCTTTGCAAGTGCCGTGGAACTTAGGCAATCCTGCCCGTGCGTCTCTGACTCGTCAATCGTCGCTGGAGTGCCATTTGGCTGCTGTTATGACATCACTCCGTGTGGCTCACAATCATCGATGACTAATACGCGCCACAGAGACATTTGTGATCTCCTTGAGACGGCACAAAGGCCACACACATGGCCCAGAAAAGGCCCCCCAGACGCGATCCCTTTGTTCTGGCCCGCGCGCCGAGGCGCTGCTCTCTGTTCCCCGCCCGGAAGTAGCTCACCTCTCGATCCCACGGGTTTTAGCTTTGGCATTGACGACATTCCCCCGAAGATCCCCGCCAGCTTTGGCGCGTCGTCCGGCGGCTTGCCCGCCGCCCTCACTGGGGCACCCGCGTCGCTCACGAGTTTGCCCGCGATCGCGGGCCCGCTCTTGTCCACAGTCACGGTCTTCTTCAGCTTCGTGCCCTTCTGGATGGACTGCAGAAGGGCGCTGCGCGCGTCCCCGCCCCCGCTGCTGCCACCCAGCTTCGCGATGGGCGCTGGGGGCGGCGCGGGTGGGGCTGGTGGCGGAGGCACGGCCATATCACTGATACCAACACACACGGAACTCCAGTCCACACTATCTCTTCCGACGTGGGCGTTGCTGTGCACTTCCGCCCGCACACTACGCACTCAGCATTGCGCCACGGTGTCCACGGGGGCGCAGGCCAGCTGGGCCAGTGGGCAGCTTGCGCCAGGCGAGGCACGGAGTGTCTTTTTTGGCACTTTCACTCAACTGCGTGATCTCGCCATTGGAGTCACGGAAAACACCACGTACACGCGATAATCGCGAAGCCCCTCGATCGTCGGGTCACACAGCACACGACACGCGTCACAGTGAACACTAAATGGCTGTTTATCAGTGGATTTTGGGGATTTTTCACAGCATTTTTGCCCTTTTTCCGCACAGAAGATCTCCCAAATTGCACTGACAGCCAAGCAACGACGTGAAGAGAGCCGAACGTGCGTCGTGGGAAAAACTGCTAGAACGACAAATGGCAAGGTCAGTGACCGTTGGAGATTTGAAGATTGGTCAGCTTCATCAGCAATAGTCGTACTTTACGGGAATATATTACTTTGTATTTTGCTAAAATGGCAAAAAGACCTTTGTCATGCTGCTTTGAGGTAGAGTTGCTTCCTGATAGCATCCGAGAGGAGCTTTGCCACATTTGTTGGCTCACCGGAGCTCGTCTTCTCGCTGAAGGGAATCAAGACAAATGTGTCACGACACTCCGGAACGGAGTTTAGCAGGCGCTCCAAGGTCTGGTGGAACTTCGCGACGACTTCTCGAGAGCAGCTGTTGGTGATCTCGTCCTGACGGCAGCTTTCCAGGAACGTGAGCAGAGGCGTTGCGCCTTCGGCCACCACGTAAATTTTCTGTGGCAGGAGCTGGTACACGGTGTTGGTGTACTGGCGACCAGTGATGCCGGCGCGATCGCGCAGAGTGTATTCCAATCTTCCGATCATCACGATGTCGTCTGACATGTCGGACAGACGGGGTGGGAAGTAGAGATCATTGGGAATGAGCAGGAAGAGCTTCTTCACGGGAATCTCAATGCCTTCGTTGGACTCGAAGATTTCAATTCTTTCCACCAGACCCATGTTGGCGTCTCCCCTGTTGGGCAGGATGATATTGAGGTAACCGTGAAAGAAGCTATACGCCATGTTCGTTCCGCAGTCCAAACCGCGAAGAGTGCGCAAGGATCTCATGTTGGCGAGGGGTGAGCCTTCGTAGTGCCACCGGAAGAAGCAGTACAGGAGGCCAAACAGCACCGGTTTGTATATTTCTTCGCAGGGATTTCCGAAGTTTCCCGTGTAAAAACTCCAGAAGAGTTTTAGACCCAAAATGCTGAATGACCAGGAACTCCTGGTGAATACAAGCTGAGCCACTTGCAGTATCCCATTGTATCTCTCACGATGGTAAACTGTCTCAAAGGCAAAGTGAATTCCTCGCCAGAGGATGTCACCAAAGGCTAAGGATATCGCTGAACTATTCAGGAGGTTGATGACACCTGAAAATCACTCAATCTGTAAGTCTTCTCCCACACAATTTTCACACTTAATTGAGAGAAAAAGATCCACAAGCCACTAACCTTGCATTTGGAACCGGAATATGTGTGGTTTCCATGCGATAAGGCGGAAAAATAGGCAGTTTCCAGAATACTCCCGACTCCATGCAACTGCTAGAAAAAGACTGACTCGACTGTCAAATGGCATTGTCAACATTGCCAACGCGTTTGCCCTCGAGAGCCCAATCGCTGTTTCCCAGGCTTCCGCGTCGTTTTCCTCGCCGCGACTGGCCGTAGTGATAAATAATGTGACAATAGTGACTGCGGAGGCAGTGATGAGTCCACTCCACACCATGGAAGCGCCAGCGAATGCGACGTTCCTCAAGTACTTCGGAGATTCCCTGGGTAAGGTCACCACTGCACCTGTTCTCATCTGCTTCGCACGCACTTCCCGTCCCGGGAAACCTGGGCAAGGTCACCACGCTGACTCTCACCCTCCCTTGCAGGCCAATACATCGATCTCGATTACTCAATATGGCTCTACAGGCTTCTAACGCCCCTCGTCATCACCTTCATGCTGCCACTGGTGTTCGTCGGACTCATTTATTTCACCTCAATCTTCCTCTACATTTACAAACTGCACAGGTAATCCGGGAGTGCACGGACTCATGGCGGGCTCCGCCTCGGGAATTGCGTAGATCTCTAAGCAAGCACAACACTTCAGGTTTGGTGGGCATCAGCAAAAAATGATGATTGTATTTATCTAAGCGCTCTCAGCGCGACATAGCAAAAAACAGCCTATGATAAGAATTCCGCGCATTTCAGTCCCTCTTCGGCTCAGACAATGAGTCAAAGCTGTGCTTGGACAGCGATTGACGCTGTTTCCTTTGTTCCAACAGCATGACTTACTTAGAATTAATACTTGCCTGCAACGCATGCATTTCGCTACACTGGAAAAAATCTATGCGAAAAAGAATTACCAACTCTTAATCATCACTTTCTTAAGGCTTCGCTCATTTCCTCATTTTCCATTCAACTCATTCAGCATAGACTAAAACCGGGTTGAGTTAGCTTCAGTTCTACTTTTTGAGCTTATTTATAATAATTAACGTGCTTGAGAGACGCGGCTTAAGTCGAGAAGAAACTAAACCAAGATTAAGCTCGAGACTTAACACACTTTGTCAATCACAGAACATCCTTTGCTATGTTTTTCTGGTGATATTTTCATTGTACTGTTTATGTACTTTTCAAATAACAAGTTATCTATGAATTCATGCATATGGAATGAAAGACCGTGAAAAGTGCTGCTTATGACGCAACTTTTGTCGCTTTTCACGTAAATTTGGTAATATTTACGATTTTGTAGAAAAAAAACATTCAAACAACGCTTGTAAAAACTTCTTCAAGTGGATGTTTTATAGCTGAAAATACATTAAAACTCTATGAATTTACACAGATTCTCGATTAGGTGCTTTAAAGACGGTATATTTGAGGTCTGAAATTTGTAAGAAGTCAATATACTGAAATTGTTAGCTATATCGCTTCCAGTTGCTTAAATGTAGCTTCAAAACAGGCAATACAAACGAGGATTAAACGTTGAATTTCTCTTCTTCGCAGGCGAATCATCATGCAAGCTGTGTCCAGCGATCTGGACTTCTGGGACGTGGGCAGGAAGATCGTGTCGGCAGTGTGGGACGCGCACGCGTGGCTGTATCACGGCTATGAAGTGATCGGGCTGCACCATCTGCCCCAAGATAGCCCGGCGCTGATCGTGTACTATCACGGCGCCGTGCCAATTGACATGTACTACTTTGTGGCGCGCGTGCTCCTGGCCAAGAACCGCCTCATCTACACGGTGGCAGACAGGTTCCTGTTCAAAATCCCCGGCTGGGGCATCATCAGCGACGCGTGCAAAGTGAGCCCGGGCACGATTCAGTCCTGCACGGCGACACTGCGCGACGGCAATCTGCTGGCCATCTCGCCGGGCGGCGTGTATGAGGCGCAGTTCGGGGACAACTGCTACGAGCTGCTGTGGAAGAACCGGATAGGCTTCGCCAAGGTGGCGTTGGAGGCCAAAGTGCCCATCATTCCCATGTTCACGCAGAACTTGCGCGAGGCCTTCCGCTCCGTGGGAATCCTGAAGCGCTGGCTCATCAAGTTCTACAACGCCACGCACATCCCCGTGCGCCCCATTTACGGGGGCTTCCCGGTGAAGCTGCGCACGTTTCTGGGGCCGCCCATCCCCTATGATCCCAAAATGTCGCCCGAGGAGCTGAAGCAGCGCACAGCGTTCGCCATTGAGGAGCTGATCAACAAACACCAGCGCATTCCCGGCGGCATTTTCCACGCCCTCCTGGATCGCTTCAGCTTCCTGCGGAAGCGGCGGGCGAGCGACTGAGACTTATCGAATTTTCCTTTGAGACTCCGTGTGTCTTTATTTTGCAATTGCTGTAAGATAGCGCGTGAAGGCATCTCCTCGCCGGCGTATTAGTGCGAGAACCAGCGGCGGCGTGCGAGCTCGGCAGCGAACACAGCAAAGCTGAGGCCGTAGCCGTACATGAGGACAATGAAGGCGCCCTGGAGGTGTCTCACACTCAAGACAGTCCGTTCTATTCCTGTATTTAAGAGGAGATTCCTTCACTACTTTATTGTATTTAAATAAACCTGATATACACTCACCGGCGCCGTTCTGAGTTCGGATGTTCCACAGTATCGTGTTATTGTACATGAAGTCCCCGTACAGCTTGAACATGACGCCGGCGTCCTTAAGCGTGCTGATAATGTCGTTGATATCGAGCAGTAAGGGAAAGCCTGAGGGGGAAATGATTTTATAATCTTCTCTGTCAACTGTTGGGATTGTGCGAAAATGGAGTTGAAGTTAACCACTTCAGAAAGGGTGAGTTAAGGTATGTTTAAATCCATTTCCCATCTAATGAGAATGCTCAAAATTCTCAACTGTCTTGTGGACAATTTCAGGGATTTTTTGTTCTCCTTGAAGAGTTAGAAAAGCGAATTGGCGAACACTTTTCATCGTGTTGTTGCGCCTCATTTTACCAATTTACCTTTGGACGTGATAATTTCCATTGGATTGGAAAAGACTTTGTTCGGGAAGCCGTAAATCATGTTCTCGTAGTTGTTGCTGAGGACGAACATGCGATTGGCCAGGAGGATCTGCTTTCCGTCCTTCACGCGCTTAAGATTCGCGATGGTGGGCAGAAAATTGGCGGAATGATTGTAATTCCGGAGGATCGCCTTGTCCAGGGGCTCATCGTTCTCGAACCAGTCCATGTACTCCAGGCGGCCTCCGTAGGGCAGCCCCGAGGCGATGATATCCTCTGGCGAATCGATTTGCTCGTCGTACACGGTCGTCGTGAAGACCGTGATGAGCTTCGAGGTGTAGATGGTGCCGATATTGAGGGCGTAGAGGGCGAGGCTGAGGAAGATGATGCGGAGCGGGATGAATCTGGGACGGTTGTTGGCGCTGATGCCCAGCAGGACTTGCCAAGCGTTGAGGAGACACAGAATGGGCAGTTTGTGGTGCTGATCCTCGCGCGGAGACTGTCTGCCGAGGACGAACCAAACTGTGCCGGAGCAGATGAGTGAGAAGATCAGCAGGAGCCACGTGGTGGGCAGGAAGATCACGATGAGGCCTTTCCAGGCGGCTCGAGGCTCCGCTAGAGGCACGTACCACGTGTAGCTGTCGGCCAGGTAGGGCACCGACTGACCGAAGTCCACGAGATCGTTGTCGGGAAAAAAGGCGCCCACCAGCATATCACACTTCCTGTCCACCAGTTCTGCCAGGAGGTCTGTTGCCGTTCCGTCTTCCACCTCGCCGCGGGCCATGTTCGTGCAAACAACTTCCATGTCGAATTGCATCCGAGTTTGAATGATGTGCATCATTGTAATCTCCACTCCAGTCGCGCAGCCTTCGTCCACAAACGGCGGCGCCACGGTGCAGCAGAGCTTCAGATGGCAATCATTGAGGGTCATTGCAGTGGTCTCCAGAGATTGCTGCAGCAGGAGCTGCTGCGTGGGAATCTTTCCCTCGCTGCAAGTATCCAGCGCCTGGGCGATGACCAGTGCACATTTCCCATCGTCGCTCCTTTGGAAGAGTTTGCTCCTGAAGAACTGGTAAGTCATCAATCCCGTGGAGTAAGCGTACATCACGTTGCTGATATCGAACTTATCGTACAACTCCCTAAAGAACGCCTCCACGAATTTCGTCAGATTCTCATCCATGGCCAGAGTTCTGGCGCTGTTGAAGAGAATCAGGAATTTACCCTTGGAGTTCCAGGTAATCGTCTTCCTGAGTATTTTCTTGATGTATCTTGACACTCTTGCATTGCTATCCGTGACGATGACGTAGTAATCAGAGGGAATGGATGGCTTGAAGTCGTCCTCATTGAAGTCCTGCTCGAGAACATTCTTGTCCGAATTGACTCGAATGACGCTATCCGTAAAGAATTCCTCCTCCACCAGAGCATTGGCGATTTTAGCAAATTCCACGTTAATCTCCCGCGCTGGACTGGAGAGATTCGTCAACTGAACAACGGTGATTGACTTCGTTCTCAGCACTCGAGCTTCCTGGAAGTAGAAACTGGCGATGCTCTTGATACACTCAACACCATTCCTCCATGTCCGCGGCCCTTTCATACTCCTGCTCCGCAGATAAACCACACCGTTGATCCTCAGGAGAATCCCCGCGAAAACCACTCCCAAGAATAAGCACTTCATCCTCACAAAAATCACCATCAAAACTGGTGCCCAGTCAATATTTCGTGCAGAAACATTTCGTGACTCGCTCAACTGTGCAATTAAATCCTCAGGATGAGTCCTCAATCGTGGGCTTTAAGCACACTGAATGATTTCAGTCAGGAGTATTTCATTCACCATTTGATTGCTTAATTATTTCGAGAGGGAAACCGTAGAATTTTCGTCATTTGAGGATATTTCTTCACAAGACTGGATGGAAATTCAAGATTTCCCGTTGTGTACGGAGAAAATTTACACTTAAATATGTCTGAATATTTTACTTACTGTACTATATAACACAAAATGGGGCTATTGCAATTTGAGTTAAAAAATCATTTTTTAATGTAAATTTTCTTCTGTGAACGCACGGATTCTGGACGGGACATGCGTGTGGGCGTGGCTTAAACAATATTTAAAGCAAATATCTCTTTTTCAAAATTGTTTTTGCATTGACTTTGGGTTTGCAAACTTTGATCACAATTCTTTTGATGGTGAAAAACCCCTTCGAGGGGAGAGACACCCCTTCGAAAAAAGGAGAGTTTCACTGGAAAACCCCTTTGAAAGTACTGTTCTCAAAGGAGACTTGACGAATCCTCCCTCAATTCTCCTCCAAATTCATCCTTTTTGAAAGAGGGGAAAATCGCGCGCATGCGTGGAAAAATTCTGTTGTAATGACAATTTCCCCGCCGAGAGAGAGAGAATTAACGTGTTGAATTGTGCTTCTTGGATGCTGTCTCTGGAGGGCCAGAATCAGTGTTGAGTCTTCATCTTTGGCGCGCGGATGATGCCCCTGAGGATTGCTGGGCACAACAGCTGGCCATCGGCGGTGACAGTGTGATGCAGCGGAGAGGATTTCAGTGCTGGATCATGGATTCATGCTAAGGCTCAGCCGAGGATCGGCAATGGTGACGATTGCTCAGCTCTTCCCCATCGTGATTCTGTGTCTCGCCAATGCCCAGGAGGCGCCGGAGGATCTGGCCAATGTGACAGTGATTCAGGGTGATTTCAATGTGTCCATGGAGGACGGCGTGCTCAGTGATCTGGTGCCCAGAGTGCCGGACGAAGTGCTCCTGGAGAGTGTGATTCAGGTGAACGCCAGTGATTATCGCGATGGTGACTTTGGTGATTACCTGAACGCCAGTCAAGTGGTTGAGGAAGTGTCGAGTGCCGCGCCCGATCCCAAGACCTCCGCTTGGCCCATCAAACACGCCGCCATCGTGGAGGGTGACGTGGTCCTCGGTGGTCTCATGATGGTGCACGAGCGCGAAGACTCCGTCACGTGTGGCCCGATTATGCCGCAGGGTGGGATTCAGGCCCTCGAGGCCATGCTTTACACATTGGACCGCGTCAATGCCATCAATCTGCTGCCCAACATCACACTGGGCGCACACATTCTCGACGACTGCGACAAAGACACCTACGGACTCGAGATGGCCCTAGACTTCATCAAAGGTGAGTCGCATTCCACACTTTATCACCTCCGTATTCCACTGCATTCGTCCTAAGTCTCTCTGATTTACGAGGGACTGAGTGCGCTCATCCATCTGGGGGATTATGCAGAGGATTTCCTGCGGTGTTTAGAATATTGCAGGCTTCTAGTGTTTTGCAAATAGCATCTTATTTCATCAGGCTGCAAATGTTGATCTCTAAATCCTCTTGAGAAAACATCCTGGGTTCAGTTGCTGAAGACTCAGTTTTACTGATTCAATAAAAGTGATTTAATGGATTTTATTATTTTATTGTTGAATAATAGCACAGCATTCACCATAAATTTTGACGGTGGAGATTCATTAATCACATGAAATCAAGATATTATGCATGAGAAATTATCAGAAGTTAATACTGAATCTTCAAGCTATCCCAAGAGAATATCCTAACTAAAACGTCATCGAGGAAATACTCTGTGAAGAGCCTGATTTTCTACACTCGGACTTCTTTTAAGCAATCAGCATGAAACTTTAAATCGCATTCATCAACAACTCATGAAATTCATTAGTCAATCCTTTCGGACGAAATATTCGTGTTTTTCAGAAAAGGCACGAATAATTTGATAAAATCGTATATTTCTTTCTGACAATTATTATTAAGTTTAATTTTGTTCAGATCACTATAATTAGGCTGGAAATTCACAACGTGTACTTTTGAACTTAAATCGTTTCTGTCTGATTCCTGAACCACTTTGTGCCACAATTTAAAGTTGTATGGAAAAAGGATTTCCATTTAAAATATTTTCTACAAAAAGCATATTTTATAAAAGCCAACTTAAAAAGTACTCTTCCACAATTTTATATAAATCCACCAGTATTATTAGCTATTGTATTGCGTTGCGCTAAGTAAAAGTGCTGTGCAAAACAGCAAACGAAAATTCCATGGAATTTTCTATCACTAAAAGGTTCTTCGCTGCTTTTAAAAATCCTCTGAAGAGAGTAAAAAGAAACTCCAATTGAAGTCATTTTTCTGCGGTTTTTCACCTTGAACTTTGGTGTAAAATCTACTAATTCATTCTAAAAGTTTTCCCTGTGACTTTTCACAACCCATTTTAATCCCCCAAATGTTGAAATGTGTAACAACAACACTTTGAGTGCCAGTGAACTCTCTTGCTGATCTTATTTCTAAATGTAATTTCATAGTCTCGTTTGCCATCTCATGATCGAAAACTAAATGAAATTTGGCAGTTTTGTCAAGACAAAAAAGCGTAATTGTGACAAATTCCTCGACAAACTCACGTTGAGAGTCCTCTTTTCAGGTGAGAGATAAATTATTGTCATGCTTCCACGCGTGGGTTTGTTCACACCGGAAAAAGGGTGTTGGAAAAATGTTTTCCACGCTCAAATTGTCACTAATTAAAAGTGTGTATATATTTAAATTGTCTTCAGGCATATATTTGCGAGGCCAATTTGAGTGCAATTCGTTGTAATGTGCGCACTGAGAAAAAAATGAGCAATTTTAAAATCAAATATAATTTAGTCATTGAGCACTCGATAAATTTAACTGAATTTTTGGAATCCATGTATTTCATTCCATTTTCAATTATGAGTTCAAATCAAAATGCAAATAATTCATTGATAAAACTAATGAGGTTTTCATGTGGAAAATCAAACGATTTATCTCAATGTTTTCATTAAATGTCAGCATATTTCAATTTATGATGAGATTTATGGAATTCATGTCGTGATATTGAGTGAAAATCAACACAAACTGAGTTATTGTTTATGAGAATAAGGTACAGAGTAACTTAATATAGGAATTTCTCAAGGAGAGATAATTAGGGCAGAAGGCAGAATGTCAAGAATTGTCTCTCAAAAGGTGGATTAATATTCTATTTCTCCTTACGCAGTTTCACGAGAAAAATATCCTCTTTAAGCGAAATTACTTCACATCTAATACCATGTATTTATTAATTTACTGAGGCAGGATTTATTGATGAGCGCCAAAAAGAGATTTATAGTAATTTGTGGTACAATTCATACTTAATTTTATTGCTGTCTTCCAAGATGCCAGAGATACTCTTTTTATGCCCTAAAAGTCCTTTAAATATTTATTTCCGCGCACACTGCGCCATCTGGTGAATGTTTTGAGAAGGTATTTCGAAAGGGGAGGTCTATTCGAGAGGTATTTTTGTCCTGAAACAGGATTCTCTTATATCTCTTATCTCCAAAAACTGTTTGGTACACATTGAGGATCTCTGCTAAGTCTTTCTGTCGCACAGCTCTTGTATAACAGTTCAAATATTTGAATTGATTGCAGGGGAAGGGACCACTTCCTCCCCTGACTGCGATGTACGCAGCCTGATTTCTCCTGGTTCGCAACTGTCCTGCGCTAATCCAGAGTAACTCTGGGACAGAATGCGGGGAAGTGTCCTGCGAGGAATTTTAATTTGTGCCAACTGTATTACAAAGTAATCGTCCTCGAGTCGTTATCGTGTAAACACGTAAATTTTCCCGCGCTTCCCCAAAAATCCGTGATGAACTGAATGGACACTTGGTAGCATTTCATTCTCAAGAGTGCGTGGTTCTTCTGAATATGCTGGAGGAAAATGAGGATATCCACGATGAAGTGTTCAGTGGTGGTGATTAAAATGTGGAAGGATCGCTTCAAAGGCCATCGAATTGAGTGAATTGTGCGTGCCGTGCCCTTTTGTGAGACGCTCCCCAATGATTGGATCTCTCTCACACTGAATTCACAGCAAAGCTGTGCGGGCAAATCCGTTTTCGCGTGGGTTTCCGGAACTTTCTCAGGCGTTAGAAAGAGTTTCGAAAGTTTTTCAAACTTCGAAACTTCATCATACTTATCATAGGTCATTTGCAAATTATAGCTGGCTAGTGAAACTTTTCTCACACTTTTAACTATAAATACGTTCCAAATTGTCGCACGGGCAATTTTGGGTGTCTTTAAGAAAAGTTAAAGGACGAGGAACTTTTACAACAAAACTCGATTTACTCAAGTGAACTCAATTAACAATCTGTGGACATAATTTGGGATTCTCTTGCTCAAAATATATTTGGAACTCCAAAATTTCTATTTCCGTATTTTGATTTCAACATATGACATTAGTTTAAAAAACTTTCTAACGAATTCAAAGATCATCGATATGGGATAATTATGGAAATGAAAATAGAACAAGAGTTGTTCTTGTCACATCTTTGCCTTTCACGTAAATTCCAATTGATATGATTTGAAATTTCTATGCTTTCATTAAATAATTGAAATGCCCGAACGCATTTGCTCAACTGAATTCAGTGAAGTGAGAAATCAAGCAATAACATTTATCCCGTTCACATCTCAGAATGTTGCTCATCCTCACGATATTTCCGGTGTGCTCCGGAACGACCATGTATTTAGTGAATCGCTTGTGATTCTGCATTGAAAATCCCTCGCAGTGCTGAACAGTGCGTTTCTGTGAGGATGTGGAATGACGGAATAGCACGCAATGGTGTTCTCAGTTTACTTCTCCTCGTCAATTTTGAGTTTGTGGCGTCTCAGTGGCCAGGAAATGGGAGTCTGCTCATGCCAGGAGATGCATTCTGGTGGGACAATGGCTACTTCACTCACCATGTGCGCCACAAGCACAAGAGACACTTCCACCATCACTTGCACTTGGATCCCGAGGACTTCCAGCGGTCTGGCCATTTTCACGTGGCCTCCGTGATCGAAGAGGCGCCCAGTGTGCCCGACACCAGTCCACCGCCCTGGCCAGTGAAGCGCGAAGCTGTGGTAGAGGGTCAGGTGATCCTGGGCGGGCTGATGATGGTGCACGAGCGCGAGGACAACGTGACGTGTGGCAAGATAATGCCGCAGGGCGGAGTGCAGGCCCTCGAGGCCATGCTCTACACCGTGGACAGGGTAAACCAGATGAAGCTCCTGCCGAACATTACTCTGGGCGCGCACATTCTTGACGACTGCGACAAAGACACATACGGACTCGAGATGGCTCTCGATTTCATCAAAGGTACAGAAGCACATGCGGAAATGTGGGAAATTAGCAAAGTTTCCCATCAAGAGCGCGCAGATGGATACTAATCTGTGCGGGTTTCCGTTGCGAACCACTGCGGTTTTATCGAGTGGAAATTTTCAGAAGAAGTTCCTTTAGAGCTGACATTGCAATTTTACTCCCTGCGAAAAGTCATTCAGGAAGAACTTGAAGCAATGCTTGAGGACATTTTCCCCGTGAAAATTCTGTCTTGGCACACATTTTCTATGGCAAGTAGCGAAGATTACATGCACAAGTCTTCAAACTATTAAATAGAGGAGAGAAGGGCAATTTCAGACAGATCCTTACATATCTTGTTTTTTGTAAAGCCCAACATAGTTTTACCCTTCAAACGTTCAGTTTTTATTTCAGTGCAAAGCATACAAGATATCCTCATGAAAAGTGTATTATCAATTGAAGACGGAACTTCTGTAGAAGCGTTGTTAAAGTTTCATAGCTGAAAATCTGCTGCGAGAAAGTTTACTTGTGAAAATTATACCCCAAGAGTGGATTTAAAGTTATCCCCGGAATTCTCCACAGCAATTCGACTTCATTGAAAAGTTTTGCGTTGCATTGCTTCTCACTAAATCACTGACGTCGATTTTGGTAATTCTGCCCTCCTCAAGTGTTATGGAAAGCACGTGTTTTGGAATCGTTTTTCTTGATGTAAATGACGAGGGTGGAGCGCATCTTCGCCTGCTCCTCCCACGATTGCTCATATTTTAAGTCGCACAGCTGGTAATTCTTAGATAAGTTAGCCCACTGGTCTGGAAAATTGCCTTTCCAGCGCGCTAAATCATATCTTACTGAGCAGACCCTAAATCACCCGCGCAATTTAAGCTCACACACAATGTCCCTTGTCGCCTGACCTCACACTCTTCGCCAGGCTCAATCAGCAACATCGACGGGGCGGAGTACCACTGCAACAAGTCGCAGGTCCGGAAGGTCATCTCGGGCGTCGTGGGCGCCGCGTCCTCGGTAACTTCCATCCAAGTGGCCAATTTGCTCAGGCTCTTCAGGATTCCGCAGGTGAGCAATTGTACTTCATTTGTGGGAAAAATCATAACATTCATCATAATAGTTTGTCTGTGTAATTAGAAATCATTTTCTGTTCTTTCTCTTAATACCCAAGGCAAAATTGCAGATACCGTAGAATATTTTCAAGATCAATACAGAAAATGGTTTTTAGGAAATAACGAGTACTGAAAGTTGAATTAATTTATTATCTTTTCTCGTTATGCTCCAATTACTTGACCTATGTAAGAGTTTATAATTATTCTGAACATTCATGACTTTAATTTGCATATATAAATCGCGAGCCGTAAAAGAATTGTTCAATAATTCCGTGGGCATTCCTTTTGCATATCCTTCACATGCAAAAACTTTTGAAAGGCTTTTGAAAACAAAGTCGCAAAAATATGCGGAGAGTGTTCTATACAACAATTAAAATGATTGTGTAGAAAAATAGAAAATTCTCAGGTTCTATAAGATTTTTCTATAAATTTGTTTTAAACTGCTGAATCGTATACCTTAAGAGTGATAAAGATTAGTGACCGAACTGCCCTCGCTCTTCCCTAAACTGAATGGAAAATTCCCTCTCAAAAATTTCGTTATTCTCAGATTTATGTTTCTTCCTGGAACACTCGTCGAAGAAGACAATTTCCTTCTCCTTCAAGAAGAAAGCAGCGAGGCATTGTGTTGTGCTCAATCCTAGAATTTAATTTTCCCACAAGACTCCTAGCCATTGTAATCCAAGCTCATCTTGTGCTTATCCTGCATTCGTCTCTTAGTCCACCTTCTTAAAAAGCTCTCACCAAATCGTTGCACTTCTCCTGCAAGGAAAAGTCTGAAAATGAAAATTGAGTATCAATTCCACATTACAGCACCCTATTTTAATTCCATTTCCAATTCAATTACTTTAAGAGAATGGCATGCGGGGAGTGTCTGGCCGCAAGAAAAAAAAAGCGATGGAAGCAAATAAATGCTAAATATCCTCTCTGCGAGCTCCTTGGGGTTGGCAAACAATTGAAAGCCGAATATGGTGGGTGGAATATCAAATAGACTTTTATGACTGGGGAATGGACGCCCACGTGAAGGCTGGCCGGATTAAGCGTCTCGGACCAAATTAAAGTCCACAATCAGCATTTATGGGAGAGTGTTTTTTTCCGCCAATTCGCAAACATCCTTCATGGGCAATTGATTGAGAAATAGGAGCTCCGTAATGGGTTTCCTCTCGAGTGTTTGCTAGAGCAAAAATTTATGGGTGAAAGCTTAACTGCTCTCTGAAGGCGTCCAATTAATTGGCATGAATTACAGGTGTCCTTTTTCTCTACGAGTCCTGAGTTGAGCAACAAGCAGCGCTTTGAGTACTTCTCACGAACGATTCCCTCGGATCACTATCAAGTGAAGGCGATGGTGGAGATTGTGCGGAGAATGGGCTGGAGCTACATCTCCATCATCTACGAGGAGAGCAATTATGGCTTGAAGGCGTTTGAGGAGCTCGAGGATTTGCTGGCCAAGCACAACATATGCATTGCCGTGAAGGAGAAACTCTCCAAGGATTCCGGAGTGGCGCCGGATGCCACATATGACATGATCGTCAATAAACTACAGACAAAACCGCGAGCTAGAGGTAAGAAATTTTCCAAGAGCAAGACAAAGAATGTCGGAATGATAAATTGTACCCAGAAATTAGGGATGAAGTAAAAAAGAACACGTAATACAAAGTAAATTCATGAGAGGGCGGGGCATATGAATGGGCAGAGTTTCGAATATTTATATATTGAAACTCTTGACATTTAGGCGCCATCATCTTTGGGTCTGACCAGGAAGTGGCTGGTGTTATGAAGGCTGTTCGTCGCAACAATGCCACGGGATTGTTTTCCTGGATAGGATCGGATGGCTGGAGTGCCAGGAACTTGGTGTCCGCCTCAAACGAGGCTGAGGTGAGATAGAAGGGATTCGCAATTGCAGCATCAGTGTTTTAAACTCTGTTCCTCAGGTGGAAGGCACGCTTTCGGTTCAACCCCAAGCGAACCCCGTCAAGGGGTTCGAGGAGTATTTTCTTGGATTGACCGTCGAGAAGAACAAGCGCAATCCGTGGTTCGTCGAATTCTGGGAAGATCACTTCCAGTGCAAGTATCCCAACAGCTCACGGACGCCGTTCAACAAGGGATATGCAGATCCTTGTAACCGCACGAATATGCTGACCAAGAATGACACGGACTTTGAGGATCAATTGCAGTTCGTCAGTGACGCTGTTATGGCCTTCGCTTACGCTCTGAGGTGAGACTCTATGCAAATTGTACGCCAACAGCTCATGAATGGGTTGTTCTTCTGCAGGGACATGCACCAGGACCTGTGCAAGGGAAAGCCAGGACTTTGCGACGCCATGAAACCGACGAAGGGCGCGGAGTTGCTGAAGTACTTGAGGAATGTGGAATTTGAAGGTAATGTGAGGAAATGTTCAGTTGTTTAGTCAGAGATTCAGAGGATTGTTGATTGACAGGTCTCTCGGGGGATCAGTTCAGATTTGACCAGAATGGTGACGGACCGGCGAGGTACAACATAATCCACTTCAAGCAGACCGAACTGGGCAAATACAAGTGGATAAAGGTTGGCGAATACTACGAGGGTGAATTGAGAATCAATATGTCAGGTATGGAGAGTAATTAATCAAATTGCACCACAGATATTGAGCGATGTATTGAGTGCCGGATAAAATACTCTCGTGCACTTTTCCATTAGGGTGTCACTTAATAATTCACACTCCCATTGACCCCATACTATCAATAAAGTCATTTCGACACTATGTGTTGGGGAAAGACGAGACAGAGAAAGTGAGAGAGAGAGAGTGGCAAAGGAGAGGCGGATGATTGATGCAGATGCTCGTGTTTATCGCCGCTCATCTCATCAAATTGCCGTAAACATTTGCAGATGTGCAGTTCAAATTGGATCAGCCGAAGCCGCCGGAGTCCGTTTGCAGTTTGCCGTGCGAGCTTGGCCAGGCGAAGAAGTACGTCGAGGGTGAAAGTTGCTGCTGGCACTGCTTCAACTGCACACAGTATCAGGTGAGGATGTGGCACGGCAATTTTGAGCTCCATTTCACTCTGTGCGCTCTCCTCCAAATCAGATTCGCCATCCGCACGACGAGACGCAGTGTCTCATGTGCAAGGAGGGCACCATCCCAGATCGCAACAAGAAGGTTTGCGAGGAAATCCCTGAGGTGTTCCTGCGCCCAGAGTCCGGATGGGCCATCGGCGCCATGGCGTTCAGCTCCACGGGAATGCTGATTACACTCTTTGTCGTGGGAGTCTTTCTCAGGTATTTCCCAAATGGTTTTCCCAGTCAATTCAACAATACAGTGGTTGTCAGTGAAATTAATCATCACAAGATAAAATCTGTTCTGAAGATAAAGTTCAATGCTTGGTTAAATGATACAAAATACTTAAAATCAATTTTCTAGATGAATTAATAAAATTATTCTAATAAATAGAAAAGGATTTTAAGACATTATTATACAGGGAAAAATTTCTCTATAATGAAAAACAGCAATGTTGTTCAATTAGCAAACGGATTAAGGAAAGTGACGGAAAAATGTTTCGCCTTTCTTCATTAAACTGGTATATTTGTTCAAAATAAGCGAAAATGCGGCGTGTTCATGGTTTTAATCCTATTATTAACACTGCATGAATAAAATATTTTCTATCCTATGATTGTGTATCGAGGAGTATAAAAGGAATTATCTTAATTTATCCAATTTATATTTGCTGTGTAATGAATCAACAGATCGGAATTAACAGCGCCTCATTAAACATTGACGCTCTGACTGAATGAGATAACTTGTATTGTGGCCGTCTTAACAATTTAATCATCCAAATTCTAGGCACAACGACACTCCAGTTGTGCGTGCTTCCGGCCGGGAGCTGAGCTACGTTCTTCTGGCGGGAATCCTGATGTGCTACTTCGTCACATTCGCGCTGGTCTTGCGACCCACAAATCTTGTGTGCGGTATCCAGAGATTCGGCGCCGGATTCTGCTTCACTGTGGTCTATGCTGCCCTGCTGACCAAGACGAATCGCATTGCGCGCATCTTCAAGGCGGGCAAGCAGTCGGCGAAGAGGCCCTCATTCATCAGCCCGCGCTCGCAGTTGATCATCTGCACGGGCTTGACGTTCATTCAGGTGCTGATAAACGGCGTGTGGATGGTCATCTCGCCCTCCAGGGCCATCCATCACTACCCGACGCGTGACGACAACCTCCTGGTGTGTGACTCGTACATCGACGCTTCCTACATGATAGCGTTCTCCTATCCGATTGTCCTCATTGTCATCTGTACAGTGTACGCCGTGATAACACGCAAAATTCCAGAGGCATTCAATGAGTCCAAGCATATCGGTGAGTTGATTTATGGGGGAAGTTTTGCGCATCGAAGTGCACTCGATAAGATATTGGCTTTGCAGGATTTACCATGTACACCACATGCGTCATCTGGCTGGCTTTCGTGCCGCTATACTTTGGTACAGCGAACCACGTTCCCCTGAGAATAACATCAATGTCTGTTACGATAAGTCTATCAGCCAGCGTTACTGTGGCGTGTCTGTTTTCCCCAAAAGTGAGTGACCCTTTTATCATATTGGCAGCTCTTCTTGACTGTTGAATCTTGCAGCTCTACATCATCCTGATTCGTCCAGAGCGGAACGTACGCCAGAGCATGATGCCAGTGCGATACAGCGCCATCAATAAGACCACCAACTCTGGCCAGTCGATGATGGCGGCCGTGATGGTCACTGCTGCGACTTGCAATCAAAAGGAGAAGATCCAGAAGCATGTGCCTCCAACCACAGTGGAAGATTGCGCCACCCAAGTTGCAAGTAAGGCAATTTGCCTCTCAACTGCCTGAGTTTTTGGGATCTTACGCAATTTATTTAAACCATATATTTAATTATTGATTCAAGTACATATTAAATATGACTTGTTCCCCATTTTCAGCCCTGCGTTTCGCAGAAATATCCACCCAAACGGTTTTGGCGGGCGAACTGGTGCTCAAGGCGTACGACGACGCAGTGACGAAGAATGGCTCTCACCGCAACAGTCTCATCGGCAACAATGTCGTGAACAACAATCGCATCGAGACCACATCATCAACATCGAAGGCACTGCGCGATGATGCGAACTTTGCAAATACAGCGCGAGATTCATCAAATTCTGTGATCCAATCGTCTGCCAATGTGGAAAATGTCGTGTTATAGCATCGGGGCAGTTTGTCAGACAGCGTGAAGTCGAAGAAGCGCGAAGCAATCACCGTCTGAGCGTACAACACCCCGAAGACTTTTCCCGGAAGGGTGTGTGGATATTTATTTTTGTATCTTGCCCAGGCGTTCTTCTTCTCTAAGGCATATCTCTATCGACATTTTCCACGGAGAACAAACACTGAAGAAGTTGTGTTTTTGACAAAAGGCTTCTCTCTCTTGTGCTCAAAGGACATCACTGTTAATGTTAAGGGTGTTAAGATTAAGCGTGAAGGCGATGTTTCGTTTTTCTGTGACACAGGAAATTTACGATAAATAGGAAGATTGTAGGTTATTTGCCATTGAATTTATATAAATGCTAATGATAGGAATTATGTAAATTGACGGGGGATCAAAAGGATCCCATTTACATTTTAATACAAGTGTTGCATTATTAATTGTTCACTCCCCGTCTATCGAGAGATGCTGTTCTTTTGCCAATGACACCCCCCAAATGTTAACCTTTCAATCCTCCGTCGCTCCTAAACGTAAACAGAGTTTAAGGCATAGGCGTAGATAATTATTGTGAATACTTGTTACTGTGTAAGACTCAATGGAGAACGACTTAATGTTAAGGAGACTCTCTTAGGTTTTTTTTTTCTTTTGTACATATACTTTCCAAATGGTCAGTGGGATTCTCTCTGGGGTTTCTGAGCCCTGAACTCCATCCGGAATCCCAGGACCAGACAATTGTGAGTGTTCCATAAAGGAGGCGGAAAACCATCCACAACCCAATTGACTTGAGGAGGGTTTTCACTGTCAGTCTGATGAAGAAATTTGACTAGGAGAGACACGAATTTTAATGCATAAGATTTTACAGGAAATGCTGTGAACTGAAATCAACCAATGATGGAAGCTGACAAGAGTGTGAAGAGTAAAATCAAAGATGAATAAAGTCTTGAAGCTTCTCCACGAAGTACGAAAGCTTCGTTGGGTTTCACTTCAAAGTTGCGTCCATCAATTTTATCCCTGAAAAAAAGGAAGGTAATTAGAAAAGAAAGTTGATAAGACAGCAGCCCAAAAACCTACCCCTCATTGTGTGATGAGTGCAGCGAGACCACCTCAATCTTGTACGTCTCGGACATTTGCGGGAACATATCGTGGATGTTGATCTTGCGCGTGTTGTTGCTGAAATTGAGAATCACGACAAAGTTCTCTGAAGGCTTCGTGCCTGGAACTCTCCTCTCGTAGGCCAGAATATCCGCTCCCACGAGCTTCATCCTCAGCTTTCCCTCCGTGAAAGCTCTCTCGTGTTGATGCATCTTCGTCAACTTCTTGAAGATTTTCAGGTGACTGACAGGAGAGTTTTCCTGCGCCTCTACATTCACTTGCTTGTAGTCTGGCGACACCGGAAGCCACGTTTTGTCGGCCGTCGAGAAGCCTGCGTTCTTGTTGGCATTCCAGGGGAAGGGAGTGCGATTGGGATCTCTGGAGTAGTCCAGGTACACATCAGGGCTGGTGTTGCATCCCGCGGGATCAATGGTGTCCTCCCAACTGATGTACACGTCCAGAAGTGCCATTTCCTCACCATTGTACGTAATAGCGATGCCTGGCAAGGTCTGCAGCATCACGTTGATGAGATCCGCTCTGTCGATCCCGAATTTCGTGGCAATTCTCTTATTATCGTGATTTCCCATTACCCAGTTGTTCTCCTCCCCTTCAGGCAATCGATCAATCCAGGCGTCGATGTAGTGCTTGGCATCCTTGGCCGACGACTTGCCATTCACATTGCTGATCAGCTCGAAATTGAACGGCAACTGAGCTCCTTTCCTGCCATGACCATCGCTGAAGATGTACTTGATGTTGTTCAGAGGCGTGTAGGCTTCAATCATCATGATCTTCGTCTCGGTTTTGGTCATACTGGAGTACTCGTCCAGCGTTTCTCGCCACTGGTAAATCATGTCCCAGGTCTCGGGCAGGTTCTGCGTGTAGATGTGCTTTGTGTAGCAATCATAGGTGGGATCGGGACAAGAGGGGCCCGTGAGGGGCTCATCGGGGTAATTTCCAGCGCTATCTGGCGCCACCTCGAAGAGATACGGAATAGCATCGATTCGGAAGCCAGATACACCTTTCCTCATCCAGAATCTCACCACATCCTTCATTGCTTCCACGAGTTTGGGATCTCTGTAGTTCAGATCCGGCTGCTCTTTGAGGAAAGCGTGGTAGAAGTACTCTCCTCTTTCCTCATTCCACGTCCAGGCACTTCCTCTGAACACGGACACCCAATTCGTGGGCGGAACACGGTGTCCAGTCTTGTTAACATTACCCGGATGCCACACGTAGAAGTCCTCAAAGCCAGTTTCCCTGCGCACGGATTTCTGGAACCAGTCGTGCTGATCGCTGGTGTGATTCGGCACGAAGTCCAGGATGATCCTGATCCCAATTTCCTCGGCTTTCTCAATTAGAGCCTCAAAGTCCTCCATCGAGCCATACTCGGGTTGAATGCTGTTGTAATCCGAGATGTCGTAGCCAAAGTCTTTCAAGGGGGACTTAAAGATGGGCGACAGCCACGTGCCGCTCATGCCCAGATCCTTCACATACTGCAGCCTCTGTGTGATGCCATTGAGATCCCCGATCCCATTGCCATCCGAATCCATGAAGGATCTGGGGTAGATCTGGTAGAAATTCCCATTAGTATACCACTCAGCCCGAACGACACTCGCCAGAAGCGCCACAATTATCACTCTCATTTTCACAGCACAAATTTCAATCGACAAGTGATCTCATGTTGGGATTCCGCAGCTTTTATAGGCGCTGGTGACACTGGGATTTTTCCTGGAGAGCTCGAGCTTACTTCAAGTGGCCAAGTATCGCGGTAATTGATTAGTTTTCCACGTAACATCCGCCAAAGAGCATTTTCTATTTGCTCTCGCGCTTCACTGTTGACTGGCCTTCATAGTGCAGTGATTTGATCATTTTTGTCGCCACACGATAAAGTTATTTGTTATTGTTGCTCACAATTATTGGGTGATTAAGCCAAGGTGGGAAGAGTTCAAAGGGATGATGTAACATTAATAATACGGTCAGAAGCTCTAAGTAAATATAGAAATTTCACATTTTCGCTTCATTCTTTTACATTTCAGTCTTCAGGCTTTCCGGAGGGAAACAAAGCGACTTCGGGACATCTTTCTAGTTCTCTTGAGATTCCCAGAACTCTCTAAAGATTAACCAGAAAAAAACAAGGATTCGCAAAATACTCATAAGTTTTCATACTTTATTTTAGAAAAAATCATGATGTCCTTTGAGAATCAGGGCTTCGTGAGGCTCCAGCCAAAGAGTGGGACTTCTCAAAGTTTTCCCAGATTGTCTCTCGGACGCCACGGAAGCAATTTGAACGGTCAGACGTCCTGAGAAGAGTCCTCGAACGTCCACAGCCTCTCTTTCAGAGCCAATGTTGACGATTGTGAAGAAAGTGTCGAAACCAGGAAGCCTTCTGGTGATGATCAAGACGTTCTCGCCCTCAGTCTTGGTCTCAATCGATCCTCTCTTCAGCGTTTGGGTTGTCCTGAGGCGCAGCAGCTGCTTATAGACTTTCAGATGACTCCTCTGCGCCGATCTCTCCTTCCCAACGTTGACGTCCTTGTACAGAGGAGACACAGGAAGCCAAGTCTTGGGATTCGTGGAGAATCCAGCGCTCGTGGAGTCATCCCACTGGAATGGGGTGCGGGCAGGATCTCTGGAGAACTCCAGGTAAGTTTCAGGATCAGAATTGCAAGCTGCCGGATCGACAGAATCATCCCAGGAGACAAAGACGTCCGTCATTCCGATTTCTTCGCCCTGCGAAATCCCAAGAATTAAAATCTCTGCAAGATCACATTCAGAGCTACTCACATAGTACGTAATGCTAATCCCTGGAAGAGTGTTGATGAGAATATTGATGAGATCTATTCTGTCTGCGCCGAATCGCGAGCCAATGCGCGCCCTGTCATGGTTTCCCATCACCCAATTAGCCTCGCATCCTGCCGGCAAATTGTCCAGCCACAAGTGGATCTTTTCACGGAAGTCAATGGCATTGGAGGCATTGTTGAGGTTCATCAGCATTTTGAAGTTGAACGGGATGTGGGATCCATTCTTCTGGCCATTTCCATAGTAAGTCATCAGGATGTCGATTGGGGAATCAGCTTCTGAGAGCATGGCCCTTGTGTTTCCGTCCTTCCTGGTGTATTCGTCCATCAGTTCTCGCCACTCGTAGACCATCTCAACGGTCTCCGGGAGATCCATTGTGTGGATGTGCTCGAGGTAGTCGAAGCTGTCCTCGTCGTCGGTTAAGTGACTCAAGGGTTCATCGGGATAGATGCCGTTTTCCGGGAGGACCTCGAAGAGATTGGGAATGGCGTCAACGCGAAATCCATCTACGCCCTTGTCCAGCCAAAACTTCAGCACTTTCTTCATTTCCTGCACCACTTTTGGGTTCCTGTAGTTGAGATCGGGCTGCTGCGGATGGAACTGATGTAGGTAGAACTCACCTCTGGTTTCATGATAAGTCCAGGCGCTTCCTCGAATCACACTTCGCCAGTTGCTGGGCGGAAGTTTCTTGGTGGGATCGTCAGGATCTGGTTTTCCTGGGTGCCAAATGTAATAATCCTTGAATTCAGCCACACCATTGGCCGAATCGATGAACCACTGATGCTGATCACTCGAGTGATTGGGCACAAAGTCCAAGAGGATTTTCAGCTTCATGTCATGGGCAATTGTCAGGAGTCTCTCGAAGTCCTCCATCTGCCCGAAGAGTGGCTCGATGGCGTAGAAGTCCGAGATGTCGTAGCCAAAGTCTCTCATGGGGGATTTGAAGATGGGTGAAATCCAAATAGCTTGAATGCCGAGGAACTTCAGGTAAGGCAGCTTCTCAGTGATACCATTGAGATCTCCGATTCCATCACCGTTAGAATCTTTGAAAGATCTCGGGTAGATTTGATAAAAAGTCGCCGTTCTCCACCAATCCAGATCTCCGAGAGTCTCAGCCAAGAACAGGCAGAGAATGACCACAACAAACCTCTTCATAGTGTGACTATGAGCGCCATCCAGACCTTGCCAGGTATTTATATTTCCCTCAAGTGCGAATCGACAATTAGTTAATTAAATCCCTCACAAGTGCCCAGTAAGAAAGTTCTTAAGAGTTTTGCAATTAAGTAATATACGCATGATAAGATATAAAGTTGTTTATGATTTACACTTCATTGTTCATTAGATAGACGGAGTAAGAAGCTCCAGCTGATCCTCTGATGATCAGGGCTTCGTGAGGCTCCAGCCAAAGAGTGGGACTTCTCAAAGTTTCCCCAGATTGTCTCTCGGACGCCACGGAAGCAATTTCAACGGTCAGGCGTCCTGAGAAGAGTCCTCGAACGTCCACAGCCTCTCTTTCAGAGCCAATGTTGACGATTGTGAAGAAAGTGTCGAAGCCAGGAAGCCTTCTGGTGATGATCAAGACGTTCTCGCCCTCAGTCTTGGTCTCAATCGATCCTCTCTTCAGCGTTTGGGTTGTCCTGAGGCGCAGCAGCTGCTTATAGACTTTCAGATGACTCCTCTGCGCCGATCTCTCCTTCCCAACGTTGACGTCCTTGTACAGAGGAGACACAGGAAGCCAAGTCTTGGGATTCGTGGAGAATCCAGCACTCGTGGAGTCATCCCACTGGAATGGGGTGCGGGCAGGATCTCTGGAGAAGAGATCATACTTATCTTTGCCAGCGTTGCATCCCGCGGGATCAACAGTCTCTTCCCACGTCAGGAAAACGTCCGTCATTCCAATCTCCTCGCCTTGGTACGTAATGCTGATCCCTGGTAATGTGTTGAGGATCATATTGATGCCATCAATGCGGTGAGTTCCGAATCTCGAGCCGATGCGCCTCTGATCGTGATTTCCAAGCACCCAATTGGCTTCGCATCCCGCCGGCAAATTGTCCAGCCAAATGCGGATGTTCTCGTTGAAATCAAGGGCATTGGAGTCGTTATTGAGATGCATGATAAGGTAGAAGTTGAACGGAACCTGAGATCCATTCTTCTTTCCATCGCCATAGTAACTCATAAGGATGTTGATGTCGGAATATGCTTCAGTGAGCATCAGGCGAGTATTTCCATCCTCTTTCGTAAATTCATCCAGAACTTCACGCCACTGATACACCATCTGAACAGTTTCTGGCAAGTCCATCGTGTAGATGTGCTTGAGATACGCGTGATCCTCCTTGTCATCTGTATTACCACTTGGAGGCTCATCAGGATAGGCACCATTTTCCTGGGGGACTTCGAAGAGATGAGGAACTGCATCCACTCGGAATCCATCCACGCCCTTTTGCAGCCAGAATCTCAGGACATTCTTCATTGCGTCCACCACCTTTGGGTTCCTGTAGTTCAGATCAGGCTGGCCAGCGGCAAACTGGTGAAGATAGAATTCTCCTCTGGCCTCATTCCATTGCCAGGCACTTCCGCGAAAAGCGCTAAGCCAGTTATTTGGAGGGATTTTCTTTTCGGCATTATCTGGATCAGTCTTTCCCGGATGCCACATGTAGTAATCCTTGAATTCATCCACATTATTAGCCGAATCTATGAACCACTGATGCTGATCACTCGAGTGATTGGGCACAAAGTCTAGCAGGACTTTAATCCCGAGTTCATGGGCGATTTTCACGAGATTCTCAAGGTCTTGCATGTTCCCAAAAATGGGATCAATGTCCTCAAAGTTCGCAATGTCGTAGCCAAAGTCCTTCATCGGCGACACGAAGATGGGCGATAGCCAAATGGCATGAATCCCCAGGGACTTCAGATAGGGCAGACGCTCGGTGATGCCATTGAGATCGCCAGTGCCATCGCCATCGGAGTCCTTGTAGGATCTGGGGTAGATCTGATACACATTGGCGGTTCTCCACCAATCGAGATCACTGTAAATCCCAGAAACTTGCCAGAGGCACAGGAGCAACACTAAAACCCTCATTTTGCCACTATCGTTCGCAATAAACTGCACCGATTTCCAGAGCTTCTGATCTATTTATACAGCTAAACCGCCCTCTTTTGCTGAAGACATTATCTGGTCAGCAAACATACTTCTCGAGCCTTATCATTAAGCAATCTGTTTAATTGCCCGATGGTCATGGCAGACACTCGGAAATTGCAACATGACACGAATTTTTGATATAGTCTGGGATGCAAATGCCAAAAAGCAATTGGAGAATCGGGAGAATCATTTGAGAAAGTTAGATTTTTTCCTGCATGAGAACTTGCTGACTGTGCTAATTGCTGACATTGATACTGATAAATTGTTTTAAAACGTATTGAATAAACCTAGAATAAACGAACGGAAATTGTCCCAAATTCTCTTCAGCGAAATTGTGAGCAAGTGATGGAGTAGTGAAAATGCAGATTTTCTCAAGAATTTCATATAATAAATTTGATAAGTGCTTAAGTGGATCTCAATTGAAGTTCTTAAACCACGACTTGCCGCTGGATTTGCCGGTTTTGCTCTTGGTGGACTTCTTCCTCATCTCCTGGTTACTCTGCTCTCTCATCTCCATCGGCATCGCCTCGTCGCAGTCGAGCGTCTGGGATTTGATGGCTTTCTTCAGGTTCACAATTTCCTGGTCGATCTTCTCCTTGTGCTTGATGCTGCGCGCCTTTTCGGCGTTCGCGCGGTGAATTTGCGTGTCGATGCAGTTGAGAACCGAGGCGCACGAGTCGCACCATTCCTGCAGTGTGCCGACAATCTGGCTGATGTCACCCGGACGGATGTCCCGCCCGATGGCGTAATCCACTTCCAGTTGACTGTTTTTCTGGTCGAGTTTGCCGTGAATGATGTCTGCGTAGATCGCCTCGATGATCAAGTCCTCCAAGTCGCGCACGTTCGAGATGTCCAGCTCGACGAGGAGCGTCTGATAGGGGATACACTTCGTCCGGATGGCCAGTGTGACGATGGTAAGGTGCTGCAACTTCTTTTTCATCGTCCCATTCAGCTCCAACACCTGATCCTTCTTCTCCAAGTACTGCCGGAACGTTCCGTACGCGAACAGATTCAGGGCGTTGTAGTATTTCATGTGTGGCCCATTCTCCAGCTGAAAGAGAACCACATAACCTAGTAAATTTGCTACTCAGGAAGACACACAACGTGTCCCCGTGCCAATCATACCTCCATGATGGTGGGAATCTGCAGGAGCTCCCCGAAAACATACACTCCGGGAGCCTCAAGCACTTGCTTAATGAGGTCTAAACAAGCGGCTCCTCTGGCCATTTTCGCCAGCGCCACAAAATGTTCCAAGGCATTGTGAGTCGCCACAGATGGTGAATTTTCCTCCAGACCGTGTGCCATCATCTCCGTGTGCATTTTCTGCCGGAAAACACCACACAAAAGCACCTCAGTTCCTTCGCAATGTGTACGTTAGTGAGGTTATGAGCGCCACGGATGTCAAAATTGTTTTTTCGGCCATTTCCGGAAGCATTCGGGTAGTCGATGAAATTTTCGCGTGGCAAGTTGAAAGGTAACCGTCGCAAGAGCGTGGCGTGAATGTTTTCAATGCAATAACGGCAGGGAAAGAATATTGTAATTTTTCTTCGAGTTTTCCACTCGACATTTATTCCACCAGTATTGGAGTATGAATTGCAGGTATCAGAGAGGTCTGTCACATACTGAAAATGGCAAGAAAGGTAAGCAGAAGCAGCCAGTGCGGAGAGACTTTCGCACTCGCGGCAGTTGCAATGATTGCAGGTATTTTTGAGGTCCTCGCCGGCGGCGCTGTCGATGTGGCAACAGGACGCGTCCGGGAGACTTGTGGCGGAGCCTCTGTGGGCCTGGGTGTGATAGGAGTGGTTATTTCATCAACCGATGAGGAACTTGCATGAATATGTCGATGCGACGAATGTGGCGTCTGATCAGACACGGCGTTGCAGTAACCTGGAAGATTAGGAGAAATTAGACGGTGCCAACAAGTGGTCAGAGGATCTACTCACCGATCTTGTTCAGCTCCATGCCGTAGCGATGAGGGTTGAGATTCCGCTGGCAGTTTTCGCCAGCTTCCCTGATGAAGATTGTCTTCTCCGCCATCATGGCGCCCACGAAGCACTCGTGCGTGTTCAGATCACGCCTGTAAGTGAAGGCATAGAGGAGCCCGTTCTCCTCCCACTGTCCCAGGCACTGATACTCGCGCTCCTCGTACACTTCACCTGTGTCACAAGCGGAGACTTCATAGTACAGGATGTTCTGGGATTTGCAGTCTGACGAGAGTTTGGCACACAATCCCTCGGCGTCGGGGATGAAGCCCGTGAACTCCCCACTCACGGGACACTGCGTGTAGTGAGTGTGCATGGATTCGCGGCTTTGTGTGATCCAGCGACTGCCGTCGAAATTGTCATCCGTGCAGAGACCCTGAGACGCTGACGCCGTGGCGCTTGATATCAGGGACATCTGGAACTCCAGGATGTTGGGACTCCGCTGCTCCAGCCACGTGCAGAAGAATCTCTCTTCGCCACACTGCGTGGTGCTCCGCACCAGATACTTCCCATTGGTGGGATCTGCTTCCTGACAGCGCATCGTGTGCGTCTTGAAGGACGTGGCATCGTAGAACACCGCCACAGAGTCACTGGACTTCTTCATGTGCTTCCACCGGCCGGTGAGCCACTTGGGGAAGGAGCATTCGCCGCTGGACGCCTTATCTGTTGCCACTGGAAAGAGCGTGAGCGAATCGCCATCCACGCCGCGGAGGCTGGTGGTGCACGTGGAGTCGTTGCTGAAGGAGAGCGTCACCACGCCACTGTTGGCATCCTCCAGGTACACGGCGCATCTGTAACGTGGCCCCAGCTTCTCGTCCTGGCGCGTGTTGATTAGCGCCAAGTAGTTGACGCCGTTGTAGCCTGTCCAGTGGCCCAGGCACTCCAGCGAAGCGTCCATGTCCTCGAAGTTGCAGTCACGGAAGCGGAGATTGAAGGAGGAGCCGGAAGGACACGTGTCCAGGGTGGATTTGGGCGACAGACACTCGAGGCGCTTCTCGCCTGTGGCAAATGTGAAATTGTATCGACCACTTATGGGACAATATTCGCGCCGGCGGATCACTTGACCGTCCAGTTCTCGGATTTCTGCAAGAAGGAAGAGAGGAGAAGGAGTGATTGATGAGCGGAAGACTTTTTGCGGTTTGGCAGAGCTTCCGGATGCATTGTGTATTACATTATATCGTTGGCTTCATCACCAATTGAAGTATTTCGTGAAGTGCGAAATAACACTATCTATCCTGAAGTTTGTCTACATTCCTAGGCTCAGATGTGAGTCTAGAATCTCCGAACATGATTTTGACTAAAAAACTTGGGAAAATACGACATTTGGCGATGAAACCTGTAGAGTTCGTGGCAAGAGAGACGGACAATAACTCACTGAACAGGATGATTTCTGTGTGCTCCTCGGGATCTCGCAGGGAGTCCTCAGACGGGCAGGACATGATGGCCTTCTCCTCGTTCGTGAAGCACTTGGCCATGTACTCCATAGTTGTGTACACACGCACGATGTTCTTCGTGACAAGCGTGATGTGGAAGCACCGGAAACAGCTGGTGTCCTCCTCTTCCTCCTCCAGCGACGCCATCATGAGGATCATGTTGTTGCCGACGCGCCGGTGGCAGTTGCCCCATATGGTGATGAGGTCCGACGTGATGTTGATCTGGCTGTACACCACGTCCACGCCCGACACGGTGCTCTGGGTCACGTAGACGCCCTGCATTTCGGCGGGAAAGTAGCATGAAGCGCAGCCTGCGCGGGCGGAGAGACCAGGGAAAGACAGGTGAGCAAAAAAGCGAGGCAATGTGCTAATTATATTCAATTAAGTTTGCATGTGCAGTATGCTCGATGATTGCAAATTGAAGCGAGTCTCCGACTCAACAGTACCGCCGCCGGATTAGCCGCTCGCCGTAACTGTTAAGACGGCTGCGCGGGCATTAGAAAGGCAGGGCGGCAGAAGGTGAGGACGTAAAAAATAAACAAAGAAATCAGTGGAGCGTCGAACGTGAGAAATAATGAGTCAGTGAAAATATTTCTCTCCTCAATCTCGTCCAACTTTTATTGCTCAGGCGCGCTTCTTTTGGGCATACGAAGAGTGAGAGGCATTCCAGCTCAAGCAATTAATTGGTAATCAGGAGTGGAGATAGGTCTAAACGCTCAAAGTGGTCCTAATTTCTATCCCACATATTCTTCTCGCTGCGCCGAAGGCGAAAAAGTGGAGAAAAAAGTGCTGAAGAAAGGATTACCAAAAGGCTTTGGAATTGTAGAAAGGGAGAAAAACATTAATCGGATTGAGGGTGCAAAAGATTATGAAGGAAATTAAGTTTTGTCAAGAAAAAAAAACTCCAAATATTTGTAAAATAATTTGTACAGTGAGGCGCACGAGAATAGCGGCACGTGAAAATATTTCAGAGAATAACAGCTGTTTGGCTTAATCAGAAAAGAAAGAATGTTCTACTTTTCCAATACTCTTCACATTACATCTTAGCATATTTCTGAATTCACCTTCAAAGCCGAAAATCTCTTTTCCTCACCACACTTTGCAATATATAAAACGATAGAAATTGAACAAGTAGTTGAAAAAACATTAGTGCCGATTATTGCTTAATTTCGCATATAAGAAATCCTTAAAATTCATGGAGTAGAAATTTAATAATCAACTTTCGAAACAATAAGAACAACAAGTACACTTTCTGTCAGGCAATGAAAATGTGCGAAAAGTGCGCAAAAAAGAATCATTATTCTGAAGATTGCATTGAGAAAAATCCTGTAAACACACTTAAATTATGCCGCTTGATTTTCTTTTCAGTGCATCATTTGAAATTGTCGTCACTGTATAAAAATTCTTGTACGCCAAGAAGTCTAATGAATTCCTCATCTATCCTTCTCCAAATGACTCCAATTGTTCTCTCCATTTGCTTTAGAGAAATTCCTCAACTAATTTCACAGTACAAATGGCCAAAATTCATGTCTTTTAGACCATTGAGTTCATTTCTCTGCTTGAGAGCCATTCTTGAAAGGCGAGGGGGAAATATTTGAGAAGAGACGTGTTGCTTCACCACTTCTCCTAGGTGTACTCCAAATAAACTTTTCCACGAGAAATGACATAATAATTCTTGGTATTCTCTCTCTCTCCTCTTTTTCCAGGCGCATTTCAAATGATGGGAAAGAAGTTTCTGGTCTCGCTGTGGCGTTTTTTTTTGGAACTCAATGAGCTTCATTGAAGCAGAAATGAAATTGTTCTCCTCGAGGGGCAAATCAGCGGCCAAGAGAGCGGCTATTGCGCTGAAATGGACGCAAACAGAGCGCAGAGAAGAGGTGCGAATGACTGCAGATTAGTCCTGATTTACATCTCAGATTCATGGTTGGATTTTGAGTGGTTTTTTTTCTTGCTCACTCGCGATGTGGGTCAATTATTTTCCCTTCTGAGACTTCGCAATTTTGCGGAATTTAGAGAGATATTTAGAAGGTTGCGGGGAAGTGAAACGCACAGCGTTTTTGCCTCTGTGTTTTCTGCGCGCGCGATGAATTGAGAAAAATATAATGGCGCAAGAGAGAAGAATTCAATCACTGTGTTTTCTGAATGGGTGAATTGTGAATGAGTTGCTCGAAAGATCTCATTCTCGGGCGCCCGGAGGGGCGCGCAAAAAAGACACCCAAAAGCAGAAACTCCGATCGTCAATACGGCCGAAGATCGAGAGGTGACTCAAAAGCCATCACACACAATCTTTTCGGCGTTCATCATCATCGCATTTTGTGAAACTCGACGGCCGGAACACCGTGGAAAATGAGATGGGCAAAGAAAGGCGAGTCTCTCTGCAAATTTCATACATTGAGGCACGCACAGTAAGATGAAAAACCTTCCCCGAAAGGAGAATCCGCACGTAAAACTGCACACAACTCACATTGTCGTACAGCGGCAAATCCAATGAATGAAATCAGGTAGATTGCGTAGAGAATATTCATATTTCCTCCGGCACTTTTCACATTCACAGAAAAAAAACCACACGAATCACTTTTGTTCGGGTGCAGCGCGAGCTAGAGAGTCATTTTGGGGGGCGGGAATTGGCGACGGGGTGGCTTTTTCTGCCCTTTGCGCTGCTGTGGCTCAACTAACACTGCTGGCTTTTCCACTCAAGACAACTGCCTGCGCCGAAGAACTAACGTAGACTAACAAAAAAATCACCTTCTCAGCCTGCGAAGCCCCAGACCAATTTCCAACGTGAATTCAGCTCAAGGCAGCGCGCGTCACACGAACGGTGTACAATAGCAAAATTTAAAAGTTGGAACACCTGAGTATCCAAGATTGTGGAAAATATAATAGGTTATGAAGAATTAGAATTATTATAATAGCTGTTTCAGACGTATATTTATGTTCTTCTAGTTTTATTTTGATTTTTCATAATTTCTCAAGTTCAAAAAAGGTCAATTTGCTATCATTTCGGTATTCAGAAGAGACTGGGAGGTTCTGGAAGAATGAGCAATACAAACTTTCTGTAAAAACTGTCTATTTCAGTGACGATTCATTGAAGAATATTATCTGTGGCAGCACAAGACACACCTCAATAATTGCAGCATGATGTACGCATTTCTGAGCTCCGCCGCACACCTTGGTTTTCATTCTTGTGGACGGCTTTGAGTGTTTTGGTGTTTGGCTTTCTGAAAGTGTATTGTGTTGAGCTCTGGTTTTTTCTCCCATTCATTCTCATGTGGGGAATTGAACGCCACCTCTTCTGGAGTGATCCACACGAGTGTATATACAAATAAACATATGAATTTTAATTACCTGAGCCAAATAATTTTTCACATGAAACATTTACAAGCTGGGCCTTTTGTGGACAGTCACAATAAATTCATAAATTCACACCAACAATTGCTCAATTATTTCCAATATTTACCGTGTTAAGAGCTCTGTTTTGCCTCTTTCGGCACCTCAAGAAATTCCATTATAATCGCCATCAATCGGAGATTTCTCACTGAAGACGCTATTCGGCTCTCGATATTAGTTTGATGGACATTTTTGTATCTCTATTTGCACTTCAATATCTCGATACTCTTTTTCACCTCTCATGAAATCCCAAACACACTCACAGAACCGCTCAATTGTGTGAGGAATTCTTCTGAGAAAAATATTTAACAGCGAAAAAGAGTGAAGAGCGAGCGAGAGAGAGCAAAAAAAGCGCGAGACAGGTGAAGGCACAGGTAGAAGGAGACGTAAAATGTGTGCAAGTTGAATGAAAAATAAATGTGAATGGACTTGTTTTACAGATTGGCCAGAGATCATGCAAGTAGGGCTGGAAATTCTCTATTTACTTTGCACTTTTACATAACGTTTGCGCGGTTTTTGCCATGCCGTGGCGCTGAATCATGCCATTTATGGCGGAAATTGGTCATGTTTCATCGGTTAATTAGACTTTGTGGGATTGTTATTCAGTTTATGGGGATTTTGTGGTGGTTTTGTGAGTGAAAACCAGAGGAAAAGGGTGATTTTCATGTGAAAAAGCACGGTTTCTTTGTTCCCAACCTTCCCGCCATTTCTGTTTCTCCTTCATCCCGCACCCAGCGCTGACAGTCATGTTCATCGATTTTACGCGGTGAAGCGGAAAATGTGCTGCTTTTCAGAAAATATTGCAATGATTCTGTGAATTTTAGGCGAAATATAAATAAATTCATTTACTATTATGATTTTCTTTTAGTTTTTTGACCCAAATTTAACTTTTCTTGCGGTTTTTCTTCAGAAATGGAGCGAGTAGAAATTGCCACTTGGTGGCGCTACGAGAGTTCATCGATTTGCGGATTTTCACCGAGTCTCTCATCGACCGACGAATTTTGATGGGTTTGCGAGTCTATTGCCCTTTTCGATGGAATTTTCTACAAGTAAATTTTAATTTATCGTCTCTACGTCGTTCTGCCGCGGAAAATAGTGAATAAATTAGTGATAGGACAAGATGTACCCCGTAGGACGTGAGTAAAATTATTTGTTTGGGCGTGGTGGGTGGCGTGAAGTGTGAAAAGTGTTTTCTTTTGTCTGCCCGTGCCAAACTGCCCTACATTTGCTGTATTTCGCATATTTCGCCACTCGTGGCGGTGGAAATGGGAAAATTGGTCTGCCCAGGGACGCCAAGTGGCTGTGGGTGGGCGATGGGTGCGAAAAGGGTACATCCGATGGGTTGGAAAGGGGGAAAAAGTGGATTTTTCGTGCATTTTCCACGGGGTGCCCCAGAATGAATAATCTGACAGCAGATGGAGCGTGGTGTGAGTGACAATTTTTCACCGCCATCTTGCTCGAGAGTTTCTCTTTCGGGCCCTCAAAGAAAGGAGCAAATTTTCAATGTCACCCGTGTATTTCCCGTAAATACCGTGTTTTTCTCGCTAATTGTGCCGTTTACTGTGGTCAATCGCTTGCCAGGAGTGCGAGGATTGTGTTTGTGCACATTTGCGTCGCGTGTCGATGTGTTTTGATGTGGTATTTTGGGTGAAAAGTCAAGCAAAGTTGGGGTGCTCACGGGGACAAAAGTAAAACGCAATTTGATGCTTGAGATTGAGATAAACACAATGCGGCAGATAACAGGTAGATTTTTCACATTTTCCACCCGTGTTGAGTGCGTGGGGGCGCCGGGGCGCTTTGGGCAGGGCGGCAAGGAGCTGGAAGGGTGGAAATTCGGGGGAAATGTGGCGCGGGGGCGCGCGACTGTTTGCAAACAATGGCCAACTTTCACTTTATGACTCTCTCGGCATCGCCTGCAGAATCCTGGACATCGTCGCCACCGCGCACGTCGAGCCCGTCGACGCCTCAGACCAGCTTTGATACGCTCACGTCGCCACAGACGCCCAACTCCAGCACCACCGCCGTGACCATCCCGGCCGGCCCACAGAATGCCGCGCCACCCGGACAGATGGGCATCGTGCCGGTGCCACCAGGGCCCGCCGAGCTGCCGGTCTTCACCTGCCCGCGTCGCCCCAATTTGGGGCGCGAGGGCCGGCCCATCCTGCTGCGCGCCAATCACTTCCAGATCACCATGCCGCGGGGCTACGTGCACCACTACGACATCAACATCCAGCCGGACAAGTGTCCGCGGAAGGTGAGTCCTTGTGCTGAAGGTGAACTTGAATTGGGAGAGCTCCCCAGTGGGTCACGGAGAGTGTGAGTGTGGAGACGTGACGGTTTTCAAGGCGTCGGCGCACACTTTGGGCGCCAACTTTCACTTTTGCCCAAAAACTGAGGGGTTTCCGCAACGATACCAAAGCATCTCTCATTGTGAGCGAATCGAGTCCTCTTTATTGTCCCTTCGAGCACAGCGTGCTGCGACTTTCACACTTGAGAGTGACGTGGAAGACCTTCGATGTGCTTTCCGACTTCTGCTACTGAAATTACCTCCTCAATTTGCCTCTTGATGCAACGCTTTTGCAGCTTGCCCACCAGGATTTGGAGCAGCAGGGTAATGGATACCGCGAAGATGGCGAATAAGATGACATCCTTCGTGAAGTACACGTTTTCAGCAATGTTTCGTGGTACATTCTTTACGATGGTGACTTTTCCTTCGTCAACAGGACACGAACACTCGCAACCCATGATGAAGTTCACTGTTTTCTTCTTGAAATTCAATCTGGAATTGGGCTTTTTCTTCACTCGCAAGAACTGAAGTGTGGTCTTCTGTTTTGCAACCGATTGAGTAAAAATTATCAATGTTGGCGATGAAAAAGTGCTGCAATTGCACATTCGGAGTTCATGTTCTTACTGACGGTCTCAGTTCAGACGCTTCAGACAAACACATTAGCACAGAGACAGCAATTAACCCATTACAAATTTCTTGTATGGTTTCTCGTGGATTATTTGAGTGTGGCTTAAGAATAGCACTCAAGCCTACAGTTTTTGTCTCTGGTTCTCTCTTTCTACTCTATTTCAGACAAGAGAACTCGAAACTTTAGAATAGTGCGCTTGACTCTTTCCCTTCTGTTCTTTGCAGGTCAATAGGGAGATCATCGAGACGATGGTGCACGCTTACAGCAAGATTTTCGGCGTGCTTAAGCCCGTGTTCGATGGGCGCAACAATCTCTACACGCGCGATCCGCTGCCCATTGGCAATGACCGCGTGGAACTGGAGGTGACGCTGCCCGGTGAGGGCAAGGATCGCGTCTTCCGCGTGACCATCAAGTGGGTGGCGCAGGTGTCGCTGTTCAATCTTGAGGAGGCACTCGAGGGGCGCACCCGGCAGATTCCTTACGACGCCATCCTGGCTCTGGACGTGGTGATGCGCCATCTGCCCAGCATGACCTACACGCCTGTGGGCAGGAGCTTCTTCAGCTCACCGGACGGCTACTACCATCCTCTGGGTGGCGGCCGCGAGGTGTGGTTCGGCTTCCACCAGAGCGTGAGACCATCGCAGTGGAAGATGATGCTCAACATTGATGTCTCGGCGACGGCGTTCTACAAGGCACAGCCGGTGATTGAGTTCATGTGCGAAGTGTTGGACATCAGAGACATTAATGAGCAGCGCAAGCCGCTCACGGATTCGCAGCGCGTGAAGTTCACCAAGGAGATCAAGGGGCTGAAGATTGAGATAACACACTGTGGCACAATGAGGCGAAAGTATCGCGTGTGCAACGTGACAAGGCGACCGGCGCAGATGCAGTCATTTCCGCTTCAATTGGAGAATGGACAAACGGTGGAGTGCACGGTGGCCAAGTACTTCCTGGACAAGTACAAGATGAAGTTGCGCTATCCGCATCTGCCGTGCCTGCAAGTTGGCCAGGAGCACAAGCACACGTATTTGCCACTGGAAGTGTGCAACATCGTGGCCGGACAGCGATGCATCAAGAAGCTCACGGACATGCAGACGTCCACGATGATAAAAGCCACGGCCAGATCTGCCCCTGACAGGTAAAAGAAAAAAAAAAGTGGAGTAGCGAGATTTGGTGGGCTCTCGAGCGCAATCTCCCGCGATATGCTGTGCTTATCGCCTGTGAGCGATGATGATGATGATGTAACGCGGAGGAAGGTCGATATTTTTTTTCCTGATAAAGTAATACCTCTCTTCTCCGTATTCCGATTGCAGGGAGCGTGAAATCAATAATCTCGTGAGGCGCGCCGACTTCAACAATGATGCCTACGTGCAGGAATTCGGCTTGACCATCTCTAATAGCATGATGGAGGTCAGAGGACGGGTTTTGCCACCGCCGAAATTGCAATACGGCGGTCGTGTGTCCAGCATTAGTGGACAAGTAAGTAGTCTATGATTGCTTTGCCCTATCTTCTGTCGAAGGTGGGGCATTTTCTCTCTCACTCTACCATTTTCTCACTATGATGAAAAGGCATCTGTTGAAGCGAAGAAAACCCGTCGCTTCATCATGCTATATAAAGCCAAAACCAACAAGAGCTGTTATATAACTACCCTATGCATCTTTACATTTGTAACCCCTTTTTTTGGTAAAATGTCAATATTGGTGGTGAATTTATTTCTGTAAAATTCATAATTTAGCACTGATTTATTCTTCGAAGCAAAAAAAACAGTCACATATTCATTAAAGAACTTCTTTAGAATTAATGTTTAGTGGAAAAAGAATGATTTCACGCAAATTGAGAACGGATTTAGCTGAAATCTGAATATTTGTGCTCATAAAACACTCTTAAAGAGCAAATTTTGTAATTTACAGAGTACTTCTTGTGATTAGAATTCATATTATAATAAATTTACCACTGTTTCTTGCCTAAATCGTCTTGTTCAAAATCCGGAGTCAAAATGTAGTAAACTATAATAATAAGATTGGCAAAGTTGCATAGAACTGATAAGAATTTCTGAATGTATTTTATGTTAAAAAATCGCTAATTTCTTCTAGAGGCACGAGAATCATCCTATACCGACAAATATGCCTGTAAGTTTTCTTTTGAATTTACTCTTAAACACAAGATATCAAAGAAAAAAAAAACTGTTGATGTTTTGGACAATAATAATGATGATAATATTTGCAAAAATGGGCTTTCCTATGAAATTTTCCGTAGGGAAATTGCATGGGAAAGATGTGCATTTTTACACCGAATGTTATAATCAAAATTTTGCCTCTAGAAAAATAGAAAAAAAACACAAAAGTGATACAAATTGACTCATGTTCCACATAGATTTTCGTTGATTGTGAAAATTGTGTGTGTGTGTGTTTAAAATTTGGTGCATTATCTTTGCAGAATAAGGTGAGTCTCGCGTCGCCCAATCAGGGTGTTTGGGATATGAGAGGAAAGCAGTTCTTCACTGGTGTTGAGATTCGCGTGTGGGCCATCGCTTGCTTTGCACCCCAACGAACAGTTCGTGAGGAGGCTTTGAGGTATGAAGTGATGATTTTTCTCGCGTCAATTCACGGATTAATCCTGAGATTGTGTCTGTCGCAGGAACTTCACACAGCAACTGCAGAAAATCTCCAATGACGCTGGCATGCCGATAATTGGTCAGCCGTGCTTCTGCAAGTACGCCACGGGCCCAGATCAGGTGGAGCCGATGTTCAGATACTTGAAGAACACCTTCAATGCGTTGCAACTGGTGGTGGTGATTCTGCCGGGCAAGACGCCCGTGTACGCCGAGGTGAAGCGCGTCGGTGACACAGTTCTCGGCATGGCGACACAGTGTGTGCAGGCGAAGAATGTAAACAAGACATCGCCGCAGACATTGTCAAATCTCTGCTTGAAGATCAACGTGAAGTTGGGTGGCATCAACAGCATTCTCGTGCCGTCGATTCGCCCGAAGGTGTTCAATGAGCCGGTGATCTTCCTGGGAGCGGACGTGACACACCCACCGGCGGGAGACAACAAGAAGCCATCGATTGCAGCCGTTGTGGGTTCCATGGACGGTCATCCATCGAGGTACTCAGCCACGGTGAGAGTGCAGCAGCATCGTCAGGAGATCATCCAAGAGCTGAGCAGCATGGTCAGGTGAGTGAAGACGCTTAGAGTTCCTCTTATAAAGACACTTTAGATCTTGTATGTAGATCAACAAATCTGAGATGATCGCAGAACTTTTGTATATCCTTGCGTAAAATAAGTTTTTAAAGTGTTTTCAATTGATTAACGACTGTTTTTAGAAAATCAAATGTTGAAAACTGTCAAACCTTTGGCCTATTTGGAAGGGGTTGAAAGGTCTTTGATATTTTTGTTTGAAATTCAGCATAATAATTGTTATGTTGACCCTAAACCCTAAATTTTATTCAGTTTTATTTATAACAATAGTATGTTAATGTGGATGATTTGCATATATTGAAGATGTTTGACTGAAATTGCTCATTTTGCACAGTCATTTTCACTCTCTCTCTCTCTCTTTTCCTCTGTTTCAGGGAGCTTCTGATCATGTTCTACAAATCCACTGGTGGCTACAAGCCGCACAGAATCATCTTGTATCGCGACGGTGTATCCGAGGGGCAATTTCCTCATGTTCTGCAGCACGAATTGACGGCCATTCGAGAGGCGTGCATCAAACTGGAGCCGGATTATAGACCGGGAATCACATTTATTGTGGTGCAGAAGCGTCACCACACGCGTCTCTTCTGTGCTGACAAGAAGGAGCAGAGCGGCAAGTCAGGAAACATCCCTGCCGGCACCACCGTGGATGTGGGCATTACGCATCCGACAGAGTTCGATTTCTACCTGTGCAGCCATCAGGGCATTCAGGTGAGTTGGCGCTTAGAGTGTCTATTTGACTTGGGATGTTCTTGACTAACTGTTTTGACGTGTTTGTGTGTGTTTTTTTCTCTTCGCAGGGAACAAGTCGCCCATCGCATTATCATGTGTTGTGGGATGACAATCACTTTGACTCGGATGAATTGCAATGTCTCACGTACCAATTGTGTCACACTTACGTGAGGTGCACAAGATCTGTTTCAATCCCAGCTCCAGCTTATTATGCTCATTTGGTTGCATTCCGTGCCAGGTAAGAGTTGTGATTTTGTGTTTTGATTTCTTTTGGGGCGTGCAATTAACGTGCGTGTGTGTGTCTCTTTGAAGGTATCATTTAGTGGAGAAGGAGCACGACTCTGGCGAAGGATCTCATCAAAGCGGATGTTCGGAGGACAGGACGCCAGGTGCGATGGCGCGTGCCATCACAGTTCATGCTGACACAAAGAAAGTTATGTACTTTGCTTAAACAGAAATCAACACACACACATACAACAACACATGAATAATCTCTGATCCGATTTGCATACGCTCTAGACATTAATTATAATGAATTTTAAGATTTAATATATAATTGCAGAATTAGACGTAGAACACACGCGAATGTTGTAGTTGATGTACTCAAAGATGGTTTTACTTTTTTGGGAGCGCGCTTACAATATTGAATTTCTAAGTACATCTCACAGAAATGAATTATGCTTTAATGTTTAAGGAATTTCTTCTTTTTTTTTTAATTATATTATTTTAACATATCGCTTAATATCTTTCCTTCTTGCTGATGAAGAAGGAGAAAAAAAAAGCCGAAAAAATGAATCGAGAATCACAATTTTAGGGCATTCATGATATTTTTTCCTTGAATGACGGTAACATCATTTTTTTTTTATTTATCTCTCTGTACATAAAATACAAAATAAGAACACAATTAAGGAACAGATGGTAGAAAGAATCACGAAATGGCGATGAAGAGAAATGGAGCATTTTTCTGAAAACAAAATAATATGAATCAATTACTTTAAGAGGCAAAATTATGAAATGCAAATCTTTTTTTTCTAGTTTTTAAGGAATTTTACGTATAAATGTTTTTTGCTCTAATTGTTCAAACAAAATACCAATATTAATTGAAATGGTATAATTATAAAGAAATATCGTAGATTTATAAAAATGTAACACGAAGAAAAAGGTTCACACAAAAAATAATAATGTTTTTTGTGGTGAATGACATTTGATGCCGGGAAAATGACGTGGAGAGTAAAACAATGCATAGAAATTTGTGTCTTTAACAATGTGGGAAATAATAATGTTTAAGAAAGAGGAAGAGAGAACGCTATTTTATAGATTAATGAATATTAGGACAAGATGAAGTGGAAAAAAAGGAAACCAATCTGCACATCCATAAATGAAATACTATGACAGTAAATGATGATCTTCAATTTTTAAGATAAACTTTAAAGAAGAGAAACTCTAATGGAAGATTTAGTGGAGTTGAAGTTATATTAATTATATAAATTAGTGAAACATTTTCTATTTCATCAGTCTTCATTGTAGTAATCATAAAAAGAATTTGTCTTTTAGAGGCAAGATTAAGAATATCTCTTTAATTGGTGTAATAATGTTGAAAACAAAACATAGGAAAATGGAGAAAAGTAAGTGAAAATGAAATCATAACAAAGGAAATCAAATCCTCGAAGAAAAGTCACATAACAAACGAAGTATTAAAGAAAATCCGGAATGAATTTTAAGATTTACCCACACAACATTGTATCCGAACTATTCAAATGTATCAAATTTAATAAATATGAAATAGAGTTCACGTAGAAATGTAAAGCTTTGCTGTGTCCTTTTGATGGGCTCCTCTGAACTTGGGGATAAAGCAGATGGACAAAGGGACGTTCAACAAGTCAAAGAGTCCTTTTAAGCGCATAATCATATATTTGGGCTCTTTCTTTGTAGACTTCAGCCGAAGACTTTGTCCAAATACGTCACTTTGGCGAGATACTTTCCAGCGCCGGACACGGTATCCACCACGCCTTCGGCTAATCCTCCGGCCGTCTTCACGATCTCACACTGAATGTTGTCGACGAAGGAGAAAATACCACCGAAATTGATCAAAGAGCAGATCCGGAAGTTGTCTTTCAGCGAAATCGTGTCGGAAATCTCGATGTAAGGCAGTTTTTTGGTGGTGAAGGGCATAAAGATGCTGACATCTGTGGAATTTTCGCCGTCATCGCCGATTCTCGTGAATTTGACGATCATCTCGGTGAAATCGCGACGGACTTTCTCGTCGGCGGGCGCGAAGGAGGCGCTGAAGTTGCCCAGAGAATTGCCAAAGACGTCACGCGGCTCGAAGAGGAAGATCAACTCGTCGCCGTGCGCCACATTTCCCGCTACTCTCACGCCCTGCGTGAGCGCGAGCTGCGGCAGGAAGATCTCGCCGCCGGGCAGCTTGGATTTCGAGAGGAAGTCGAAGCTGTAGATAAAGGATTGGGCTGTGTGACTCCAGAACTCCGCCGTGAAGATCATGGGGATGCTGAAGAAGATGTCCGTGGTGCTCTGGATGAGGTTGTTGAAGAGGTTCTTGGGGATGTTGCCCAGACTCACCAGTGCGGAGGACAGTTGACTGAAGAAGTCCTTCGGACATGTGAGATTAAAGATGGAGAGGAAGCTGTCGGCGTCGTCTTGTAGTTTCTTCAGTGTGTTGGCGGGGATTTTGGTGAGCGCCGATGCCCGGCAAGTTTCATCCTTGGTCTGGCCGATGAGCAGGCGGATTCTGTGGAGAGAGACAATTGTGTGAATTGCTGACGCTTGGCAACTGGCTGAGCGCTTACTTGGAATTGAAGTGGCCAGCCTGAAGGGCGTTTCTGGGAGGCTCTGTCAGGATGCCCGGCAGTCCGCGGTTGTCATCGGCATCCTCGACGCTGGGTGAGAAACCGAGGAAGCCCGACAGGTCGGCAATGATGTCGGAGTTCTTGGGCAGGAATTGGATGTCTGAGTCACTCCTGATGATCTCCTTGAGAGCAACGTTCTGCAGGCATCTGAAGATCTTCAGCGGACTCTCTTTGGCGCATCTGTTTAACTTCTCGACGTCCAGCAGGGACTTCTTCGGATTGCCGTCCACGGCGTGAGGCGACAGAGCGCTTCCGGACATCGCCACAATGCCTCTGATGAGCGGATTGGAGTGTCTGGATAGAGAGAGCATCATCGCCAAGGCGGCTCCTGATCCGTGTCCCAGGACTGTGACTTTCTGAGCGTCTCCGCCGAAGTACTGGATGTATCTGTGTGTCCAGCGGAGCGCGGCCACGCAATCCGACAGGGCGCCATTGCTGGGGAACTCCTTGGAGCCCAGGCCCAGGATTCCCAGCGATCCCAGGCGATATTGCACACCTACGAAGATCACCTTGTGCCCGATGAAGTGGCGAGGATCGTACTGCGACGGGGAGCCGTACCGAAAGCCGCCGCCGTGCAGGAAGACAATCACCGGGAGTTTCTCCTCCTCGTCCGGCATGCGAGGCGTGTGGATGTTCAGCTTCAGGCAGTCCTCGTCGCCGATGACGTCTTGGGGATTCTTGCTGCTCGGCTGTGGACAGGGAGATGGGTACCTTGTGGCCTGCACATCGCCGAACAGCTTCCGGAGGCGCGCCTTGACGAAGCGATTGCGCCCTGTTGGCGGATCGGCGTACGGGATGCCGAGGAAGGAGTAGAACCCAGTGAAATCCTGCTGCAGTCCCTCAATGCGGATGGTTTTCGTCGGCTGGTGCACGAAGACGACGGGATCATCGACAGGAGGAGCCTCAGCTCTCATCCCGCCGACAATTCGCTTCACCCTGTGCGAGGCTTCGCCGGGAATTGCGGTGAGTGCCAGGAGGAGAATGATGGTTTTCAGCATTGTGCCTGGGATTTAGCAACGAACTGAGGCTTAGCCAGATTTGGTGGGCTAAGAAAGTTGAAGAGGAAGTTGATAAAGGCGAGAGAATTCTTATCACACGCCAGAAAAGCAACTAATTTCAAGGCTGAAAAGTTTGGCGCAGAGAATCTTTCGTGATATTTCTGAAGAAAATAAGTTGGAAGAGCGAAAAAGGCGAGAAACTCCGCGTCAGGAAAGTGAAGTTGTGATATTTGAGGCTGTTATAATCTTTCAAGGCATACTTTTGGTTCGAAGCCAATGAATCGGGTTTCTTGCTCTCGGAATTCACTGAAAAAGTCCGACTTGCCCTAAACTATACATTGTTCTTTTAGTCTGAGATCACTTTATTTCCCTCACCGAATACATTTTTCTACATGAGATTTTGGCTAGTGACGCTCACTCTGACTTCTTGTCTGCCTCGTACAGAATGTATCCCTCGCGGGTGATCTTGATGGGATCTGGAGTGCTCTTGCTGGTGTACGTGGGATTGCCGGGATTCCGCCAGATGTTGCCCCAGCACTTCACGCCGGCGAACTTGTCCAGGTCGCCGAACTTCTTGTGCGAGTTGTCGCCCGTGCGCTGCACGCGCTTCTTCACGGATTCCGTGCTAGGCGTCTTGAGGTCATACACCCAGCCTTTGGAGGCGCAGAAGTCGATCACGCTGGCCGTCAAGTTGTGCGACTGCCCGAACTCGGACGTCCTGTAGTCCCAGGGGAAGGCGTGATGGTAGTTGTGCCAGCCCTCGCCCATGCCCACCATGCTGACGAACTGGTTCTGCGTGGGCAGGATGTGCTTGTCGTACGGACGCACGCCGTAGATGTGCGCCAGGCTGTTCACGAACCACGTGAAGTTCAGGCCGAGGGTGGTGCGCATGAAGTAACACACGAGCAGGGACTTGATGGGGTGCTCGTGCCATAGCAGCACAGGAATGACGCACGGGATGAAAATGGCCACGAGGCCGTAGATGGGCAGGAAGAAGCGCTTCTGGAACATGACCCACGAGTCCGCCTCCAGGTCGGACATGTCGATGCCGCGGCCGAACTGCAGCACCTTCGGGTGCTTCCTGGACAGCAGCCAGCCGACGTGTGAGAAGAAGAAGCCGCGGCTGGCGTTGTGCGGATCGGCGTCGGTGTCGGAGTACTTGTGGTGCTGGCGATGGTCTCTGGCCCACTCCCACAGTGAGTTCTGGCCGTTGATCACGAAGAGCACCAGCAGGATGCGCCTTGTGATGAGGTTCGCCTTGAAGGAGCGGTGAGTGAAGTACCTGTGCGCGCCCATCGTGAGTCCCACGCCGCCGATCATCAGCACGGCTATGCCTACAAAGATAAGAGCGTCAGCCACCGCATCTCCTGGCGAGGAGGATCCATATACTCACTGAAGAGCGACGTGAGCGGATTGGCGCTCAGCGTGACGGCCAGGAAGAATCCAATCACGCCGGCGATGTGGAACATCAAGTACGCGATCGCATTCTCCCATACAATTTCCCGCTTGTAAGTGAAATCTGTGCCAATATCCTGAGTAACTGGTGCAACGCCACCAAGCTTTGGAACTTCATTCCGTCCAAGAGGCGTGTCAGCAGACTCCGACGCTGGTGTCTGGGCATTTTCGAACTGGTTCGGCTGCGGCGGCATCACAGGCTCAATGGGGGCGACTCACTTAGCTCAAGAGCTGCAGCAAAACTGACTCGCGCTGCGGCTGGAAAGCTGCTTTTCACCCAAAAATTATTAATTATTATTCATTTCTCCGGTTGTGTGATAAACAGGAAGAATGCTTTCGTCACTTTTTCTCTGCGTCTCGCGGAGACCCGGAAGTGAACCCACGGAACGTGCCAAAAAGGGGTTGAATTTTAATTAATTAGTCATCGTTGTTCCAATGAATGGATTTCTATTTCAAAATTTGACGAACCTCTTGGCGTCTTGAGGACAAAGCCAAGGATTTGCAGTGCAAAAATGTGGCTAGACAGTGTGCAGAATGTCTTTAACCTTCTAATGCATGCAAATGATACTAATGGGTGAAATTCATTTAGGAATTTTGCTATGTTTTCACAGGTCAACAAACTAAGAAACAACTTCAATAACAGTGAATAGAGTGTCTTAAGAGTAATTTTGATAGTTCTTTGCAAAAAGACACAAGCTATAAAATTAGACAAAGCTCAAAGGAATCCAAATCAAAGTGAAAATTTTGTTCGGAATCAGTATAAAAATTGTCATCATCAATAAATTCTATCATCTCCAGAATCTCATTTCCGTCAAAATTGGTTTTCTGGTCGTTAGAATGTTTTCCAGCTGCCGAAATAAAATCCTTGATTAGAGGTTTCATAGATTATAGCAATTGACTTTCCTTACCAACTATTGTGCTGACTAAAGCGAGGAAAACAGAGAAAATCAGCTTGAAATGCATCTCGAGATCTGGTATTGATGATTTCCTAGCTTTCAGCTGTCTTTTATACCGGGAAAGATCACGTTTGTTATTTAATTGTTTGCTAATCATGAAAGTCATATGAAAAGTGAATTAAAAATGGGAGCAAATGTTGAATCAACTGAACAAATGGTGTTTGCAGCCAAAGGACAAGGCGATGCGAAGTTTCTGGGTATAAAATGCAGCTGAAAGCGATTGAGCGATCAGTTGTGATCAATCTGAATCTCAAGATGAACTTCAAGCTTCTCTTCTCAGTGCTTTTCCTCGTTCTCTTGGCCAACATGGCTTTGGCTGAGTCCCCTGAAGAGTCTTCTGAAGAATCTTCTGAAGAATCCCAGGAAATTCACCATCGTCCTCGGCCTCCGCATCCTGGCTGCATGCCTAAACCGCCTCATCATCCACCGCCAACGCATCCTGGACAGCCTGAGGATGGATCTGATGGGAATGGAAATTCAGAAGACTCTTCCAATGCATCGCAAGGCGACAATTCCAGCCAGAATTCCGGCACCGACGAATAATTCTTGATCTCTGTCCACTGCTTGCAAGCACAGTAAATTCCTCACTTTTCCACCATCGCTGCTGTCTTATTTTTCGCCCAAGAGTTGCTGCGTCAGAGTGATTTACAATCGCAAATTCCGCTCCGGAATCAATTATTGAGTGGGAATTTAATTTATTTCCATTCTCTTTCACACCCTCAACATCAATTTCTCGCTCGGGATGCTCCTCTTTCAACTAAATGAAGGATTTATATATATTTACAATTTTACCTAATTCTCTCAACTGTTAAGTCATACTTTTTATTGCTAGAATTAATGCTGGGATATTTCTATGTCATACTGATAAGTTTTTTTTTTTCATCTTCTTCTGCCTTTCTTTACGCTATTTTGGGATACAAGTTTTTCTCCTTGATTTATACAGCAAACTTCCTATAAAGAGTGACACATCAATTTTTCTTCTCTCCCCCCATATTTTCTTTCTTTCTTTCTTTCTTTTTAACTGCTATTTTGGCAAGAAAACTACACGCTCGTGAACAATTGCACGGTCAGAAATTCGATTTCTCTACACTACACGTGAATCTTCCGCAAATCATTGGTCGTGGTGATGAATTTACATTGCGGACAGGACTTCTTGGCGTCCTGCAAAGGCAAACAACACACATACGTATAAATATCCTGCAGCAGAGCATGGAAACGAAAGGGAAAAACTCACAGATATTGTTATCCAACACTCATCACAATGCACATGCCAGCAAATTGTTGATATGACGGGAGATTTGTAGGGCTCCTGAAGAGGTAAAGAAGAACAGACATACACACAATTTACTCATGAGGGCGGTGAAAGAGTGGTAAATGAAGTGAGAGACATGTAGAGAGAGTCAGCGCGAAACTAACTACAGAGTGAGACTCATAAACTAACCTTACATATATAGCATTTGTAGTGTTCCTCCTCTTGTGGCGTGCGCGCCTTGAAGGGACTGCCCTCGAGCTCCCGGATCCGCGCGCGCAGCTCCTCCAGCACCTGCGCGCGCGACGAGGGCTCCGTGGACTCCGACGTGCTCACGTACGAGTCCGGTGTGTTGCCCAGCTGCGCCTTTGGCGGCTTCGAGTCGCTGGCGGAGTCGATCTCCACGGACGAAGTGGCTTCTTCAGTGCTGCGGAGGGAAAATCAGAGCTTAATTTACACTTTCTGAGCTTTCAGGCTTGTAATCACAGAGAAACTATCAGGAATTCTATACTAAACATGAATTGAGCTCAATTTATTCGCTCAAAATGTGGCAAATGGAGATGTTTTAAGACTTTCACCTGTTCTTCGCGTCCTCCCTCTTGTCGCTGCGACTCCTCTTCACACACTCCTCGTCATCCGTGTTGTCCACCACGAGCTCCTCGTCGTTGTCCACCTCGGCCGCGTGTCCCTGCTCGCGATCCTGGTCGTAGTCCATGTCCAGGCGCTGGTTGGAGCTCGTCGGCGTGACGCGCGACACGATCTGGCTGGCAACGGACGTCATGGTGCAGTTGGCGCTCAGCCGGTGCTTCCTGTCCCACGAGCTGAGGCTGGAGATAGCCGCCTCCTCTTGCGGCGCAGACACCGGCGGCAGGGCGGGCGTGAGCAGGAGCGGAGGCGCGCCAGGAGTTTGGCTGGAGTCCACGAGCTTGGCCACGTTGTTATTGTTGTGCGACACAATCGTGCCGGCGCTGCTGGACGTGTCATCGGCATATCCCTCCACATCCACCGTCTCGTCCTCGTCCTGTCCAGCCGCCTGGGCGCCGCCGCTTTTCTTCAGGCACTCCTCCACGTGCTGGGCGATCTCCTCGGCCGTGCGCTGCAGGCGTCCGTGGCACACTGGACACGATTGGCACTGTCCGGCCATCACCGGACCGCGCGTTGGCGAGTAGTCGGAGTCAGAGTCGCCCTTGCGCTTTCGCGTCTTGGCACGCAGGCGATTCTGCCGGTTGTTGCGGATGCGATGGAACGTCTCCCAGCGACTGTCCGGCCCCGGGGAGCCCACCATGCCGGGCAGCGAGAAAGTCGCCCGCAAGCGCTGCCGCTCAGCCGGAGTGCTGAGCTTGTACAGCCTGTCCAGTTCCGTGAGGAAGTGCGTCTCCAGCTCGGCCGACGAGAGCTGAATGCCGCACACTGGACAGGAGTTGGGCAGCGGCGGAGTGCCCATTGAGGGTGCCTTCTTGGCCGTCACGCCGCCAATTCCTGGTGAAGAGATTCAAGGAGAGTCACTCGATTAACATGCCAATCAATGCTCAACACTTTCAAGGCTCTCAGCGCAGCTCTAAATCTCAATCTTGTGACACCTTGTCTTGTCGCCTGACAGACAACTGCAAGTGTTGCACAATCATAGCAGTTGAGTTGAGGATATTATGGACATTACTTCATCATTAATTCCCTTAAAAGAGAATTATATTCAATAAGGCAAAATCTTTCGCTGCACGTGCAGAAGAATTATATTAATCCAATAAATAGTTAAGTTAGAAATATCACTCTAGACTTGCATTTTTAATCAATTTTTGTTACAATTATGTGTTTAATATTTTCTCAACAGTTGAAATTTGCGTCTTTCCATGAGCTTATCTTGTTACCTTTCCTTGTCTTTGATGGACTTTTTTTTTGCCCATAACTTAATTGTATTTAAATAAAGGACCGAGAGAGCTTGTTAATTTGTCACCTGTCCCGAAGCTGTGGAACAAATGGCCGGCGAGGAAGGAGTGAGAAAGGGTGGGCTTTGGTATATGTTGTGCGATAATCTTCCCTGTGGATCCTCTTTATCCCACCTGATTTATCCCGCCATGCGGGCGCCCTTTTCCCTTCGGCGCTGCGCACAAGCCAGAGCAGGACGGCCACAGGAAAGCGCGGTCGATGCGGGACTGAAGCATAAATCATTAACAGTGTGGGAATGTTTATGTGGTGAAATGACCAATTAACAACTTCAATCCCACTCTAACTCTCTTTTTCACTCCCTTTTGCCCTCCGGAAGCGCACAGATTCGTCGGCAGGGCATTAATCCCTGGGCGCGTGAAATGATGAATTTCAGCATTAATAAATCCTTCGGCTTTCGAGTGACTCTCCAAAGTGACCGGAAAAAGGTTCCCCGGAGAAGAATTTAACCCTTGAGGGCATTTTGTGTGGGTGGAGAAGAAGAATTTGAGGGCAATGTTTGGCCAATTAGGGGGTAAACTGCAAGACCACCACTCTTGGGTCAATTGCCACTCAGATTGTCTCCTTGCCCGAGATAAGAGGCCACATGATAAATGACGCTGAGGATTTCCCAGGAAATCCCATGAATTCCCTCCCAGATTCTATCACTTCGCCACACAACATTTTTCACGCGTTTTCCCCATCAAGTGCCTTTCGAATATCCAATATGTAATTGAAATGCCAAAAATTGTCATTCTGCCTTATCACAATGGCTCTGATAACGTGCAATTGCCATTCGCAACAGCCTCATTAAATCAATCATCAGCGAAAGGCAGCAAACAGTCAAATATTGGAAGATAACACTTCTGGTGGCTCTCTTCTCGCATGCCCAATAAATCATAGGTGTGCCGGAGAAGTCGCCGACGGGGGCCCATCTGTTGCCCGGAGAGCCTCTCCTTTGGGAGACACACAATGTTGCCCTCCTGGCGCGAAGATTGGGCGTTTTCGCGGTCGCATTGATTTACAGCGCATCTTCGCCAGCCATTCTCACGAGACTCTTTGTCGGTTGAGATAATTAACTTAACAACCAACTGAATAATGTGCCATTCCACCCATTAGCCTTCCGGACAGCGCCTCTTCGCGCGCCCCTTCATCGCACTCTGGCGCATTTGCCAGTGTGTGCGTGGGATCAACGTCGGACAATTGCTTGTAATATTTTCGATTTATATTCCCCCTTCAAAGGAGTTCCGGCGCTCCTTGAGGATTACCACTGGCCAAGAGTGGGAGAAACATCTTGCTGAACTGACCAGAAAATCCCCGGTGAAAATATGGAACAAATCATCCCTCGCAATTGCAATTTTTTTATATGTCTCACACAAGTGAGAGGATATAATTTTGTGCACGAGAGAAAATTGAGAGCTCAAGGAGAAATCCCAGTGAAAATGAGAATCACGAGTTTCTCAATCGATTTTCACGCTTCAGGAGATTTTCTGTGATTTTGCACCAATCGAAGGACTGTTTTTTAATTTGAATTTGTCGCTCCTCTACATGAGAATGAATGATATTTGAGCCTCAGGGATTCACATAAAAATATCCTTGCTGTCAAAAGCTAATAAGAAATTCTGCACCAAATTCTGGCTAAACTTCGTTTAAACGTTAAATGTTGTTCAATGAATTTTCTATGTTACAACTAACTACTAATTCCCATTATCCACATTGCCTCACTCTCTGCCCTTAAATACCAAATACAGGAGTGCAACAGTGTTTTGCTGGATGGAAAACAGCCAGTGCGGATTCAAGAGGAGGAAAATCATCCCCCTTTAATTTCCAACAGAAACCTTTGGTGGAAATTAATTTGATAAATTACTCCATCGTCTGAGCACACATTCAGCGAAATAAATTAATTACTGCAACCCTTCTCAGCTCGTCAAAGTGGGGTTGACAATAATTTGGGTTATGGCCCACTTAATCAAAGTACCATCTTGCTCTGCGGCCGAACATCTCCACGGCATCCACGGGCATGTTTTCGTAGTGCGGGGCAATTTTTCATCCCAACTTGTCATGCGGATGTAGTTGGAAAAAAGGTCAATATTTTCATTTGCGGTTTTCACTGCATTTGACATCATTTTTCTCAAATTTCCACTCTGGCCAAATTAATAAATCGAGTGATTTCTGGGGTGAAGCAGGAGGAGAATTTCGACAGTGCCTTTTTGCCCACCGTGTCACACAACTCGGCAATATATCTGGTGTCCGGCGTTGGCTTTTTGCACGCAGATTGATGGTGAAATGATGGCTCAATGATCAAACATTATGTCGGTGAAGTGCCCCAAACTCTCCCCCGCCGGAGAACCGGGGCGCCTCGGTTTTGAGTGAGTGTCAATGGGTGCTGGAATGCGCCCCTATTTTGGGGATGGATTGAGAGAGAAACATCTGGTGTACACTTCCAACAAGTCCCAAATACATGAAATAGTTGGTGGTGTCTGCAAATCACACGTTTTATGCTAAATTTGTCATACTTAACAATGCATTACTTGCCATAGTGGCGTCTCTCTTCACCCCAAATGACTGATTCTGATACCCTCAGCGTGCTGGGAGGGCGACAATTTGATTTTAATCCCCAACTCCGTGTCCGGCATGACTGTCCACAAATTTTCCATCCATCTCACCATCAGCAAAATCGCTCTTTCACCGCAGGACAGAAAGGGAGAGAGAGAGAGTGAGGAGGTTAAGCATGAAGAACGGCATAACTTGTCTGTCACGAGTGTCTCTCGAGGCTTTTTCTGCACCTTTTCTAATTTGTCCTGAAGTCCGCATTCGAAGGAATTCTTCGAGTGCAGAGAATTAGCCATTGAATTTCTCGATTTTACTCTGAATTTAGTGGCCTTTGATTTGAATGAATTTATTAATAATTACAATATGTTTCTGCCAGTGTGACTTTAAAAGTGCAGAACACAATAGAAAAACCTCAAGTTTTCTACGCAACTGATACATTTTTCGATATAGAATTGAATTTCATTGCAACATTTGATTTAATATTTGTGCCAATCTATAAACATGACATCATCTATAAAGTTATTTCTTCAGGAGATTGACAGAATGAGAGCCGAGATTGTGAGTTATGGTTTAAAATACTCCTGAATTAGTGAATATATTCGTCACTTAAGCAATTAAACTAAAACCCATTTTGGAGGCCAGAATGACACGTTGGCTTTTACTGGCTGTTACATGCTCAATTACCTTTTCACCACCCATTTCCAGAATCACCCCTTCCACGCCCACTCAGCATAATTGTATTAATTCACATGACAAAACAACCAAATCACGCCCCATCAACATTTTCCGGATATTTGGAGTTAATTACAAATCTTCACACACGCACGTCTGTTTGGGCATTTGAGGTGACACAGTTGATGAGATGGCATTGCATCATGATGCGATGCGATGGAGAGGGAAAAAGAAGTGAATTTTCAATTTGTGCGCGAAATTGCATGGCGGAGAGAAGGAAAAATCCTTCAATTCCCATGCGAGAGAGCGCAGCAGAGCGAGAGAGTGGGTTAAAGTGATGGCATAATTTTGTCCATTTGCGAGTGAGTTGCTATATGGGTAGCCAGTATGCGGTTGTGAGTCTCCAAATGCGACATAATGCGGTCAGATTTCATTAAAAATCCACCATGAGTGGCAAATCTGCTCTTGTCATCTGGGCAAATCATTATTTTCCATGTCTGTTTTGGGCGCGCTGGCAATTTAATTTTCTCTCTTCATGCTCCCAATTCTTCGGGCACAATTTCATCACCCCCAAAACAAGCTGATCATTAACACCCCATCGCTAATCATATTGTCATCACGGACTGACAAAAAAAACACGGAACGCGAGAGGATCCTCAGTGAGAAGTCACAGGGAAAATCACATTCCTCTCCGTCTCCAGGAGAGATTCGCGATGCTCCACACAAAACTCTGAGGAGAATAAGATGAGAGACAATAAAATTTAACGACCTGCAAATTGAACATGATATTAAATTCTCAAACCACCTCCAGCGCTGCTCCCCTTTTTCCCGCTGGATTCCCTTTTCGCGACGCCCAGAAAGAAGGCTAAGGGGTGAAATGTAAACGGCTTGAGAAGCTGAAATGCCACTCAAAAATTCATTCACGGTAAATCCTTCTCTCAAGGGAAAATCTAATTAAATTTTCAACAAGAAAATTATGTGAGTCGACCACAGAGATGATCCCTTCTGGGAGACCGCATTTGACGTGCCACGCAAAGCCCGCAGAAAGAATTACTTCTCTATAGTTAAAAGTATCAGCAGATAATTCGATGGATTTGTATTGCTCTCCTTCCGCATATTGTCTTTTCAATTTTCCCCACACTTTCATCCCCTCGAGGGCAGAGGTAGAGAGTCCCGGAGGCAATTTTTTCGACTAACAACTGCTCAAGGGAGGGAAAATGAGTCCGGAAATGGTGTACGTTTGTACATGAATGAAGAAAATACTTTCAGTCAACGTTACTTTTAAATATCTCAGCATCCTAATAAGGTTAAGAAATAAATTAATCGCAGATGAT